AGCCACGGATTGTTAAGCAATCTGTCGAGAATGAGTCATGTAATGAATGCTACACAGACGTAAACGATGGAGTTGTTCTACGGAATAAAAATTATAGTCGTGTTTGTGAATCAACTCGAGCAGTTGTGAAGAGTAGTAGCAACGGCAGTAAAAAAAACAATACAGTGCCTTCATCAGAGTATATTGATAGTAATAATAGTAGCAACAGTATAATCAACGGCAATGCTACTGGTAGTTGTAGAACAACCGATAGTGCTCATTGTATTAGCAAAAATCAAACACAGCGAATTTTAAATTCAAGAAAATTTCGACGTAAATCTGAAAGTGAGAGTATTTTTTGTGAAGACAAGAATTATTTAGTCAGTGATATAACAACGAGCACTAAGAATCAGAGACCTGTATCATCAGTACCTTGTGTTGACTTTCCCAGCATGAGTATCGCTGATCGTTTAGCCGCGCTTCAGCGCAGCGGTACCACTGACTGGAAGCGCCGAGTGACTACTGAAACTGTGCCTTTAATTATTGTTGACAAACCTATTGATAATGTAAGCTAATTTTTTTTTATTGTTTATCTTGTGATATTTAATTTTATTTAATAACTTGTGTAACAATGATAATCTTTGCAAGATTATGATGATAATGGTTTATTATTATTATTATTATTATTTTGTATGTGTATAGAATTCCAAGAAGAGTAGTGATCTTTGTCAAAAAGAGAAAGACGAGCTCGCGATAAAACAAAGAAGATTAGCCGATCGCCTTGAGAAATTAGAATCAGCAGCTGAAGGATGGCGCAAGCGAGTCGTTGAAACAGACGCAATCACATTTTCTGTGGCCGGTAAAATGAGAGTCGAATTACCGGATTCAATATTACCACAAAAGTTATTCGAGTCAATGGGTAATTGTGTTTCCGATGCAAAGAAAAAAGTACCACGCCCTGAATACTTCAGGAAAGGTGAGATAATAAATAAATAATTCAATAATTAATTATTTAATTTAATTATAATTGTGAACCAATAAATTATACTAGAGATGATTAATACTTTTGTTATTTTTTACCTGATTATTGTAGGAAATACTAAAGATATGTCAGACAGCAATGAGTACTTAACACAACCAACACTACCAAAAGATACCAGCGACGATAGTGGTATGTTAACTTTAACACAAATTCATCTATTCTCTTTAATTAAGCGTGACGCAACGGCTTAATGCTTCTATTATACTCTATTCTAAAGTTTTATTAATTTTTTTTTTTTTTTTTTTTTTTTTTTTTTTTTAATAGGCGAGGAATCTACAACAAATCGTAAATCGTGTTCAATTCATTACGTTCCTCGCGCTGACGATGAAACTTTTACTTCCTTTTTTGAGAGTCTCTCCGTGGATAAGTGTCGAGAAGAAAGTATTGACGTAGATGAAAGTGACTTTGATGTCATTACCCCTTATTCTGAGCTGTAAGTTTATCATATTTTTTTTTTTAATTATAATAACAATAAAAATAATAACAATAGTTGATACCTAATCTTGGATGGATTTATTGTAAAAGATAACGTTTTATCAATAGACTTGGCGTGAGAAGAACTACTAAATTTCAACGGCGACATGTTTCTTCAAGAAATCCAATTAAAATATTGGCTGCTCGAACTGATATAAAAGATGAATACACAGAGATAAATACTGGCGTTGCTGAGAGAGTTATGAAAATGACTAACATTGAAAAACGTATGTATTAGCAATTAGAGTAATTTTTATTCAGCAATAAATATCTTGAATCCCGCAAAAAATTGACCCAAAAAATATTTTAAAGTTATGAAAAATTCATATTATTTCATTAAAATTATTGTAAAATAAAAATTATAAATTATAACAATAATAATATTTGTTTTTGTAATATAATTTTTATTTTATAATGATTTTAATCAAATAATATGAATTTTTCACAACTTGAAAATTTTTTCTGGGTCTATTATTATTTCTTCCGATTACCAAATTATCTTAATGTCATAAATAAATATTTCAGTTGCTCAAAATTCAAATTTGGCTGTAGAAGCATTAGCTGGTCTAGCTTCAACGGAAAATTTCAATGCAATAACTCTTAAGAATGTCACAGACAGTACAATTTTTGGATCGAAAAAACTGCGTCCGTACAAAGAATTAATGTTAATACTAGTAAAAGGTCGCCGACACGTTCAAGTGCGTCTAGTCGAACCTGTTGCATTGAGCGTTAACTCCGGCGATAATTATATCTTGGTAACGAGATCAGAGTTGTATCATTACTCGGGAAAATTTAGTAATGTTATTGAAAAGTCAAGAGCTGCTGATATAGCGCTGAGAATTCAGAGACACAAAGATCTGGGCTGCCATGCGTCCCAAGTAATAACGATAAACGAAGGAAACTCCACATCGCTGTCAGATGTAAAGAATTTTTGGAAACACTTAGGTGAGAGTGATATTAATTCTTCCGTAGTTGAAGCTGGTCTTCCCGAAGAAGATGAATTATACGAGTCGGCGTTAATTGCTACAAACGTAGTCTATGAAGTTGTTAACGATGAACTGATACCTCTGGAAAAATACTGGGGTGCGATACCAAAGATAAAAATCCTTGATCCCAGTAAAATTTTAGTCTTTGATTTTGGTAGTGAGATGTATATTTGGCATGGTAAAATAGCCTCGAAAGAGAAGCGCAGTGTCGCTACACGGTTAGCCCAAGAATTGTGGGATGAAGGATATGATTATTCTGAATGTACAGCTTGTCCAATTGACGCTGCGTCGCTTATTGGACGGCGCCCTACCGAGTTATCTCCTGTGAAGAAAGACGTAAAACGTCCCGAGTGGTGTTTAATAGCCAAATTAACTCAACACACTGAAACAATTCTCTTCCGTGAGAAATTCCTCGACTGGCCAAACGCTACGGGAATAATAAAAGTTAAAAAGAGCCAGGAAAAAGAGCAGGTTGATGGTAAAATAATTGTTGACCCTCCTGATGTTAATTTAATGCTCCAGCCTAACGACACACCCGTTGATTTAATTCTGGAAGGCTGTCATCTGGGTCGCGGGAGCGGCTGGTTCGACGAGGAATTCAGTAGGCAGTACCTGGTAACTACTACTAATGTTACTGTGTGGAATGTTGATGAATACTCGTACAGTCAGCTGGATGATAGCTCTGTAGGGCAATTTTTCACTGGAGACAGTTATATTGTCCGCTGGATGTACAGAATCACAATTACCGGACGAGAACTCAGCGGCTTGCCGTCAAAGCATGCTGTTGATGGTCGGAATAGATGCGCGTACTTCATCTGGCAAGGCAAAAATTCATCGTTGAATCAGCAGGGCACTGCTGCGTTGCTCACTGTTGAGCTTGATGGTGAAAAAGGCCCTCATATTCGTGTTGTTGAAGGCAGCGAACCTGCCGCTTTTTTTAATTTATTCAAAGGCGGAATGGTTGTTCACTCGGGTAAAAAATCAGACAAGCGAAATGTCAAAAAATTGAGGATTTTTGTCAGTCGAGGCGCTGAAGAAAATGAAACTTGTTTGATTGAAGTGCCCTGCAGTCCTCGACAGCTGAAAAGCCGTGGCTCGCTAGTTTTCGTCGATAATAAGCTTAGAAAAATTTCCGTCTGGCATGGAAGACACTCACTCACTCACATTAGGGAAAATGCAGTACATGCTGCTCAGAAATTAGTTGAAAATTGTCCAATTGAAGCGGGATTTAGTAATTATTGTGACATTAAAGTCGAGGAAATTTTTCAAGGTGAAGAACCTGAAGAATTCGTCAACAGTGTTATGAATAAAAAATTACACATGACGTTAAACAAAAAAACTATTCCACTCCATACGCCTAGACTATTTCACTTTTCCAGCTCGTCCGGAGAGTTCACGGTGACGGAGTTGTTATGTCCGCACCGCTCCAAAGTGCCAACACCTTTTCCTTTTATCCAGGAGGAACTTTATCAAGTTAATCAGCCCAGTTTATTTTTGTTGGACAACAAGGATGAGCTTTGGTTGTGGCAAGGTTGGTGGCCCGATACTGGCTTGGATGATCAAACGGGAAGCGGAGCTGTGAGATGGCAAGCTGAAAGAAAAGCTGCGATGACAGTTGCCATTGAGTATTGGAACAAAACACATTCCAATTTGAAAAAAAAATGTGTGTATTTAATATGGGCTGGCCTTGAACCACTGGAGTTCATCAACCTCTTTCCGACTTGGACAGATCGGGATGATATTGCGGAGTTAAATATGGAGGTAATTATTATCATTTAATAGTTAATACAATTTAATTTTAATTAATAATAATTATGTATAATTTTTTTTTAATAGGATGGTCGAGCTCCTGGTGAAATACTTTCAGTTGAAAGCGAGCTGGCTCGCTTAACGCAACGTACTTATCCACCTGCTCAATTACTACAACGACCGTTACCTGCGGGTGTGGATCCGACGACATTAGAATTATATTTGTCACCGCAACACTTTACGGTAGGTCCTATTTTTTTTTTTTTTTACTTAAAAAAATTTTTTTTTATATTAATTAAATCATTGAATTCTTGAAAATTAATTACCATTTATATTATTTGTACAGGAATTGTTAGGCATGAACATGGAGGAATTTAGAGAGTTACCGGCATGGAAGCAAATATCCATAAAAAAAAAAATCGGCCTTTTTTAAAAGACTTATATTATATTAAATAAACCTTTTTATTACGCCAATTGACAACAACACTTTTTAAAATGAGTGTTGAAAATTAAAAATAAAGATTAAAAAGACTTAGGCTAAAGTATTATTCCAAAACTACAAAGATAAAATTATATTTTTAATACACAAACAAACAAAAAAATAATCTTAAAAATTGGCTTGTGAATATTTCATTTATATTTGTACGGGTTTTATATATTTATCAAATAATACATGTGTTTTAAACCGTTGATTATGGAAATTCACATTTAATTTTTGTCCTTTCTCTCACAATCATTTTCGTCATTTTCCATAAATATAATATATTTTTTTATCTTGAAGCTGAAGTTGGGAAACTGGCTCTTCCACGTGGCATGAACTAAATGAATAAATAAATTAATTAATTAATAAATATTAATAGCAGTAAAAAAAAAATAATAATAATTTTTACTTAGTCTATTGATGATCGTAGAATGAAGGAACACATTTGCTATCGCCAATTTTCAGTTTCTCCATTTTGTCTTTTTTATACAAGTTGTTTCATTGAAAATTTCTTGACTGAATGCAAGTATCTTCGGATGTGTAAATAAAAGTAAATATTCTAATTTTAAACTAAGAAACAATCTAAAGAATTTCATATACAATTTTAAAATTTTTTTACTATTTATTAATATATAATTTTTAATCATATTCACACATTTATTTTATTTCTCAAGTGCCTCTTCCCGAAATACATTTGATCGAATGTGAATGAATTAGAAAAAAATTAGTGTAAACTTTAAATACAATCACAATACATAATTATTTAATTAATAATAAAAAATGAAACAAAACAAGAAATAAAGTCATTTAATAAAATTTTTTATTTGACTATTAATAACAATAGTCTATTGATTAATTAATTATTTTAAAAATCATGTTCTTATCTATTCATAATTTTTGTTATTTTCTTTAAAGATTACTTGAAAATAATTATCTTTAAGAATATTAATATTATTTTTTTGTACGAGAAATAAATCACTACTATACTTCTCGTAAATTAATTTTATAAGTTTTAACAATATTTATAATTAATTAAAATATAAGAAAGAAAAACATAAACATATTCATGTTAATCAATACGTATAACATTATTTAATAACTATGATAATTTTTTTTTTTTAATAATACATATTAAAAAAAATTAATATAATTTAAATCATAATATTAAGTCCGTTTTGCTCTATGGTTACTATTTTTCATTAATTATTACCAAATAATAATGCCTCAATACACATAAATATACAATCAAAATTCACATTATTATTATTATTATTATTATTATTATTATAAATAATAATAATAATTAAAGCTCGTAACACAGTGTACTTCGAGATCGACACAGTTGAAAGGCATTAACTTCACCAAAAATTACAAATTTATGTTATTCATAATTCTTTAAATTGAAAGCCAGTGAATTATTTGTGACGTTACGTGATTTTAATTTTTTAAATTTAATTACACAAGTTTAAACTTAATTTTTCACAGCACACGGACTCTAGAAATTAATTATTAATGCAATTTACATAGCTTGAAAAAAATCAAAAAAAAAAAATCTCACTCTACAATAAATTCATCCATACAATTTTATCCACTGATATTAATTATCTTTATCAGTTATTTTTTTTTTATTTCATATTTAAAAATTTTTTACCATATTAGTTCACTCATTGAACTTTTTCATCCAAGTAAAGTTTTATTGCTTCCTGACACTCAATTGAACACCAATGTTGGATCAAAAGATAGCTTTCAGACTCCAACGCTGCGTCCAATTTTTTACGGAGACTGTGACGAAGAAGTGCTTTTGTAGCCTCCATTGACTGAAAAAATAAAATTTTTATTTAATTTTTAATTGAAAAAATAAAAGTTTATTTAGGCTGCAATCAAAAATACTGTATCCCTAGATACATAATTAAGAAATGACCTTGTATCTTGTGAACTATTGACATTTTTGAAGATATAAGCTCATCTCGATGTTACACTCATTGAGACCTTTCATTTGAGTACCCACATCAATTTTTCATATATTTTATATATTTATATATATATATATATGTATATATGAAAAATATATCAAAATGCATGTGGGTACTCAAATGAAAGCTCTTGATGAGTGTAACATCAGGATGAGCTTATGTTATATCTTTAAAAACGTCAATATTTAAGAAAGTACAGTGCAATTTAACAAAATTCATTATTTAATAAAGCAAAATTTTATTTATGGTTCATAAGTCACGGCAGTGACATAGTGACTGCAAGACTGTTAGTGTAATATAATTTAGTCAAGAGTCTAAAGAAGTAAAGAATTAAGTATGTATGAAAAAACGAACATATTAAGATTCTAAAAACAGATATCAGTAAATATTTGAAATAATGATATTTCAACATTCTCTTGGTACTATGAAGACTAGTGTGGGTTGTAGGCGTGAGTGTAGGATGATCATCGGTGTATTGCTATATTATTAAATTATTACAAATGTCCGAGTAAAAATTACAATTATTTATATGCGTGACTGTTGGCCAAATCGTTTAAAGTTAACTCGACAAATAATGTGGAAAATAAGTTGCCTGGTATTTATTTTTCCGGCGCTGTGCCAATCAAATTACACGCGGATTAGCAGCAAACCAAGCAGTATTATTTTTAAATACCTCGAAGGTGTAAGTAAAAAGATAAATTTATCGCAATTAAAAATTAAAAGTACTAAAGTAGTTATAATAATAAAATTAAGAGTAAAAACTAAATTATTGTAGACTACTGGGGAGTTGACTTTAGATGAATGTGGAAAAGATCAGGTTTGCAATGTTGTACATCGACGTTTCTGGATGCCTAATTTGGCAGAAAGACTCTGTCGATGTCCCAATGGAGAAGAATGTCCTTGGTCTGAAGAAACTGACAACTCATCGATAGTTCTTAACAACCGATCTATTTTAAAAGTACGTTTTTATTGCTGGAATTTTTTTATAAAAATATATCTCAATTAATTTTAAAAATAACAAAATATTATTTTATAGTTTTGTCAACCAATTACTGAAAAACAACTCTGTAAACCGAGACAAATAGCTGCTGTAGTACGTGGAGTAATAAATGATGAAAATACTCATATGATTCCCCAAAATGTCACGGTCAATTGTATATGCCCTTCAACTCATTATTGGAGATTAAAAAAATACGAGTTTGATGAAAATCAACTTTACCAAGCATACAAATGCTCGCAAGTATTTATCAATAATTAATTAATAATTAAATTTAATTATTGACCTTCGCCTCTTTACAAATTTCAGCAAAGAATTTGCTACAGTTATGAATTTTGTGGCTTTGTACGGCCAGATTTCTACTCAATTTACTATCGATGTTCCTGCCCGAAGGGTAATTTGTGTATTACCGAGTACAAAGAATCAGACCAGGTCCAAGAATTTATGTACTTAGGGATTGCTTACAAAGCTCACTGTGATCCATGGAATAAAACCAGCAGAATATACTAAATAAATAAAATTAATTAGCTTAATAATAAAATTTGATTATTAACCTGCGATGATTGCTCGCTCATAACACGGAGCGAGGGCAGCAACTCGACTTGAAATCGGTCTGGCCAAAGGACTCTCGTTACAAGTCCCGCTCTCAAGGCTTCGTTCGCCGTAAGTGTCCTTCCGCCCAGCAGTAATTCACTCGTCTGCAATAAAATAAATTTATTAATAAAAAAAAAATCAATTATTCTTGAGTTAATAATTAAATGAGGTAAATATTTACAAGTGTGGTCATTTTAATTTTCATTTTTTTGAACAAATTTTCAATAATATTTATAAATTTTTTTGGAAGATTGTGATATTCAACTTTTTTGTTTAAATTGTTCTTTTTTTATGTACTTTTCAAAAAAAATATATATCATAAATATCAGAAAAAGATAAAATATAAATTTTATCCAAAAACATAAAAGCCAACATTTTTTCCAAATTTTTTTCTTTCACAACATTTTTTATCATAAATAAAATAATAATAAAAAAATTTGAAAATGTTAATTTTTCACTTATTTAAGGCCCAAAACAAATCTGACCCCACTTGTAATTAATTACCTTAATTTAAATAATTAATAGATAGAACTTACCACAGCGCTACCAAGCACATGAGAAAGTGTAAAAATAGCAGCACCCTCTGCAATTTGCCCCAGTTTACCATAAGGAGTACTGAAAGTGGCTTTGTCACTAGCAATCACCAGGTCAAAAAGTGGGAGCATGGTCACTCCTAGACCTACAGCAGTACCCTGGACACCAGCAACGATTGGTTTATTAAAAGTAGCAAGACTCTTGATAAAATCTTTAACACCATTCGCCAGTTTTTGCGCTTGCACACGTCGGACATCTTTATTTTCATGAAGCAGCGTCGATAATTCAAGACCCTCGCAAAAACTCGAACCAGTGGACGTGAGCAAGACGACTCGGCAGTCATCGTCCTTCTTGAGTATCGCCAGAGCTTCGCGGAACTCCTGCATAATTTGAAGCGTGATGCCGTTTCTTATTTTCGAGGAGGTCGACGGCGTCAGGATCAACTGTACAAGATTCCCATGTCGCTGTACAATTAATTCTTTATTGCTAAATTGAATTTTATCTTTAGCTTTGATACTCTCAGCGTCTCGTTTAGATTTTTTGTTGATAGCACCAGCTCTAGTACGGCCAGAATTTTCGTTGGCCAACGCCGTCACCGCTTCAGCTAGACAAGCAGACAGAGCATCATCCTGCTCAGTAGGTTCTTCCTTGATGTCATCTTCTTCTTTAGCAAAACAAACTTTAGACTTAACAAGTTTTTTCTTTCCAGCAGCTCCATTTTTAGTTCTTTTGAACTCATCCTCGCTGTCATCTTCATCCTCAATGAATTTTTTTATTTTTTTATCAACAGCCTTCTTGATAATCTTGCCAAGCTGAGGTTTACTTTTCGGCAACGATGTAACTAAATCGCTGAGTTTCTCAGTATCTTTTTTACTTTTTTTAGAATCAGGCATAAGTTTCTTCTTATCTTCCTGCGAAAGACGTCTCTTGTTAGACCTCAGAGGATGATCGTCCATTTTAATTGAATCCGCATTTAAATGTCTGTCTCCACTGTCAAAGCTGACACGTGGACTGCCAGAAGCGCTGGAGAAAGAACTTGAAGAGTGTCTACGAATGATAATCGATTCATGCGCGGTGTTTCGTATTTTTGCGGGGAACATAAACTCCGTGGGCGATGCCATCGAGGACCGCGGAGACTTTGAGTCCTGAGTTTTTTTTTCTGGCGTTGACTGCAACGACTGCTGCTGTTGCTGCTGCTCGTGTCTTTTGGACCTCGACGTAACATTAGCTGGAGATGTCCCAGAGGTTCTTAGTCTCAACACAGCATTACGCACAAGCTTAGTCCTGATTTTCAACTCCCTCTGGATTTTTTGTATATCCATAACTTTGGCCTGAGATTGAGTCACTGGTACCAGACGTTTCTTGCCCGGCTGCTCGACGTCGTACAGCAAATTAACGACCCCTTCATCCTGAAGCAGTCGGTCTATTTCAGCGATTATTTTCTTCTTCGGCTTTGATTCAGGTGTACCACCATCAGAATTTTTCTTCGCAGTCTTTGTAGCCTTGGGAGATTTTTTAGGCATCGATTTCGGTGCAGCTTTTTTTGGAGTTGGGGGTTTAGGTTTAGTGACTTTCTTTTTAGCGCTCGGAGGCGCAGATTTCTTAGATGTCGCGTCTTTTGTCTTCTTTGCAGACTCTTCTTCTTGAGAAGTTTTATCAGCCTTTGACTCAGGTTCTTCTACTTCATTATCTATCACAGAAGAAGAATCAGTATTCTCTCCTTCGGAATCATCCTTATCTAATACTTCACTATCAGCAGTATCATTTAAATTATTCTCCGCAGTATTTTTCGACTTTGTACCACTAGAACTATCTTTAGTTGATTTTTTACTCGCCGTACTCTTAATTTTAACAGACTTCTGGCGTTTAGGACTGATTTCATACTCACGGGCCTTCTCAGTAGGTTTTCTCTTCCTCCCAGACCTCGTTTCTTCAACTTTAAGATCCTCAGAACTAGGACTCGTTAAATCTATTGATATTAATTCTTTCTCCGAGGCTTCCTTAGAATCTTTGTTCACCAAATCAACATTCACGGCTTTCTTCGGCTCTTTAAATTCTTTAACATCTTTTTGAACTTCTTTTTGAGTCTTAACAGGACGCATTAACTTTGGTGTAAATTTTTTTTTAGAAGCTACTACTAGTTTCTTTGGAGTCGCTGGCAACTCAAGAAGCTGCTTCAAAGCCAGCTCGCGTTCCGTCACCGGGTCCAATTTAGGCGGAGAACTGCATCGAGCAGTCACATCTTTCTTCTTCTCCGGTTCTTCAACGAGTGACGGAGGTCTCAAGTCTGACCAGTCCGGATCAACATCACCCTCAAGAATAGCCAAAAGCTCCTTATCAGTGCTAGCTTTTTCACTCGACGTGACTGTAGAACGATTCTCTGGTTCCGTTGAAACTCGTGAATAAGTCGCTGATGGAGAACTCGCTGCCGACTGGCCTGCTTCTTGTTTCTTTATTTTTTTAACAATAATTATCTCCTTTCTCGGTGTCTCAGAATCTTTGCTCTTGAACCCCTTGAAAGTAACCGGCGAGCCATCACTCGGTGAGGACAAACTATCTGTAAGCTCTCCAGACTTTGGAGTACCTGATTGCCGAGTCAATAATTTACTGGTGTTTTTTATCGAATCTGGCGTTCTTAGTGATGTCAATTTAACTAGCTGAGCCTTGGCAGAGTCATCTTTGACAACCTTCTTTGTCGTAGAATCAATAATCGACCCAGACGTTGGAGTTTCATTCACTGGAGTCGATCCAGAAACATTTTTCGGAGTTACCACATCTGCTTCAGATGGTTTAGAACTTTCATCCAACAAACTCTTCAGCTCCAATTCAACTGTATCATGTGATTGGACAGAAGCAGAATCTTCTTCGGGATTCTCGTCTCTCCAATCATCGAATATATCCTGAATAACACTCCGTTTTTTCTCTGAACCTTCGGCTTTACTCGTACTCAATTCTTCAGTCTCCAGTAATTCAATATGTTCCTCAACGCACTGTCCATTTTCAACAGCTCCGTCTTCTATCGAATCTTGAATTTCTTTCAGCTCATCTTTGTCTTGACTATCTTTGTCAGAACCATCAACCTTTTCATTATCAGCAGGCGTATTTTCATTATTGCTAGACTCAACTTTTTCTACTTTGAGCTCCTGATTACCCTCGACATCGGTGTACTCGATAACATTGAACTCAATAGTCTCTGTGTGTTCCTCCTCATCATTGGTGTCTTCCGAGCTCATGTGATCGGCAGACACCACAGTAATTTTATCATTCAAACTAATCACCTCACCGGCTTCATATTCGCTTGGAATAACGATAGTCTCTTCAATCATATCTATCGTATCGCCTGCAGCCTGTTCCTCGCTCGCTGTTGCCTCTACATTTTCATTTACATTTTTGCTAACAGCAGAATCACATTTATCTTCAACTTTATTTTCATGCTCATCAACTGAATTATCAACAACTTCTGCTTGATTTGTTTTTGTTTGATCAGCTTCTATTGCTTCTTTATTTTGTGATTCATCTACTGGAATTTTTTCATCTTCCACAAGACAAGTATCTGTTTTTTCACCCTCGATATCATTTACAGAAGAGTTACCACTTTCTGCTCCATTATTATCCTTACTATAAGTGTGATTTAATTTTATCTCCTCAATACTATTACTTACGGCACAGTTATCTGTTAATTCCTCAATTTTTTCCGGCGTATTTAATTGCTCCTTAACCTCGGACTCATTTTCCGTGACATTATTTGGAGCAGGTTGTTTTTCAGAATCAATTATTTCTTTAGCAACTGAAGCAGAAAGTTCATTAGCCTCTAATACCGACTGATCGACATTTACTTCATTAATATTTTGATCCATGGCTACTTCAAGTAGAATAACAACTTAAAATATCAAAAAATCTGGAAGAAAAAAAAAATTTATTAACAATATGTCATTAGATTAGTTGATTTAAAGCGCTACTGTTGAAGATTTATTTATAAATTTAGTAATATAAAAAAGCCGAATGTAAACTTACCATAAACGTGGTCATAATTAAATTAACTAAAATTGATAACTCATTTTGATGAATAACATAATTATAAATAAATAACAAATAAAAAAAAAATATTTGATAATTAAAAAAATCTTTTTACTTAATAAATAAGCTGGTGAAATTTAATTTAAATGCACAAAGCTCATTTACAATGTTTACATGGAACGTTTTGATGAAGGGTCATACACCATCAACACTGATAACAGCAACCAGCCCAGAACCTTTTTTAAATTCACAATTATTTATTTAAGTATCTTTTTTGCTTATTAACTAGCAGTTTATTTAAATGGCCTGTTATTTTTTACAGTCTTTAAAGTCATTTGCTGATTAGTTACTAATGAACTGTTATTTTTATTTGGTTGAAAATAAGAGTTGGTTTACGACAACACACGATTATTTTGCCGAGAACGACCATCAGCGATGCAATCAACCATTTATACCAGGCTTGCCACATCACACAAATTTTATGATGATGACTCTGTTGGCCAATAATCATCATTTGATGATTATCATCAAAACTAAATATAGATATACTGAGCCTTGTAAAATTCAACAAACATGGCGCGGGCTTTGAGATGTGGTTGGTAATCTACTGTAAAAAAAATACCTAGCGCTGGAATTCAAATGTGACGTTGATAATAGAATATTCTTATCTATAATAGAAAAATTTCAATAATGCCTGAAGAGACATTATCATGGACACTCAACTGCTGATCAGATTATTGTGAAGTAATATTTTTATTAATGTACTTATTTCAAAATTGGAGCTACAACATTCTCAGTAATATATTTTATAGCTCCATTAAAATGAAAATTAATTTAGCATATATTTAATAATTTAAAAAATTATATAACAAGTAAATTGAGGCAAAAAAAAAAAAAATTATAAAAAAAATTGACTTGTGAAAATTTTAAAAAATAAATTATGCAATTTTTTAAAAATAATTTTTTGAGACAAATTGTTTTGTTAAATAAAATTAAAAAATTGTTAAGTGACTGCTAACTTTATTGTCATTGAAAATTTTAGTCTTCACTCAAAAATAAATTCTTTACTTTTACAAAAGAAGAAAAAATTATAATAAAAAATTCTATCAACCATATTTACCATTTTATGACATTAAAGTAGCAGTCGCTACCATTTTTTAATTTTTTTTAATAAATAATGCTCCGAAAAATTATTTCTAAAAAATTGCAATTTTTATTTTTTTAATTTTCTAAATGTCAATTTTTTTTTTTTCATTTTCTTTGACATAATTTGTTTGTTGAAAAAATTCTTAAAATTATAAAATATCTGCTAAATTAATTTTCATTACTATTTTTTTCTAATTTATAAGTTATTTTCTCATCACTCGCGTATAAAACATTACATTAAGGATTCAAATTAACGTTCTTCTCAGCACAGTGCCGCCATCTTGCGTCAAAAATAAGAACTACACATGTGTGTTATCACATTTCAGCCAATTAGATTATTTTAGTTTAAACGTGAAATTCAAAAATTTTATAACCGTAAAATCACACAATCGGCGTCATTTGTCAGCGGGCTGTTGATCCATCAAGATAAAAAATTAACACCATGATCACAGTCAGTTGAAAATAAATTAAAATACACATATTTATATTTTTGTGTGTACATTTATTTAATATTTTATATATTTTGTGAAATTATTCAACGTGCTTAGTTAATAATTAGTGAGGTTAAAATGTCTGATAATATAAAAGTAGCAATAAAAGTCCGGCCATTGATCAAACGAGAAAAGGATGATCGGCTGGCAGAACACTGGATTACGGAAAATAATTGTATCCAGCAGATAGACCCGGAGTCCAAAAAACGGGCTGAGGCCAGGTTTCATTTCGGTAATTTTTTGTTTATTTTCATAAGAAAAAAAAAAAAAAGCTTAACCTTAAAAATATTTTCCGGTAGACAAAGACGGAATGGTGTTTGTTTACTTTGAAGGTCAATGTCGGTAACTAATTTTATTTTTTCCAGATTATATTTTCGGAACGGAAGCGAATAATCAAGATGTGTTCGATCAAACGGTAAAGCCAATCGTCGAAGCGGCGATGAATGGATTCAATGGGACGATATTTGCTTACGGGCAAACCGGGTCAGGAAAAACCTACACTATGATGGGAAATAAAGAACAACCTGGTGTGATACCCCTGACAGTTAATTATATATTTAATTATATTCTTAATGATTCAACTCGGAAATATTTGCTGCGTGTTTCTTACATCGAAATTTATAACGAAAAAGTAAATGATTTGCTGGATAAAAATAACCAAGATTTGAAAGTAAAAGAGGACTACCAAGGCCGAATAAATGTTGACTGTAAAGAGGAAGTTATAAATTCTCCGGAATGCGTTCTTCATGCCATGAGGAAGGGCGAAAAGTTACGCAGAATCGGCGAGACAAATATGAATGAACGGAGTAGTAGAAGTCACACAATTTTTCGTTTTACCATCGAGAGTTGCAGAGTTGATGATCCGGACGGCGCCACCACGGAAGCTCAATTAAATTTGATTGACTTGGCGGGTTCTGAGAGAGCTCGGCAAACTGGTGCAACTGGTGAGCGCTTCAATGAAGGCAAGCACATCAATTTGTCTCTCTCGGCGCTGGCTTTGGTGATCAAACAGCTGAGCGAGCCAGGTACCAGTTTCATCAACTACCGGGACAGCAAACTGACGAGGATTTTACAGCCTTCGTTGGGAGGAAACGCTCTTACAACAATCATCTGTGCTGTTACTCCAGCTGCTATTGATGAAACTCAGTGTACGCTGGACTTTGCTGTTAGGGCTAAAGGCATTAAGAACAAGCCACAGGTTAATGAAACCGTTTCGGAGAGAGCTCTATTGAAACGAATGATGAAACATCAAGCGCAGCTTGAAGCTGCTTTGGAGTCGGCTCAAACCAAGCTTGCTGAGAATGAAAAGTACATGTTGCTCCAGCGTATCGAGCTGCTCAGCAAAGCTATTGTTAGCAAGCCAATTAGCGAAGATGAGAAAGTTAAAGCGCGGCGAAGACGAACCTGGGCTCCAGGGAATCCGGTTAAAAATTTTATGAATAAAAGCCTTGATTTCGGGCTTCCGACTATCACGGAATTATCTGCTGATTCTCCGCCAGTGAAGCTTCGGATTAATGATCAGGATGTTGATCTTATTGATTTGAATAACCAATGTAAATATTTAATTAAGATTAATTTTTATGTTTAAGTATGAAATTATCTATATTATTAAAATAATAAGCCCACATGCATTTTGATATATTTTTCATATATTCATATATGTAATATATATAAATATATGAAAAATTGATGTGGGTACTCAAATGAAAGCTCTTGATGAGTGTAACATCGGGATGAGATTATATCTTCAAAAACTTCAATAGTTAAAAAAGTACAGTGCGATTTAACAAAAGTCATTATTTAATAAAGCAAAATTTTATTTATTTATAATTTATAAGCCACATAGTGACTACAAGGTTGCTAGTATAATTTAATTATTTATTTATTTATTACAGCATTTCACACAATTTACCCTGATTTTGAGCTGCAACTTATAAAAGATCAAAATGAAAAAAATAGATTTTCAACTGTGAGTGATGATGGAGAAATAATGCCTACAGTTACTGCTCGCGAACAAGTTTCTGAGGACGAGGATAAAACTCCTGAAGCATCTCCAACGAAATGTCCATGTATCAGGTAATATATTACATGAATTTATTGTTGAACAATAAACTTATTTTTAAAAGATAAATATAATTGTTTTTTTTTTTTTTTTATACTGCGCTGATAAGATAAGGTCTCACAATTTTTTTTACACTCGACTAGCTTTTAAAAGATTAATTATTTCTAACTAACTTAATTTTTAATTGTAATTTTCGTTTTTTTTATTTTACAGGTCACCTTCAACGCCAAAAGTTGAGCTACGTAAGCGGTTGGCGGTATTGAAGTCAGAGTACTCTGAGCTCCGTGAATTTTCTACTCTCGAGAAACAGTTATACCAAGAGGACGGTCTTTCTGCAATGACTGTAAATAAAATTACTATTATTAAAATCCTTTAAAATTCAATGAGTCATTGTGTTAATAAAAAATTTTTTTTTTTTTCTTTTTTAGCAAGCGAATTATGAACGTGAATTAGAGTATTATAAAAAAAGTCTACAAGATTCCGAACAAGTGTGTATGGATTTGAGGAAAAATTACGCAGAGCTGCAGAGTGAGCATGCAATTCTTGCCGAGAATCACAGTCAAGTTCAACGAGAGTGTGAGAAACTTAACGAAGAGAAAAAATCACTAGAAGCACTCCGTGATCATTTTCCATCTGTTGAAGCTGAAAAAAATGAGTACAAAAATAAAATGAATGAAGCTTTGAAAAAAATAAAAATTTTAGAAGACGAAGCTAATTCAAATGCGTATGAACTAGAACTTTTGACAGCTAAGCACAAGAAGCGTGAAAAAGAATTGGAAGATTCACTTAATCTTGCTTGGAAAGACTTTATTGATCCCAGTGAAAAACAAAAATTAATTGATGTTGTTCATTTACAATCACTCGTCAATGAATTAACTGCAAAACTTGAAAGCCAACCTTCACCAGTCACATCTTCCAACAACGAGGAGTTTATTACTAAATTAACAGAATTGGAAAGTCAATTACAACGCTCGGCTGAAGAAAAACATCACTTGGCAGACCAATTAGAAGAATTGTCTATTCATCTGACACAGTTGTCTGAGGCTAAAGCAGTTTCGAGTAATGAGCACGAATTATTGGTGACTGATTTTGAGAAACGAATTGCGGAGCTGGAGGAGACGATTGCTAGCAAAGCGACAGAGTATGATGAGTTACTCGTCAAAAATGTTGAGTTAGCTGACAAATTAGCTGAAAAAATTAAACAAATTGAAAGTAATGAACTGGAAATAGACAAAATGAAAATATCTGTTGATAATTTACAAGCTGACATCGAGAAAAAAGCCGCTGAGATTTTATCGCTCAAGACTTGTGTCGAAAAGTTAGATGTTATGAAAGAAGAAATATTTACTTCTAATGATTTGATTCAGGATGTTGAAGAAGAATTTAAATTAATGCTGGCTAGTCAAGATTCACAGGAGAGTCTGGGTAATGCGCTGGATACTTCTTTCAAGTCAGTAATTGAAATGCCTGGAGATGAAGAGCCGAATTTATTGGATGCTTTAGTGGAAGAACAAAAGAATCGGATAGCTGAGCTTGAATTGCTTCTTGAGGACCAGAGGAATGAGCTTCTAAAGCAGGAAAAACTTTTAGAGGACAAGTCAAATGAGTTGAAAGTATCTATTGAGTCTCATACGAATAAAATCAGCGAGCTCCAAGCGACAAATGACAAACTTAAAGAGCAATTGTCTACTATGCAGAGTGAAAAAACTCTCAATGAAGGTGAGAGAAATGCTATGCAGCTTTTGTTGAAGGAGAGGGACCAGGAATTACAAGAATTGACTAAAACGAAGAATCAGTTGGCATTCATGACGTCACAAAATCAAGAGTTGGAAAAAATAACTACTGATCTTCGTAAACAACTCAATGAGAAAGTACTTGAGCTCGAGGAGAAGCAACGTCATGACCATGAGAGTGAAATTAAAAATCTTAAAGACTATATTACGAATCTGCAGAATTTGTACAAAGACGTACAAGTTGAAAATGAGAATTTGAAACAACAGGCTGACAAAATAAATTCATCTTTGAAGATTGATATTGTTGATGTGTCTGAAGATCATGAAGTGTTGAGACATTCTCTAGATTCATCTGTAGTAAGTCCTTTGGAAAAAACTTGGACTGCTGATCTTGAAACGACGCTTAATGATTCCAAAAATGCTTGTAAAATTTCAGCAGTAAAACCATTCAAAGAACCAAAACCCCTTGAAGAAACTCCGGTCAAAATTAACAAGAATTCAGCGCAAGATGATGTAGAGACAAGCAGTATATTTGCCAATGGTAGTTATTTCGACAGTATGAATGGATCTAGTATGCAGAGTGATATCACGGATTCTATTTTCTTACAAAATTATTCAAATCTTAGTAGTTCTATTAATACAACAGCTTTGGAGCAAAGTAAATCAGACTATGAGGACTCTCAGGGTAATTTAAATACCACTGACTTTGAACTGATAAACAATTTAAGTAAAAAGAATACCAAAGAGTGTGAAAATGTAGTTCGTAAATTATTAAAAATTAAAAATACTTTAGTTGACGAAAATGAGAAGTTAAAAAATAATTTACAAGCTAAAATTGACGAAATTGATGCTATTAATCGTGATATGATGGATTTTAAATCAGGAATGGAGAGTTTGGAGGAAACAGTTCATGCACTCACTACGGAAAATGAGGAGACAAGTACAAAATTAGAAGCATCTAACAACGCGCTTAGTGAAATGGAAATAAAATATAAACAGATGATAAATGATCTTGAGACGGAAATTCAAATGATGGTTAAGGATAAAAAATCTATGGAAAAAATGTTGAAAAATAATGAAGCTAAAATAAAGGAGTTGATTACTGAAAATATGGAGTTGACTAATGACTTGACTGATAGGATAGACGAGTTGAATAAAATTCAGGAGATGAAAGCTCTGGAGTTTGACCATGACTGCAAGTACCGTGACCAATTTAATTATTACATTCAAAAGAACGAAATTCTTCAGAAAGAAAATATCGATTTAGCGAATAAGCACGCTGCTTTGTTTGACGAAAATTCGGCTTTGAAAGAAGCGTATGCTGAATTAGCAACCAATCCAAATGCTGAAAAATTAAATCTCACTGATCTTGAAAATACGAAGGAACTTTTGTCAGCGATATCTCCAATTAGGAGCGAAAAAAGAAGTACTTCGCCGAGTCCGTCGTTAGACAGGTCTATTCATGACATTTTGGATCAGTATGACGAAAATGAGACTTTGCTTGAAAAAATTCGTGATCTAGAGAACCAAAATGAAGAATTGAAAATTTTGAATAAAAAGTTGACTAATATTAAATTGACCTCTTGTAAAAACTGTGCTCATTTAGCGGAACTCAACGAACAGCGTCGTACTATGAAACGTGAGATCATAACAATGAACCAACGAACCCGTGACTTGAAAGAGAAATTCAAGAAAGAGCAGGCTGTGGTTGAAATATTGACGAACAAAGCTAAAGAGGATGTTGATATCAATACCAGTGTGTGTAATGCAACCATGAATGACATCTATGAAGACGTTAGTGTTTCGTACGCCGAGGAGGAAATTCAAAAAATATCCTCGGAGTTGGAGAGTATCCGTGGAGATTATCAGAAATTATCTTCGTTGTATGAAGAAAAGTGCAGTGATACTGACGAACTAAGAAATGGTACTGATAAAGTCGTGTCTCCGAGGTCAAACAAACGCAACGCGAAGTTTGAAAAAATTGAAAAGGAATTGCAAATTTACAAAGACGATCTTCAACAAACCAACAAGAGAATTTTCAGTATTGACAAGAAATTAAATAAATTTATAAATGCCAAGACGAGTACGAAAAAAGAAGTCGAGTCTTTGAAAGCAGTTAAAGAAATGCTTGAAGAAAAATTGACTGAGACTGAAAACTCTGCCATGGAAGCTCAACGCCGGATCAATCAACTCGAAGAACAAGTTGGAAGCTTGACTCAGAAGTTGGAGCAAGCTGGAATTGATAATAAAGATCTTCATGAAGTTACTAAAGGTCTGGAAAGTCAAATTATTGATCTCAAAAAAGCCAAAGAAGACTATGAGCAGACTTGTAATGAATTGAGGTCGTTGTTAGCAGAAGTTGAAGGGAAAAATTTGGCCTTGCAATCTCAGGTAGAAGCACTCAAAGCTGCAGATGCGGAAAAATCTCCGTTGAAGATTGAATTGGATAAATATAAACAAGATATGAATAGTTTTGAGATTGAGGTGCAAAAATTGAGAGGTTTGTTGAGAACATCTGAAGACTCTAAAGACTTGTTGAAGGAAGAGCTGGATCTTGTTAAATCTACGCCTCCACCTGAACGCGAGCAAGTAGTTTCTTTGACGGCTATCATTGATGAATACAAACAGAAAGTTGAGTCGTTGGAAATTTCTGTCAAAGATTTGAGGGAGAAAGTTGATCACTATGCCAGAGAAAATGTCGAACTTGCTGATAAATTAGCGACGTTACAAAAATTGAAGAGGGATTTGGATATCACTGATAATAAAATGGAAGTTTGTGATGAGAGTTTTAGTGGAGATAATAACAATAAAGTCGCTGAGGAATTAGAAACTTTGAGATCGAGATTGATTAAAGAAATTTCAGCTCTTAAGCCGTCTAATGAATTAATGAGTCTTGAGAGTAAAACGGTGAGCGAAATTTTCTTGGTGTTTTTGGAAGCATTGTTGTCGAAAGAAAAAGAAATCGTGCATTTGATAAACCGCCGTAGCGCTCAAGAGAAGAATAAATTGGAAGAGGAGAAAAAAGAATTGATTGACGCTGAAAAACGCGTTAGTAAATGGGCAAAGGAGTTGGAAGCTGATAACGAGAGGCTGCAAAGCGACTTAACTAAGCATGAGAACAAGATCAGTTTGTTGCAAAAGAAGATCTCTCAGTTAGAAAGTTCATTGATGGACAGTGAGCATGAAAAGCAGCTTTTGAATGAAAAGATGACGGTAATGGAGACGGATTTCAATACTCTTCAGCAAGATTATGATAGAATTGCACAGAGCGGTGTGAGTAGCTCTCCTCAAGAACGCGAGAAGTTAATTCAAGAAGCCCTGGAGAGTCGTGAAGCTGAGCATAAAATTAAGTTGAAAGAAGTGGAGCAGAAGTACAATGATAGGTTGAAAGAACTTGAGAGCATGCTCGAGTGTTGCAGAACCCAAAATGCGGATCTCGCTAAGAATTTGGAAGGATTAGAGCTGAATGACCAGCAGTGGAAGAATATTATTGATATGAAGACTATAGAGTTGAACAAATCTAACTCGACTATCCAGCGGCTTCAAACAGAGCTTGCTAATCTGACGGAGCTGTACGATCATATCAAAGAGGACAATCAGAGCAAGGGTAGAAAAATAGAAGAAATAACCGAGCTGCTGAAAATGAAGTGTGACAAATCTTCTGAGTACAAAACTCAGTTGGAGACTATTATTCCGGAGTATGAATTGCTGAAGCAGCAAGCTGCAGAACGACAAGTACGTCTCGAGCAGTACAAGAGCGAAGTTGATAATTTGAGGGGACAAAATAGTCAACAGGTTGCTTTGTTGAAGGACCAGTTGGATGCTGAGCAAATTAAGGCTGCTGGGCTGGTCAAGCAGTTGGCTGAAGTCACTAATAGGTGTACTGCTAATCAAGTGGCGCTGGATCAATTGAAGGAGAAGTGTGAAGAACTTGAGCAGCAGAATGAACGACTTATCAGGAAAGTTAGGAACAGTACTAGTAAAGTCACTGTTGATAGGGAAATTGAGGCTATGAAAGATGAAAATCGAAAGCTGTCTAATGATCTTGAAGGAGCGTGTAATCGTATTAAGGATTTGCAAAATAGTAAGTCGCAATTGATGACTGAGTTTGTGGAGTTGAAAGGACAGTACGAGCTTACTTGCCAGGAGATGAATCTTTTACAAGTTACGCTGAGTAATTATAAGTTGAAAATTAATAGCTCGGAAACTTTAGAATTAAGGAGTAAGTATGATGCTTTGATTATGGAGAAAAATCTTGTAGCTTTGGAGCTTGAAGAAAAACGCTCGACTGTTTTGCAGTATGAGAAAAAAATGGCTGAGTTGGTGAATAAAAATGAAGAAGTGATGAAGAAAAATAAGGAATTGGATGAGGAGATGGATGATATGCTTAATAAAATTAATGAGCTGGATTTGGAAAATACGGAGTTGCAAGACAAAATTTATAAACTGGAAGATAATAATCCTCAAAGAGAAGAGTTGGAGATGCTTAAGAGAACTTTGGAAGGTTTGAAGCAAGAAAACGCGGATCTTAAAGCTAAGTTGAACAACAAATGTGATGGTAATTGCAATATTTCAAGAACTTCGAGTCCTACTTTAGCTAATACTTCGAGGCAGCGGAAGAGAAGCGAATTGTACAATCAGAATCGCCCCTTGGAACTGGCTGATGATCAGATTAATAATTGTGATATTCTTCGACAACAAATTAAGGAACTCGACGCTCAGCTAGTGATGAGAAACGCTAAAATAACGTCTCTTGAGATGCAAATTGAGGCGGGCTTCTTTCCACATCAGAAAAAATGTGACGAGTATACTGAAATTCTTAAGGCATATAAACAACAGAATGATGCACTGAGAGATAAGTTACGAAGTCAACAACGAGCTGAATGTGAAAGGTGTACCAGGCTAAAATCTAATCATCGTGAGTTGGGAGTTCAGACTGATGCTGAGGTGGCTGAGAAGAAAAATGAGAGATTAAGGATGAATAGTGTCAAATATGGAGTTATTCCGGTAAATTAATTTTATATATTTTAGATTTTGATATATTTTATTGATATTTTTTTTTTAATACTTATTTTAATTTATATTTTTTTTTTTATTTTACAGGAGTCTTTACTTGAAACAAAAACAATCGCTAAACTACAGAGTGAAAAAATAAAGCTCCAAGAACTCCTCAAAAAAAGTCATATCAAGATATACGAACAGCAGAACTACATTAAAAAATTAGAAAACCAAGATGAAATTCCAAAAACAAAAAAGTGAGAGATTAAAAACATAATGTATTATAAATGCATGACGCTTTACACATTCCTTAAAAATCACTGACTAATTCTCAAGAAATTATTTATATTTATTTTTTCCTTCGTTAATAAGACGAATTATTTATACTAATGAATTTATTGTGAAAATTAACAAGTATTATATAAACACTTTTTGTATTCTGTATATTTATTAAAATCTTCTATTTTTTGTAATTCTGCTTGATTTATTAATTGCTTGTTGTAGTATTAATTTATTTTTTATTTGTATGACTGGAATTTAAGTGAATTTTGTACTTTGATAAATTTGAATTATAACTATTTTTTATCTTTTTATTTTTAAAACAGCGCAAGTAAAGAAAATATTCATGTCAATGTGTTGGGAATGTCGCAATTAACGCCTCACCGATTTTGGTACGAATAAATGCTTGTCGACAAGATTTATCACAAAAATTATTTAATATAGAGAATATTTAATCATAAGTGGTTTTTATATGTATATAATATATATTATTGATTTTTATAATTGAATATCTAAAGCATGCATAGTCTAAGCAATTTGTGTGAATATAAAAAAATTTTAAAGATTAATTCAATAGAAAATTAATTACTCACAATTAATATTAAGAAACTTAAAACATTTAAAGATATTTTTTAATACAATTTTTTTATTTTAATATTTTTATAAAAATGCTACTTAATATAAAAAGTAATTTAAAAATAAAAATAAAAAAAAAAAACTTGATTTTATAATTAAAAATAATTATTCCTGTTATTTTTTTTAATTCCCTTAATTTGATTTATTAATAATAAAACTTCCTGTAAATTATCATAAGACAAAACAATTTATTTCTTTACATCTTTACTAAATTTAACTTTTTTACGTTTAAATTTCGATTCATCATTATTTTGTTTTACTTTCTTGTTTTTTGGTTTGTAATTCGGGGTGTAGCTTTTTCGTTTGCCAGCAGTATTTTTTTGAAAAAGATCTGAAAGAAAAAAGTAAACAAGTCAATATTGTAATTAATAGTATAAATTTATTTCTAACTATTTTAACAAAAATAAACATACCTTTGTCTGGCTCTTCTCCAACTTCATCGCGATAATACTGGGCATCATCATCATCATCCTCTTGTTTAGTTCCTTGGTACGACTCCTTCGCAAATTTACGCAACAAAATATCGCTCTCGTTTTTCACAGCTTCCTTTTTCCTCTTCATTCCTTCCAAAGATTTTTCTTTATGCTCCTCTTTTTGTTCTTCTTTTTTACGTTTATTGTCTTCTTGAATTCTCTTACGTTTTTCCTTCAATCGTTTCTTTTTCTCACGTAATTTTTCAATCGTTTGAATCTCTTCCTCTGTTTTGTGGATATGTTCATGGAACATTACTTTACCATCCAGTAAACCGTCTTCAACTTTAATTAACTAAAAAATAACAATAAAATTATTTAAACATCTCAATAAAATATTTAATATCTAAAAATTAATTTAAATATGTTACCTGCATTGTCAATCTTGGTCCTAATTCATACAATCTAATTGCACTTTTACCTTTCGCGTGATTACCACGCGATGATAATTCTTGTGATAACGTGACATGACTTTCAGGATCGATCTTTAAATACTAATCTTTCACGCGGTTGGATCACCCACGGATCAATACCTTAAATAATCATTTGACATTTAAAAATCAATTATAATATACATATAATTACAATATCAAAAAAAAATTTATTAATGTATATATTTACCCGGTGCTTGTGGCACGGCCATTCTGTTAATGATTGATTTATAGTTATCAGTACCTGTAACAAACGTTAATTAACTCCAGATAAGCTATCAGTGAATCTTGATTTTATTAAAAATAATAATACAAGAACTTGACCCTAACCTCTGTATGTAACTACTCTAAATGTCAATATGAGTTACAATTACAATTACAGTATTAAAAAAGAATAAAGTATATAGGTCAATAAGTAAATGATATCGAGGTTGAAAAGGGGGCGTTATCGAGCATGGGTCAACTTGTCAAAATAACTACACGAAAATATACAATAAATATAATATAATAAAAGTCATAACCACGTAATGTCAAAAGCCATCAACTAATATAATGACATTATTGGTCCTAAACTTATTGACTTATCATCTGCGCCGTATGACACAAATTCAATAAAATACATTTTAAAATTAATAACAATTATATCTACATTTATATTATTATATAAATTATACTTTTGTTCTAAACACCTTTTAGTTATTACACCGACAGGCGAAACAGCGTCATTCCATCAACTTGTCGTCACTGAGTAGCAAAGTACTTGAGAGTTTTACTCTCTAATCTAATTCCTCAGCTGCTCTCAGTTCTTCTTTTTTATTCAATACGACAGTATCCACAATTGTTCTTAGATTAAAAACTGATAGCAGGTTTTTGTCTAGCGGAAGAAATAGTCACCGCTGCTCTTATTATTTTCCGTATTGAAAAAAAAATGTATAGACGTATAGTTAGTGATTTTTTTTCTCAGAAAACCGATTGAATAAAATGAACCTGTACTGTGCAGCTGACGACCACTGCCCTCGTACCACAATTCACTTTCTTCTCCCTCTGCCTCGACTCTCTTGGTCTTTCTAATTGACAGTATGTACTTGTATCTTTTTTCTTCACTCTATATCACCGATCCAACACCCAGCAATTTTTTCTTTTTACTTTGTATTGTATAGGCTTAAGTATTTAAATGTGTGTGTGTGTGTGTGTGTGTGTGTGTCACTGTACATTAATTCCATACAATTGCAATGGTGGCGCTGATTGTCGGAGAGAGTCCCAAGAGATATTTGATTGGTTGCTGATCTGTGAACAGAGTAGGTAATATCGAGATTCAAACTCTCGACTCACAAAAATCGATTATGACATCAAAGTTAACAGTCACTTAACAATTTTTTAATTTTATTTATCAAAAAAATTTGTTCCAAAAAATTATTAAAAAAAAATTGCATTTTTTATTTTTTAAAACTTCTACATGTCAATTTTTTTTTTCTATTTTTTTTTACCATAATTTATTTGTTATAAAATTTTTAAAATTATCAAAATGAAAATTAAGTTAGCCGACATTTAAAAGTTTTTAGAATTTTTTTTTATTGAATAAATGATTAAAAAAAAATAAAAAAAAATTACACTTGTAAAAAACTTTAAAAACTGTAAGTGCAATTTTTTAAAAATATTTTTTTGTTCTAATTTAATTATTAAAAAAAAAATTAAAAACGTCGGATAACTTTAGTATTATATTATCAAATATATGCTAAATTAATGACATTAATTTTTTGCACTAATTTAATTTCTTTAAAAAATTCTAAAATTTATTAAATATCTGCTACTTTAATTTTCATACAAAATTAATTTTCATAAGTCGATTCTAGCAAAGTCGACCAACAGCTGGTCGATTTAAAGTCACACCACTCTACCAATACAGATGACACTTTTGTAATCGAGTAGTGTGTTGCTGTGTTGCTGCTGGCTGATGGTTTTGAAGAGTTGAGTTTGCCGGCTGTCTCCTTCACTGTCGCACTATTATTTTTCTCTGTTTTTATTTCCGTTAATAACATCGCATCATATCAGTCCACATCTATGAGCATTTATTAATGTATTTTAATATTTATTTAAATACGCGCAAGTACAGACACATTTTATTTCATCATTAAAATAATTATTTTATTTTAAATCAACTCTACCTCGTGTGTTCATTTTTAGTGTGAGTTACTAATTATTTAACTGGTGAGTAAATCAAAATAAAATTATTTTTTAATTAAAAAAACTAATTTATTTTTATTTCAGAAATTTATCAGAAAAGCCAGTTCGGGAATGTTTGAAAAGTACACGTGGATATTTGATTACAAATGTCAATTACTGATACATGAAGCTTGTATTGTTGTTAAATCATTTGTTATTAATTATTGAAGGTAATTGTTGACAGGTAAAAATGATATAAATATTTATTAATAGATAATATAAATTGTTATTTTATTTCAGCGTGTGGATTTATACTATTATTACAAGAGTCTATTTTAATGCCCTTGATTACGATATAGGCGATAGGTAATCGTATGCACTGACGCTTAAATATTAGCTACTGTTAATAGATAGAATAGATCCTAACTAAAACTAATACATTATTATAATAATGTATATAAAATAATGCGCTTGCGCGTCTGTTCCTGAATGATCAATTGTCCTTTATATTATTATACACACAGGCAATAAGTATGTAAATTATTGTATTATAACTTATAATACAAGTTGATACCTACGTAAGTTTACATGCGCATGTATATGGTATATACAATTGCGGTTTTACGATATAATACATACAAGTCATTCGATGCGAGTCGTTTGACAAAATGCTTCCGTGAAAATCAATTGTCCTACTCTCTTTAGCATTTATTAAAAAAAGATTTATAACATTGACAATATACCTCGTGACATTTAGCAATCAAAGTACTTAATTAATTTTTTAAAATCGAATGGCTGAAATTTTTACTTTCATTATTACTTGTACAAAACTTTTACTATTTTACTTTTTGTATATAAACTAACATATTATACGTCAGTGGCGTGATAAACAAAATTACGATTTAGTTTATTGATAACGAGTATTATCAAGAATGAAATTAAAAACCGCTTACAGTTTTTAATGACTTATGATTTTGAAATTTAAAATTCTTAAGTATTACATAAAAGATAAGTTATAAATTTTTTCGAGTATCAATAAATATAAATCTTTAGTCTAGAGTTGACGGACTTTAAAAATAAATAAAATAAATTATAAAATCAGCTGCAGCTTGCAGTATATTTATAATCATATTATTTATAACTGGATCCATATAATTGAGCTCGTAATTTTTTAAAAATAAATTCAAAAAAATTTCCTAATATAAAAAATTTTTTTTAAATGCAATTATAGTCTGGATGATTAGAAACAGGTATAAATAATTTAAATAAAACGGACGGAGTAGTTTTAACTTGGGTAAATTTAACTGCGCATGTTTTTCACTTAATGGGAATGAACTTTAGCTGTTTCGCGTCTAGTCTAGTCAGAAACACGGTCGTTGGTTTCCCGGGGTGGGTCTAGTTCATCTGGTCTGTTTGTATTCTGTCGTAGCCGGTATATGCCAATAGTAACGATACAGCAATACAAGTAAAGTACTGTATGTAATGCATGTGTATGCAACTCGGATACAAATATAATTATATTGTATTCGAGCAACAAACACAATTTTGTTTGCGCGCCAAGTAATGTAAGCCCAGAAAATTAATTTTTTTTCTCTGCTATTACCTATTTGCACACATAAAATAATTTTGCACGAATAGCACGTGTGGAATAAAAAATAATAGAGCTCCGAGTGGGTGAATAGTACAAAGTAAATCGAGAGTGGCATGACTTAAATATTAATAGCGTTAAATTTATATAGTGACTTTGGAATGCCGTTTGGAGCAAGATTCCCACGCGAGCACATTCACGTACATGATGATGCTGGGAGTTATATGGGTATAGTACTCCAATACGCATCTATACTCCATCTGACCGTGCAATGTGCCGGGTGTTTATTTAGTTGTTGTCATTCTATACACTGTATATTTATTGTATGTAGACACATACAATATTCAAAGCTCCACAGTGGTTGTTGGTTTCTCGATATGATATATATTACAATTAAAATAGATTTGATGGGTAGATTGTAAATCTTAACTAACATCAGCAACCCAAACCGGGTGCTTTGATGATTAATTAATATCTTATCTTCATCTCTTGTTAAATATTTTCTCTCTCATGAAATTTTATCTTTTAATCTTTATTACTGGTATATATTGTATTATATTATATGTTGATTCCAGCTCGTTATCTTTTATACCCATGCTGTACAATAGTAGAGAAACGCGTGTCAGAGCTCGGATAAAAACAAAAATAAAAGCTAGAGCAAGAAGTTTACTCCATGAACATTACATGCCGGGGATGTTGATCAGCAAATGTACTCACCGGCGCCATCGATAAACATTTTACGGTCATTCGTTCTCGATCATTATCCATCGGATTATTATATGCCTGTTTTTATTATCGATTTAACTTTGTTATTTATTATTTTAATGCAGGTTGGTGATGAATAAGTGGAGAGTGGATAATAATAGCTGGTAGCTCGGTAAAGGTACGAGAAGCCAGAAGCTGTAGATCGCAAAAACCCGTCTCGTAGAATTAATATTTATAAATTTTCTTACTATACTGGTTTATTTGCCGTTTTTAAGTGCTTTCCCATATGTAATTTGTACTCTAGCTACTGTATTTAATGAAGGTCAGGGGGCTGTTTTCTTCAAGGCTACGGCCCTATCATCAGATCATGTCGTACGATCATGAGTAAAGAGTAGGGGATGCTTCGAGAATCTTCCACGGTGGTCCATACATCCAACCCTACTCTCAATTCTTCAATCACACTTTTTTATTTCATTTAATTCTTCACTGTCTGACTCTCAAGGAAGACTTTTAAATTAAATCTATGTTTATTATTGATTACTATTTAACATTTATTCAGTTGTAGATGCCCCGGGAGTTTTAAATGATAACAAGCTCATTAATATGGACAGCCGATGACGAATCACCGGGTGGAAATAGGTTTAACTCAAGAGTTTTATTTATCTGATGGCGAATCTGTGTGAATTGAATGTATGCTAAAGCTAAAGCTAAAGAAGAAGAAGAAGATTATTCTCGGGCCCCCCCCCCTCCCCTCAAGAGGATGCAGAGACACTGATGATGCACTTGGTGTGCATTTTTTAAAGAGCTTTTTTTTATTTTTGTTTGCATTCGCTCGCGGAGAGAAACCAGTTGAGGAGATTTTTCTCGTGGTGGGAACTTAAGCTGCAACCTACTACCGAGCAAGAAATTCTCGCCCTTCACCTCCCTCACGGTATCCACCGCCCCTTTTATATATAAATTCTGATCCTCTAGCACTCTATTCCAGAAATAGCTTTCGTTATAAATGTGGAGTCCGGTCATCTAAAAGGGGATAATGCTCGCGGGCTGTGGAATTTTTATATGGTTAAAAAAAAATAAAATAACCAACTAACAATTTGTTTTGCTTTATCCACACTCGAGGCGCCGAGGTATCAGTGAGTTTTTTAAATTCTTATTTGTTTAGAATAAAAAATAACGAATGAATGATTGGTTGACCAGACAGACGTAGAATGGACCCGCTTGGATAAAGGTGTCTAGTCTTGTCTCTTGTACCTTGCATAGAGGGTATGTGTGTCTTACGGTTGATGCTGATCATGCACATTAATGACTTGGCCGGCCTCCTGCTCGGCTGGTTACCTGTCCAGACTTGGGCCATTGACAAGTAGACGCACACTTTATGGTGGGGTGTCTTGAATCTTTAAGAATCCTGGATAATAATAAGAGTATCAAGAGAGTATATATGCCTGGTAGACAATACTCAATCCTTAAACCCGAGTCTTGACCGATGATATGCATTAGTATGGATGTACGGATGTATGTATTGGTATATTAAGCTGGTGAAGGAATAGACATTGTTGCTACACACACCCCGGGTTCACTACTGACTCTCACTCTCACTCCCGCCCTCATCACTACTTGCGGCTCTGACTTGAGAGTCTCCAAGCCGGTCGAGATGTTACCAATGCAACGAACCGTACGTTAGTCGGGTTTCAAACTTCACGAGGATCATATCTTGGTCCCAATTTATTTTCTTTTTTATATTGATAATTGATACTTTAATAATCGCGGCTTTAGTACTAGAAATTTTATTATTTTCTTGGACTGAATTCAGGTGATTATTTTAATTATTTTTTAAATTAATTAAAAATTTATTATCTAAACGTAACACTGTTCAAACAAATTAAATTATTTGTTTTATTGTTAAACCAGACTTAGACTACTAACGCACATAATTTGTCTAATCATTGTTGGTATTAAGACGTCAAATACTATTATCACAGTTGTAAATTTAATCTAATTATTTTATTTCTTTTTTTATGATTACAGATTCAGGAAGGAAAATTATATTAACTGTGGTGGCTTAAGCAAAGATTCAAATAGTTAGAGATAGACTTTTTATGAGAAAAATTTTCTCTGACATTTAATAAATAAAATTAGTTAGGTAATTGGAAAAAATGGCTTACGATGATGTTATTTTACGGATGGGAGAATTCGGGAGGTATCAACGCAGGATTTATGTACTGCTCTGCCTTCCAGCGATTATTTGTGCTTTTCATAAGATGGGTGGAGTTTTTCTCGGACCCAAGATGACTACCAGGTATATATTTTTTTATTAATAAAAAATTGTGTTGGGGATTAAGTTAATTAATTAACTGGTTTATTATTACAGATGTTTATTACCTTGGGAAGAAAAGAACGCAACATTTTTTATAGACCCAGTTATTATGAATGCGAGTTACCCCATAGAAGATAAGCAGTGCTTGAGACGAGTAAATTTGACGGGATACGTCCCTGAAGGCAGAGGAAATGCTATAGCTGGAAGTAGCGGCGATTCGACAAGGTTGTCAAGCGACGGGCTCACGACCTGCGAGGAATTCGTCTTTGACACTAGCATTTACAAAAGTACAACTACCTCTGAGGTATGGTATATTATTAGTACAAATATCGTAGTCATCAGTAGTACAGGTAATTACCTGGTATCATCGGCTTACTGTCTGTACGATCAAAGGATCCATTACAAGAAATAATTACCGATATATCCTGGCTATCCAAGTAGTAAGAGCATGCAATCATTTTACATTGCGTGAGAAAAACTAACGTTGCTACCCGAGAATGAAATAAATGTTGAAAAAAAAAATTTATGAATGAACCAATTATTTAGTATGTTAAATACATTTTTTTTTATTCCAGTGGAACCTAGTTTGTGAAAGAAAATGGATGAGAGCTTTTGGAGATTCGCTTTTCATGGTAGGAGTGATGCTTGGTTCAATAATATTTGGTGGTTTGTCTGACAAATTTGGACGTAGACCAATTTTCTTCCTGTCTTTAGTAATTCAGCTCGTCGGAGGTATACTTGTTGCCATTGCTCCGGAGTATGTTTCGTATATCATCTTTAGATTAATTGTTGGTTCAACGACAAGTGGGGTGTTCTTGGTAGCCTACGTAATTGGTAAAGTATAATTAATATTAAAAAAAATTTATAATTTCATACACAGAAAAAAAAGGTTTAAAGCCAAGAAATTATTTTTCTTCCTAATTATTTTCTTGAGCGAAAAAAAATTTTTTTTTGACAAGAAATTTCACGTATTCCAAGAAAATTAACTCTCTGGCTTTAGTAGGTTGCGCTGCTTCTCTAAAGTATCTAAAAATCTTGATCAAATGTAAAAATTTATTGTATCAAGTACTTATGATAATTTGAATTAAGAAAAATTACTTCCACTAAAGAATTGAATTTCAAGAAAAATTTTTACTTCGGCCAACACAACTTTGGTCTTCCTTCAGGTACCCGAAAATTTTCTTGAGCCAAGAATTTTGTTCTCCAGTCAAGAAATTTTTCTTTCTGTGTAGATAAGTAACTAATTGAGTTTTTAAATTAATTATAATCCTCTATTTAACAGCTCTGGAAATGGTTGGTCCGAAAAAACGTTCAGTTGCTGGAGTAGGTTGTCAGCTATTTTTCACATTTGGTTACATAGTAACCGCTGCGTTTGCTTACTACATTCGTGATTGGAGATACTTGCAAGTCGCTATTACACTACCGAGCTTTGCCTTTCTTGTTTATTGGTGGTAATTATTTTCATTTAAATTTAATTAGTCGGGAAATAATTAACAAATTAAGATTTTATTAATGATAAATTATGGTTTATATTTAGGTTTATTCCTGAATCTGCGCGTTGGCTTTTGACAAAAGGCAAAGACGATGAAGCTAAAGAATTATTGCAGCGCGCTGCTAAGGAAAATGGTATTGAAATACCTCGTGATACGTTAGATTGTCTTTTACATGAAAACTGCGGAGAAAATGTTGTTGTAAATAGCCAAGCCTCGTTGTTTGATTTATTCCGTACTCCAAATCTCAGAAAAAAGAGTTTACTTCTCTTTTTCAATTGGTAAATCGCATACTAAAAATTAAAAAAAAGTAAATTATCAATAATTCGAAATACTAACGAAAAAAATTTTCAGGTTGGTCAACAGTGGAACTTATTATGGTCTTTCGTGGAATGTAAATAATTTAGGAGGAAATGATTATGTTAATTTTGTAATACTCGGTGCTGTTGAAGTACCAGCATACTTATTTCTGATTTTTGTACTAGAACGTTGGGGAAGAAAGAGTATTCTTTGTGGTTGCATGGTTGTTTCTGGTCTTGCCTTAGTAGGAACGATATTTGTTCCAGAAGGTATTTATTAAATATTATTATTAATTTTATGGTGTTTTTTTAAACACCATTGTCTTTGTGGATAATACTAGCTGCTATACACTCGTTTATTTTTTTTCTGTTATTTAGAATATCCTTGGATGATTATAGTACTTGCAATGATCGGTAAATTGGCAATAACATCCTCATATGGTGGTATATATGTTTTTACTGCTGAACAGTTCCCTACGGTTGTGAGAAACGTTGGCCTTGGAGCTTGTTCAACTTTCGCCAGAATTGGCGGTGTCATTGCACCCTATGTTAATCATTTAGTATGTGTATACTATAGCTTTAGACTATTCTTAATTTTTTTTAATTAATCCATTGATTGATTTTAAGATTTTAAACTCCAACAATTCTATTTAATTGATTCTATTTAATCATAAATTTATTTATTTATTTAATTTTTTTTTTATTAACTTACAGGCCGAAATATGGAAACCTTTACCACTAGTTATATTTGGAGGTTGCGCTCTCGTTGGAGGCTTGATATCACTCATGTTACCTGAAACGCTTAACAAGAAATTACCTGAAACAATTGAAGACGGTGAATTATTCGGATTGTAAGTATTAAAAATTAAATTTTTAATTATTTAATTAATTATTTTGAATTAATAAATTTTTACTGCCTTGTAGAAAAGACAAAACTTCAAAATTAAACAAAGATAAACATCGAGAATTAAAACAGCTAGATGTACATCACTTGACTGATACTGACTCAATGAAACCATTGAAGCCAGTAGAAAATGGAATACATGATTCAAAGCAAAATGGATGACGCCCATAAGTTTACTGAAATTTGGAAAAGATGTTTGCAGTATTCGAGGATTTTTAAAATCTGCCAAGCGTGTAAACGCTATAAAAAATGTTAAAAAATAAAAAAAAAAAAATTAAAAAAAAAAAGACATGTGTTCCTTTGTACCGCGATCGTCATTAGAATAAAATAGAACGTTGTTCTAATTTATAAAAAGGCACTGCGCTTTGATGCTACAAAAAACGATAATTATGGTTGTGTGATTAATCTTATTGAAAGTTTCTTTTAAAATATTTTTTTTAATGAACATTGAAATTGTGACCGATGAATGACTGATTAACTTTTAATCGTAAGTTAATAATAATATCAACGCGCACTTTTATATTATTATTATACAAACTTTTTAAATCACTCAATTGTTAGTAATAAATTTATTTGTTGTATTATTTTCATTGCTGTTTATAAACGATATTTTGAATGTCATTAAATCCTTTTTATACACAAAAATCAATTGAATTTTTATTTTTTTTAACCGTCCAAGCTTACTTGTTTTGTTATTATCAAAATTATTTATGATACTATGATTAGCCGACGTTCAACAATTTTTGATTTTTTTTATTAATTAAATTAGAACTAAAAAAATGTTTTCAAAAAATTGCACGGACAATTTTAAATTTTTTCTACATGTGAATTTTTTTTTTTTTAATTCTTTAATAAAATAAATTATAAAAATTTTCAGATGTCAGCTAATTGAGTTTTCATAAATTAATTTATCAGATATTTTCATAATTTAAAAATTTTTGTAACAAATAAATTATGAAAAAAAAAAAAAAAAAAATTGGTATGTAGAAATTTAAAAAAATTAAAAATGCAATTTTTTAAAAATATTTTTTTGAAACAAATTTGCTTGTTAAAAAATTGTCAAATGACAGAATTTAATGTCATTTTGTTTTTTATAGTTTTTAAAAAAAAATTTTAAAAACTTCTGCAGCGCCACCACTGAAATTTTTGTTAAATAGCGCCTTCGTTCGATAACCCGAAGATTCACGAGCTAAAAAACATTACCCGAATCTAGTATAAGCGTAAAAAGAGTGTATTATTATTATTCTTAGTCCCCTTAGACCCTATTCTCATCCTACTTAAAACTCGCGACTTGCAAATATAACCTATATTCATATGTATATATATTTACACGTATTACATAGTAAAGTAGTGTCATAAGTGCGATCGTACTAGTCGTCGATCAGGCGATAGATAAAATTATTTTAGAATAAGAACAAAATAAAAAAGATATCTGCATATATATAATTAATCAACCTTTCAAAGATGATGGCTAACTGTGTGAGGAATATCAGCCGTGAGGCTTCTCGACGTAATGTAAGCTCTTAATTAATAACTTTAAATCTTCTATTAAATGTCCAATTATTCAAAATTAATAACATTGAAATTTATGATTTGCTATCTATTTTGTTATAATAAATTCAAATGTATGACCTTCGTTTATATATTGAAGGTGCATTTAGATTATATATTAATTAATGCAGCTTAGATTAGTTATCAGTACATTTAAATAAAAGAACTTTTTTTTCCTTATTATGGTTAAATCATCGGTGATCTCTCTCTCTCTCTTGCCCTTTAATACTTGGGCACAAGCAAGTTCGCAACATGGAACGAGGTAAATATACCTCTAAACTGTGAAAGAATTTAATTTATAATTTATTAAAGCACTTATCTCATTGATGTATGTTGCCAAGTGATTTATGTTATTGTCCAAGTTCTATGCGATTTTTTTTTTTTTCAATTTTACAATTTCTTTTCGTTCGAATTATACTAATAATAATGATACTGGAATTAGCAGACATCTAGCAATTTCTGAAATTTTTATGAAAATAACATTAGCAGACAGCTGACAATTTTCAGAATTTTTTTTTATTAATAAAATAATTACAAAAAAATTAAAAGAAAAAATTCCACATGTAAAAACTTTGGAAAACTGGACGTGCAATTTTTTAAAAATATTTTTTTATTGCTTATTCAATTAATAAAAAAAAAAAATAAAAATTTTTCGCGGTCGGCTAATTTTAGTCTCATAAATTTTTATAAAAAATTCACACATTTTTTTTTTGCTAAATTTTAATTGTAATAAAAATCTAAAAAATTTATAGATATCTGTCATATTCTGTATTAATAATAATAATAATAATTATTATGATTTTTTTTTTAAATATTAATGTAAATATTAATTTCTGTTACAGATTTTCTCAGTATTTTCCGGTGGACGTAACAACTATGCTACAGAAGCATCATTCGAAACGAAACCCTTCAGATTACATAAATTAGATTCTGGACCGTCAACAAAAGTAACAGTAACACGAGAAGAGGCACTTGAAATTTACAAAAAATTACATACTATCAGACGAATTGAAACTGCTGCTGGTAATCTTTATAAAGAAAAAATAGTCCGTGGATTTTGTCACTTGTATTCTGGACAAGTAAGTTTTCTTTCAATTAACTGTCACATCAGTTGAAAAAAATTTAAGCAAATTAAAATTAAAAAATATTTATCAACAGGAAGCATGTGCAGTAGGAATGACTGCAGCCTTGAGACCCCAGGACTCTGTGATCACAGCTTACCGTGCCCACGGTTGGACTTACTTGATGGGTATTCCACCAGTAGGAGTACTGGCTGAGTTGACGGGTAGACAAAGTGGTAATGCGCGTGGTAAGGGAGGTTCTATGCACATGTACGCCAAAAATTTCTACGGTGGAAACGGTATCGTTGGTGCTCAGGTACTTTTAAAAATAATTCATTTAAAATTATTAAAAAATTGTATCTAGGTTCAAAAATAATTCATTTAAAATTGGTAAAAAAATGTATCTAGGTTCCACTGGGAGCTGGAATAGCTTTTGCACACAAGTACAAAGGAGATGGAGGAGTATGTTTAGCATTGTACGGTGACGGAGCCGCCAATCAAGGTCAAATTTTTGAAGTTTACAATATGAGTAAATTGTGGGATGTTCCTTGCATTTTTATCTGTGAAAATAATCAGTATGGGATGGGTACAAGTGCTGAAAGAGCTGCTGCTAATACAGAGTATTACACCCGTGGTGATTACATACCTGGAATCTGGGTAATTATTTTTTATGGTACTTAAATTGATAGACATTGATAATTTTTTAAAATAAATAAATTATAATAAGAAAAATTTATTAAAAAATATTCCAAAAATTTTTATGTTAAATATTTAATACTTTTTTGAGTTGATTTAACAAAATAAATGTTAAATTTACCTATAAAAGTGATAAATATTTAACACAAAACTTTTTGACAAAAGGACGTAAAATTTTTTACTGTGTAGAAGCTCTAAAAAATTACAAATGCAATTTTTTAAAATAATTTTCTATACCTAGTTTATTTTTAAAAAAAAATTGTCAAATGTCTGCTAATTTTTCAGTATAATTTTTTAAAAATTATTTATTGTTAATAGAAGTAAATAATATCTTTAATAATTTATTGATGAATCTTAGGTTGATGGTATGGATGTATTAGCTGTCAGAGAAGCCATGAGATTTGCGATTAAGCACTGTACATCTGGCAAAGGACCACTTGTAATGGAAACAATGACATACAGATACAGTGGTCACAGTATGTCAGATCCTGGTACCAGTTACAGAACAAGAGAAGAAATTCAAGAAGTCAGACAAACTCGTGATCCAATTACTGGTTTCAAAGAAAGAATTCTTAATGCTAATCTCGTTACTGCTGACGACTTGAAGGTATAATTTTAAAAATTTTTAATCATAAAATTTATAATTAAAATATTTTAATAATAATTGCAGAAATTGGAGTCAGAAATAAAGAAGGAAGTTGATGAAGCTGTAAAAATTGCCAAAGCCGACAAAGAAATTGATGATCACGAGCTCAGTGCTGATATTTATGCCAATTGCTTGGAAAGTGAAATTCGTGATGTCACACCATTTACTTCCCTAAAGCACAGTAGAATCGGGCCAGCCGTCAACGCTTAAACCATATCGACACCTTTTATAGTTGAATTTTTTTTTCAATAATTTAATGAATAAAATAATTAAATACCCAAGTAATTAACGGCTCACATCTTGTCGTTACGTCTTAGTTGATGGATTTAAATACAATTTAAATTCGATAAGAACTTGTTATCAATAAATCAATATAGAAAATTAAATAAATTATTTAAAAAAGTATCAGTCGCTGTAATTGCCTGCTTGGACAACAATGTAAAAAAATATTAAGGCGATATCAATCAATTTTAAGAAATAAAAATCACGACGTTTATTAATCACAATGACTTATTAATTAATTAACGCAGTGTACCTTACAATTAGAGTTTTAGTTTATTTAATTATATTCTTAAAGATAATTAATTCATTTTTATATTTATCAGAAAATGAACTATTTTTGTTAGTTCTAACTAAACATGCAATTCATACTCTGAACAACACAATATTGTTTTACATTATGTAAAAGACAGTGTAGAAGAACGTTGCGGTATTGAAAATTATTAGTTCGTTCTTTAAATTACAATAAATAAGAGAAAAAAATACGTACTTCCGGATCATTAATAAGGAAACAGTTTTTTTTTTTTTTTATCTGGGTAGGAGTAAGAAATCATTGTTGGCATCGTTTGTCAGTTGCTAACAAACGGTCCTCGATAAATCTTTTAAATTGAAAAAGAAAAAAAAATTAATATTGACAATAATGGTCGCTAACAATTTTAAGTCAATCAGTTCAACTCAAACTATCTTCACAATAGGTAAATAATTTTTTAATTTATTTTTTGTGCATCAAAATTTAAAGATCTAAAATTAAAATTGATTTTAAAAATTTTTTACAGAAAATAAAAATACATTACCGAAAGATGGTGTGAATTTCGAAACAGCTATAGAATTATGTGGTGAGTTTTCTAATAAATAAATTTTTATATCATTAAAAATTAATTACTAAGTGTTTTTTTTTCTTTTTAAAATAGAATATGGAAAATTTCATTATAGTGTCATCATTGTTTGCGGACTGATATTTGTATTTGGAGGATGTCAGAGTGGTATAAATTCATATATAATTCCAGCAGCAGAATGTGATCTCAATTTAAATTCTCATCAAAAAGGTCTTATCAACACAGCATTTTTAATTGGTAAAAAATTACTTTCCTATTTAAGGTAAAGGACCCAGTTATTGACACTGGCCTAGTTGTTTGACACTTGCAATTTTAATAACATTAAAGTTAGCCGTCAATTAACAATTTTTTAATTTTATTTAACAAAAAAATTTGTTCCGAAAAATTATTTAAAAATAATTGCATTTTTTTTTTTTTATTTCTACATGTCAATTTTTTTAAATAATTTTTTTCGAGTCATAATTTCTTTGTTACAAAAATTTTCTTAAATTATCAAATATCTTCTAAATTAATTTTTATTCTAATTAAAAAAATAAAATGTTCTCAAAAAATTAATTGTCTCAAAATTTATAATTCAAAAAATATATCTATTAATTTATTAGAGTTGATTTGTTTGTTTTTAATTAAAATAAAATTGCAAGTGTCAATAACTGGGTCTTTTACCTTATATAAGAATTATTTAAAAAATTTCATAGCTTCACTGTCTCTTCAGAGACCGTGAATATCATGACCCACGTGTTGATGAATTACTCGTAAATATTATCAGTGCAATACTAATTTTAAGAATACATAATTATCAGATATGTTAATAAAATATTAATTCATAATTAAAATAATTAAATACACTGTCGTAAAGAATAAAATAAATAAATTAGTATTGGTAATAAATTTAAAAGATGATAATAAAATAGAAAAAAAAAAAAATTAATGCTATTTTTTATAAAATATTTCCTCAATAAGGAATATAAATTTGTCTCAAGTGCTTTTTATCAGCTAACAAAAGTTAATAGACTGTAGTAGGTATGAGTATTGAGAATAAATCTATTTTTATTTCAGGCGGTATGTCAAGTTCATTTCTTTGGGGCATATCGGCTAATGCTTATGGCCGGAAGAGGATTCTTGTTGGTACTTTATTAACTGATAGCCTTCTCACGTTTTTATCAAGCCTTTCTCAGAGCTTTGAGGTTCTCGTTGTCTTCCGAGCATTCGCTGGTTTTTTGTAAGTCTTCCCCCTTACTTGTTAATAAATTTAGTATATAGATTATGTCTATAAACATCAATTTATTTTATATAAATTATTTATTGTATCTCTTCAACAGAATTGGAGCTCCAGGTTCATTAATTTACAATTATCTTGGTGAATTTCATACATCTAAATTACGTGTTAAGTGCATGTGTATCATCGGTTTTTGCTGGACATCTGCATCATTATTATTACCAGGTAATTAATTGTCTAATAAATAATCTAAAAAAATAAAATGATTTAATTAATGATACTTTTTTTTTTTTTTTTTAGGTCTGGCGTGGTTCATTATTCCTCTTAAATTTTCATTTGAATTTGCGGGATTTATCTTCAATTCTTGGAGACTTTATCTCGGATTAATTGGAGTCCCAACTTTAGTCCTGGGATTTATTCTTACTATGTACCCGGAAAGTCCTAAGTATTTATTATCTCGTGGTAGAAAACAAGAAGCCCTTGAAATTCTTCGAGAAATCTATGCTGTTAATACTGGGCGAAACAAGTCTGACTATCCTGTCAGTACTAGATTGTTAAAACCAATCAATAATTTATTTTTTTTTTTTTTTAATCTAACAACCAATTAGTTGACTTTGTTTTTATTTTTTTAAATGTTTAAGGTAAAGGAATTAAAGATTTCTACTGATGAGATTGATGAGAGGAATAAATTGTCGATTGAAGTGACGATCGATGATGCATCTAATTTACTTGTAATCAAAAGACTATTAAAAGAGGCATGTCGAGAAATAAAAACTTTGACATCTACTCCTCATGTCAAGTGGGCACTGCTCTGTTGGACTATTTATTTTACAAATTTATTCGGGTAATTTTTTTTATTTAAATTTTATTATTTTTAATTAATTAAAAAAAAATTATACTGAAATTAAGACACTTGATAATATTTTTTTAATTTTTACATTTAAATTTAAACTAAAAAAATTGCACTTATTTGTTTTTAAATTTTCTACAAGTGAAATTAAAAAAAAATTTTTTTGTTATACATTTTTTAATAAAAAAAAAATTATAAAAATTGTTAAATGCTTGCTAACTTTATTTTAATAAAAAATTACACATAAAGAAAGTAAAAAAAAATTTTTAAATTCAAAATTAAAAAAAAATCTTTTTGATATAATTGAATTGTTATAAAAATTAAAAAAATTGTCAGATGTCTTAATTAAAATAAAATTACCAATTTAAATAGCTGGTATGGCTTTGGTATATGGATGCCAGAATTACTGAACCGATTTGAAAATTTCTACAAACTTCATCCAAATATTACAACAGCAAGTGTAAGTGAGTTAGTATCACTGAATCAAACATCAACGATACGTAAATATGATTGTGAAAATCACAGTATGAATGAAAAAGTATTTGTTAACACATTAATAATAAATGCTGCGTGTTCAATAGGAAACATAATGTGTATTTACTTATCTAATCATGTAGGACGACGTACAATTCCTGGTAATTATTCAAATGATTAGATCATCAGTTAATAATTTATCTATTATTACTTACTTAAATTTTTGTTTTTATTTTTATTTTTATTTGGACAGTAACGACGTTGATTGTCTCTGGAGTTGCTGGAGTAGCTTTGTATTTTATAAGATCGTCCACACAAATTATAATTGTGTCTGGCATATTTTCAGTAGCAATGACAGCAGCTAATATTGTTTTAAATAGTACTGTTGTTGATATATTTCCTACACATATAAGTGCCCTCGCTCTATGTATAAATTCATTCTTTGGACGTATTGGTGCTATTGTTAGTAATATTGCATTTGGAGCACTTGTTGATGTCAATTGCGAAGTACTGATTTTTCTTGTAGCCTCTATTATTATTGGTAAGCGTTTTAATCAATCAATTAATTGTTTTTCTATAAATAGATAATTATATTTTTATTTTTATTTCAGTGGGTGCCATGCTAGCATTTTTTCTTCCTCCAAAAGACCCTCCTCGGGTTTTAGAGACTTAATTTATATAAATAAAAAAATTATTTATTAATTAAAAGTAAATGAAATATTTGATAATAAAAAAGCCATTTTTTAATAGTTAATCTCATGTATTTTTTTTTTTTTAAAAACTTTTTTTAAATTTTTTAGTTTTCATAAAAATCAAGAAAATAATCCAGTCAACTTGTTTGATCTTACACATGTATTTACGTAAATTGTTATTTTTTTATTAATTATTTTTTGTCATCAATTGATACACCAGATAACTGGTATATAGAGTTAATACCAGTAATCTAGGTACATTGCGCGTGCCGCAGTCCTCAACTTTTTTTAAACCTCATGTAGAACAAAGTACAGTTAATTTTTTAATTTTTTAGTCAAAAAAAAAAACAAATTTGTTTTGTTAAATTAAATAAAATAATAATTAATCCGGGTCAAATAGAAAAATAACACCCGGTGCAATTTGTTCGTAATCGCGTTTCATTTATTATTTATTTTCGCCAGCCTATTGCTTTAATTTATTGCCGTCTTTAATTCGATGCATCGCATTTTGCGCGATGACGAACAAGACTATGGCGTATTCATCAATTTTTTTTTTTTAATATACACATTACTCTAAACACTGTGTTATGAATAAATATATATACGTATAAATATATATATATATTTATTATATAATTAATCATATTAATATTTATAATAATAAGAATAATAATCAATAATAATCGTAATTGTTACTATTAATATTAATAAAACGTACAATATACAAGAGTAATCCGCTTGATTTAATAATATTTACCAAAAAATTGCGGACAAATACAATTTTTTTTCCCTCCATTATAAATTTCATCTTTATCATTTGATTGCAACATTTTTTTTTTTTTATTAAACTTATCAATTAATTAAGTATAAATTTATTATTGCATTATTCCGATGACAAAATTTTTTTTTTTTTTGGCAGGTATAAAAAGTCAAGGCATAACATTTCACTACAATTAGTCAATTGAACATTAGTTATAAATATTAATTAATAAAAACGGAGGGATTATTTAATCGCTTTTTGTGTATATAGTTCTACGAAAACGGCGGACACAAGAGACTTTAATTTTTTTATTTTTTTAATTGGGTAAACAGGCCAGATTTACATGGGCACTGTTCTCTTAGGTATTTTTTCGTGTTTGTCTGTTTTTCTTTTTTTTTTTTTTAAAGTATCGAATACACGTTTTCGTTGCGTCACAATGTTTATTACTATTAATTATTATTAAATATTATAATCAACATCATAAAAGGCACAATGTTTCACAGAGACAATTTTAAGCTGGACATTTAAAATTTAAAAACTATTATAAACGATTTTATTAATAATAATATTACAACTTTGTTCGTCAATACAATAAAAATAAAAATTGACAATAAAATAATGAATCTCTCGATGCATTTATTTAAAATGTTTAAAAAAAAAAAAACAAATGTGAGTTTGTATGGTTTGTAATACAGTCTTAAATATTTACCAACGATTGCCGATACCCGAGTTAAATAAATTATTACATGGGCCTAAATACCTGAGAGCCCAAGGTCTTCCCCGTGAAGAATCTCGATGTCAAGTATGGCATACTAGACATCTCGAGACTAAACAAGACTCATCGAGTTAGTAGTACTCTATAGGGAGTTTTCTTATAATTTCCATCGTATCGTATCGTATATTATTGTTATTATTTAGCAATGGCACGGTGACGCAACTCAACCAGTTTTTTTATTATTTTCCTTTTATTAAACTTTTATTTTTATATATCTATCTATGTATATATATATTTATATGGATGAAAGCGTAAACCATACATACATCATGTATAAGATATACAACAATATCGTACAAATAAAACAGTCACGCACTTTTTAAAATAGTCTCAAGACGTTCAGAAGGCAAAAACTGAACCGACTAACCAAGCAAACTTGTTCATCATCGTCCTCATACTTATATACTTTTACACATAACATACTCACTCGCTTTTATTTCTTATTTTCTAGCTCTCTCCCTCGTTCTGTACAAGACACTCACTCATCGACCACATTATATGGCAATTAGCGTCGCGTTTATTGGCATTTTATTTTATTATTATTATATATATATATATTTATATATTGTTATTATTTATAAACTTAAGACCTCGTTAATCACTTATAAATTTTCCCCGCTCAAGTGTTAAATAATTTTGAAAAATTCCTCTTAATTATTTATTGCACGGAGCGTACACAGAAAGAACAAGATTACACTGGATATCATCCCAGATTATAATGAGTATAATCCAGATATCACTCAGTATAATCTGGATTATACTAGTATATATACGCTGTATAAATAATTTTATTTACAAATGTGTTTATCTTTTCGCGGCTACAAAATCTTAATAAATAAACAAAATATTAAAGCATGAACCGCGATCAACAGTTTTTCCGGACGCGTCCTATCGTTATTTTATTTAATTATTATTACTACTAATTAAACATTTATTTATTTATATGTATACAAATTCATGCTCTTGTTTGTTTATTTTTAATCATCTCTTATCCAGCAACGTGTACAATTACGTGATTGCTTCCATTCGCGATACGGAAATGAACTACAGTGAGGTATAAGCCATTCGATTAGGCTAACAACAGAGATAGTCTCTTTCGTATATCAAATACGATTGACCATTATTAATATAATAATTATTGTTAATTATTTTTTTTTATACAAATTACTTAATATAATATATAATATATATATGTATATTTATTTATATATTTATATTACCACGAATTACTGAAATGCGAAGGCAATAAAGAAACAATTGGCTCTGTGTAATGGCTCCAAAGAAATGGGCCGTCTTGCTGGATAATATTATTAATCTTCATTTTTTGTTTGTTGCTGTTATTATCATTATTATTATTATTATCATTATTAGTTATTACACGAATAATTAATGACGGCCCTCTCTTTGTCATTCCCTCGAACGATGAGGAAGGCACGATCGGTAACGACGTCGACGACGTAAAAGATGACAAGATCACCTGCACGGTGCTAATAAAACTTCAAGCCAGCATGGACACGATGTTATCTCTTGTCGCTTGTACCTGGGTCCCCATCCTTTTACGAAGCTTATTCTCACAGAGTACATGTCAACAGGACCACCTGAATTGGCGCCTCCTGCTCCACTTATTCCTCCTTCTCCTCCTCCTCCTCCTTCGTTCCCGTTGCTGTAAGTACAGCGTGATGGTAAATTTTTTGCACGATCGAATATGTTCAAACATGATCCAGGAGGAACGCGGTAAACCAATAATGTACGTGACTCCGGATCATCGAGTGTCGGAGAATTTACAAATATTGGATTACTGGATCTGTTGTACGCCCATACACCATCGTCTTCTTGGCTCAATACGAGACCTACAGCAAACAAAATAATAATAAAAATTATTTTATAATAGTATAAAAAATAATAATAAAAAAAAAAAAAAAATACATGTAATATAATAAAAGTAATAACGATTATTATATATTATATAGAGCATTTTTTCACGCAAACAAGCTTAGTCAAACGAGTTCACGATACATATAAATATAAAAATAAAAAAAAAATAAATTATCGTGTACACGCAAACTACTCGACTACTACTGGCTTAACTATATATACATTTAAAGCCTATATATTTTTATATGTTGGTGTAATATATACATACCTAGACCAATTTTACTGCGTGTAGTTTTAGCATCGTCGACAGAATCATGGTTCTCAGCAAGACTGGCCAAGCAGAGTCCATCGCCGTCGTGTAACGAGTCAAATACACTTATTGTTGATGACTCCACGGGGTAAAGTCTTCCAACACGACCACCAAGTTCCCAGTAAGCAAGAGTACACCATTCTTTTCGTCGATGCCCGTCACCACGCTCTGTAATAAAACAAAACCAAAAAAAAAAAAAAAAATTAAAACCAACGTTATTATTAACCATTAAAATAATAGCTTTAATGCTTCGCGGCGATAATATGCCAACGAAAAATACTCAAAAAGAGAAACCAAAGACCTGGAGGATTTTAAGTCCAAGGTTAAGAGTATAGAGTCTTAATATAATAAAGATAGAGATGATGATGATGATGATGATGATGGTTCTGTAGTAGGTATAGTGAAGCGGTGGATAGACTGAGAAAAGGAAAGAGAGAGAAAAGTAAAGAAGTGGCTTGTCTGGATGGGCCACTGCGGCCCACGGTTCAACTCGACCCGTTCTTCTACCACCGTCATCATCATCATCATCATCGTGGACTACGGCAATCATCTCATCGTTTTCATCCTGCCGCAACCCGCGCGACCATTGCCGCTCCCGCCCGCCACCGCGCCAACGTTGTAGAAAAACTGCTCGTCTCGCCGCGAAAATTATAATGCTCGACCGAGTGGCGGCGGCCTAACAACCTACGCGGATCACGCAAATTGCATACGGCTGGGGCTGTTGCACACACACACACGTATTTTATATTTGTGAATACACACAACTAAACAGAATTCTCTCCCCTCTCTCCACTCATTTTTAACATCCATATTATTATTATTATTATTATAATTATTAGTATAATAACGTGAATAACTGTCTTGTAAGAAAATAGTTCCGTAGTTATCTGAATGGTCTTTGCGCTAAATAAAATTTTTATCCACTGTTGATACTCTTGTGTATCTGGAATTTTGGTAATATATATAAATAACCAAGCATATAGACCTCCTTATGACAATATCATGCTTTGTTTGGCCCCCAAGTACCATCGATGATAGTTTATCCAAACTCTTGTATCTGTAAATATATATATTTAAGTATATGTATATGTATTTGAGGCGCAAGAAGCATTTAACCGTCGCGCGGTGCTTCCATGAGATAAAAATAGATATTACGAGTTTAACACGGCGCCAAGATTGCGGGCTATCGTGATTATTACGTCATCGTGGGACGGAGGAGCGGAGCGCAAGGACGATCGTCGCGGCGGCGGTGGCATCGGCGCCGACGTCCGCCATAATTATTAAACCTCATTGTATCGCTGTATATATAATATCGGTAAAATACGGATGACAATGAGTAAAGTGCTGATTCAAGTAAATGTCAACACACATATCAAATCGTCATCGTCTTCTTCTTAACTTAATCTTCATCTTAATTTACTGTCACAGGAGTACAGTAAAAGTTGTCTCCAACAACCAACATGGATTTATATTTATTGAAAAAGAGCGAAAGACCGCGAAAAGGTCAACCACCCTCAGGTTACGTTTGATGATAAGCTCTACTGAACTTCTGTACTTTAGTATAGTCTCTAGGTGGATAATCGAGCGATAGCGTAAATAATAAATTTACGTGATATCTGTATCTGTAAACTGGTATCGCATGTGAAGAGACCGATTTCGTGATGGCAATTAATTGATCACTGTAAAAAAATAAATAAATAAATAAACCAGTGTAAATTATAAATACACATAATAACATGTAATATATGTTTTATGTTAAACCAAAATATAAAAGCGGTGAGTTGTCGAGTCATATAACATATAACACACATGCAGGTGACCTCTGTCCTTCGAACGGCCTTTCCATAGTGTACCGGTACCAGTAACCGGCCGCCCACCTTTAATCTCGACTAGTTTGCGAGGAGCGTGTTGCTCTGTATGCATAAGTATAACAAAACAAACTAAACTAAATTAAACGGATAGAATATAAAATGAAATTAATTTAAAGAGCAGTGTCTTCGTTGTTGATCGTTGGTGTTGGGATTGTCGGTGCGTGGTCGCTGCCGTTGGGAGGTATATAACTCGCTTATATTAAAGACTTGCTAAAAGCTCAACTCTTATCTCCAGCGACCCGTCGTTATCGCGTGACGGACCGGATCGAATCGCAAACGGCCATTGTTGAGACTGTGTTGTGTGTATGCTCCGTTTGGGAGTAGAGTGTGGATAAGGCTATAGGCCTTTTGATACACACTTATACACACACTGCTGAGAATTATCCAAGAACGGAGCAGAGTGTGGTGTAGAGCCAGTACGGCAAAACCGATACGATACTTGTTCTTGGGTTAGCATAGCAGGGAGTCATTGACGGCGCGAGCTGAGATATCGGACCCACACCGGTGGAGATACCGTGGTTATACCCTCCAATATAAACTAAAAGATGATTCTACGCCAGTGGAGGCGCCACATACCAGGCGCCGGCGAACCTCTCTCTTCTTACCTCCTCACCCTCCTATCCACAGATTCTCAGAGCTCGACGCTCTTACTACTCTATACTAAACTACACTCTTAGCTTAGCTTTACTTGACTTGGTAAGGCCCGAGGCTGCTAGCCAGCCAGCCAGCCAGCCAGCCAGCCCAACCAACATCCAACGACCAGCAACCGATCCAACCAAAGCTAAGCGCTTTCGGGCTGGCGGCCTACGTGTGTACACACCAAGCTAACCGGGCAATACGCACGTCAATTTTCGATAGAAATGAAAGGAGTAGCAAAAGCAATTGCAACTCTTTGATTTTCCGCTGTACATACTTGTACTCCTCATTCTTTATCCCTACAATTACAAATATACATAAATTAAAATGATTATAATTATAATAATAAATTGTACTTCAATACATACTTATAGACAACCACTCGAGAGTAGTATATTTTAAAGAAGAGTGTGTGCCGTTGTTTGTTTGTAATAATAAACCAACTGGCGATATTTCGGTTCTCTTTACTTTGCTCCAGTGCCGACGATAATATATAAGCGTCATAACGTTGAGTGCGTCTGGATATGTATATGTATACGTATATTAAATTAACAAATTACACATATACATACAGGACATATTTAGATAAATATATAAGTGTATATATATATATATACACTCGAAACGGCAAGCGTGGTATGGCGCCAAGACACATTCCTCTTTGGCGCTGGATTAACGGCGGACAGCCTGCACCAGCACAATTTTACGTCCGCTTTATACCACTCAGACATATATAACCGATCGCCGACCAAAATAATACATACCTCCATAAATACTATACGTGCAAGATGCCACTGCGACAACCGCGGTTAAATATTTAACGTCTTAAATATGTAAGCGGCTGAGAAAGAAAGAAAGAAGGCTTGCGAATATTCACGCACGGACATACTAATACATAACGTGTCTGTAGATAGATAAATATATATATATATATTTATATAGGATCAGAGATTAGATCCAAGATGTAAGATCTAATGGAGAGAATAGAGATAAATAAATAGAATAGAGAATATGTAAAATATATAATATAAGAAAATAAGATGAGAAGCGTGGAGAAGAAACAAGAATAAGAGAAAGGAACGACCGGCTGATAAATTAACATGGGCTATGGTATGCCATGCGTAACCACTGCATTCCCCACAGACTCTACTCATTGATATGAGTTTCCCGGAAAATCCAGGGCTTAACTGGTTACTGGTTGCCCGAATTATATACAGCTATATAGTTTTATTATTATTGTTATAGAGGAAGAGGAGGCGGATAGTAAGCGCGTGCGCTGGCCCATCTTGTACACAAGGCGACCTGTTGCCCGTCCACCTCCTTTTAACTATGTAGACGACACGACCATTCATGTTATATGTTATGTTATGTGACTTTAGATGATGGATTTCCACGCGGTTTTGCTGGCTCTGCTCTCAGCTTCTTGGCTTTGCTCTTTACTCTTGCTCTGTTTAGTTATCATACATTACAAGTATGTGTGTTGAGCTCTTCTGCTCCGGTAATTCTTCTCTTCCTAGCTACGTTCTGTTGTGCTGCTAAAACTTAACTCCGGTACTATTTAATCTCGCCCAACTAAACAGATTTATATTTATATAAATATATATATATATATATGTATATATTGAATAAACGAGTTTTATACAAAGCTGAATTGTGAATCAATGGGAAGTAAAGTAACTTATTTAACTTGTTTCTTCTTCTTCTTCTTCTTGTTGTTCTTGTTGTTCTCTCTCGGCGACTCGCTCTTCTGACTCGAGTCAAAGGTTTAGTCTGTGTGTGTGAAAATGAATGGATGTATAGAATAAGTTAAGTATAGTAGGATAAACTGAGGTATACAACGGAGACAGAGAGAATGAACGAACAAGAAGGCAAACAGTCGAGGTCGCAAGAGAATACCGACGAGACACGCGGCAGCTGTCTGGCGCCATACAAGCCTGCCCTCCATTTCCTCAAGCCTCTAAAGTCCGTACACTGCATGGTTTAGTGTTATATATATATATATATATATATGGATATATGTGTGTGCTCCTAACCATGCACCTACCGCTATCCGCTTATTCACCTTTCAGCCCAAAAAATTTCGACCCTCTTGCACACCCATATATAAAACCTATTTATTATATTATAAACATACTATTGAATCGATCACGTCGCTATTATGTTACACGGCGCCTAACTTGTTTGATTTATATTACATCCAGTTGATAAATTTGTTAAGAAAATAAAAATAAAAAAATTGTCTCACGACTGACAAGTAAAAAGAGAGAGTGAAGACTGTTAACAGCCTAGACGTAGACGGAGACTTTCTTTTACTATCTTTTCTTCATTGCCTTTAATAGCAATCGACAAATCATTCAAGTTAAAAGTTTGTTTTAAAATAAATGCTGTGTAAACAGCTTACTTATGAGATGTAATTAGTCTTAATCTCTTTATTAAGGTGTAAGCTCTAAAATTCTCAGACAGACTGAGTTGTTTAAAACGGTAATTTGAGAATAAATTAAGCGCTTTAAATAGAAAAATTTTTTTTTTCAACTATTTTCTATGTCGTAAAAAATATTAAAATTCTTTGAGAATTTAATGAGAAATTTTAATCGATAATAAATGATCAAGTATGTAACTGGAAAATTTAGATAAAGCTGATAAAAGTTGAATGGATTTACTTTTATGTATATAACTGTAGAGACACGAGTGCCTAACGATAATTGCTCGTTTAAATCATTAGTTTCTAATGATTATTTTTAAAAGCGCTCATTAAATTCCTGAGTTGTTAAAAATCAGCGGTTAATATGTTTACGTTAGTGAATTCCTGATCAATTTTTTTTTTTCTATTTGCGTATTTTAAATGCAAAGAAAATTTCCGCAATTTGTTTCTTTTTTTTTACAACTACCCGCGGTAACTGATGAAATAAAAAAGTGTTGACACACTGAAAAAAGGTTTCTTTATATAAATGGTAATTTATGGTTTATTTTATATAATAAAACTTTTCATCGAAGGAATAATTTACTGAGCTAACAAGTAAATAAATAAATATTTATTTACGATAAATATGACTTTTTTTTTTTCTTTTTCTTTTAAATGTTAATAAAAATGTCTATCATCTGAATAAATATGAGCTATATTGCAGTAATCTACAGACTATATTAATATTTGTTACTAATAAATATTTTTAAGAAAAACGTAACAATCTATTTACCGTGAACCTTTTAGTCAGTATATAAATTCCCGGGAGATGGAACTAATTATTTGTCTAATTTTTACCAGCATAACGTCTCCGTCTAGACAGTCGGCTGATAATACTTAAAGACGTTAAAAATTATAAAGCAGAAGCAGACGAAATAGGTGAGACAGGTAGTAAAAATTATTGTGAGTATAATTGTCGGTCAAGGCAGACGAAGGTTGTCGTCAACCTTTTTAATAGCCCGAGAGATTCAAGTTTGAATAACGTCCTTTGTCTAAAAAGGACAATTGCTTTACCTTCTCCGTCGGTGGTGAGCGACTCCGGAAGTCTCGAAGGCACTATAATATTATTCCCACAGTGTCTTGTGTCCGCTGGGTTTGTTTGAATGGCATATGAAGAAGCTGAAATTAAACAAACAAATAAATAAATAAATGAATATTTTCACTAGTATTATTATTGTATATTTAATATATATGAAGATCGGTGTTTTTTAAATTTATTTAATCAAAGATAGTTAATATTCTAAGCCAGATTACTCGATCCAAACGAGACCTCATACCGATAAAATATTATGGTGAAGAAAATAATAATGAAAAATTAGTCATTATCAAACAATTTGGATCGGGAAATCTGGCTTAGAATATTAACTATCTTTGATTAAATAAATTTAAAAGTATTATTATTATTATTATTATTATTAGCAACCTTGCAGTCACTATGTGACTGCCCCGTGACTTGTGAACTATAAATAGATAATATTTTGCTTTAATAATTAATGACTTGTGTTAAATTGCACTGTACCTTATTAACTATTGACATTTTTAAAGATATAAGCTCATCCCGATTTTACACTCATCAAGAGCTTTCATTTGAGTACCCACATGCATTTTGATATATTTTTCATATATACATATATATATAAATATATGAAAAATTGATGTGGGTACTCAAATGAAAAGTTTCGATGGGTGAAACATCAAAATGAGCTTATATCTTTAAAAATGTCAATAGTTCACAAGATACAAGTTAATTTCTTAATTATGTATCTAGAGATAAAGAATTTTCGAATGCAGCCTAAATATTTATCATAATAAATTGACTATTAATGAGAAAGATATGAAACTATGAAAAGACACAACTCTAGGCTAAAACTTTTTCAATGATATCAAATTTAACCATTAAAACTCATTTTATCATATAAAAACACTGGCCACAAAATTTTGCTTATTCTCTTAATAATATAGATTATTATTATTTTTATCATCATCATCATCATCATCATCATCATCAACGTCGTCTTGCTTGTCGTCATCATCATCATTGCTATTATTATCATTAATATAAAAATAAATATATCGCGACGATATAATAATAACAATAAAAAAATAATATACAAAAAAATGACTTCTACCGCAACGGCGACGGATAAAAACATTTAGAGTTTGGTAGTAAGTACATATCATAATAACAAAGAGATATATAATAATGTGTATACATATCACGTAGTTTACATTCCACGCATTACGTTTAACCAGCATTTGACCCCCCGCTGATGGCAATTCGTATACATAAACCGTGTGCTGTGCGTATCTTTTAATGTATGCATACATATATGTATATTTATCCACACATGCATACATACAGTATGTATGTATGTATGTATGTATGTGTGAGTGTATGTATTATAGAGTCAAGACCGCGAAAAAGTATGTGCGCATAATCGCATCGAGAGCCACCGGCGTACGTGTAATAATAGCCGCTCGCGGGAGAATCCACGACGACTAGGCGCCGCTTAAACAGCTTACCTTCGCATTTTGTTGCACCTCTCTTCGCTGGGATAAGACAATACGGGGGTGGTGGCGACTCTGAAACATAACAACATCATTTATTAATATAAACTTTATTTACTTTTACTATTTTCGATATATATTATCATTATCATATAAATTGCCGGCATGCACACACGTCCTCATATAAATATAAATTTATTGTAATTATTTAAAATTATATGCAGTCAACAGTTAAGCAAATATAAAATATCTCGTCATTTCATATGTTAAACAAAACATGACCAAATGGAAAATAAAAATAAAGAGAGAGAAAATTATTTAAATAAAAAAAAAAAAAAGAAAAAAAAAAACATTAATAGTCTGAAGGAAGTTTCGGTTGGATTGTCGCGAAAAGAGCCGGTATCCTCGCGCTAGCGCCGGCTGGCTGGCCTCGACAATTAGCTGGCGCCAGCAATGACACGCGGCGTCGGCAGCGACGGCGGTATTCCCCCTTCTCTTCGCCTGGTGCTGCTGCTGCTGCTGCTGCTGCTATTCTACGGTCATGCCTGCCTGCCTTCTTGCCTGTAAGCCCGTACCACAGCTTACTCGACTTGTCCTGCTGCTGCTGGTGAACAGTCGCTTACATTAGCTTGCATCGACAACTACGCCATCGAGGATCCAACCCAGCAAGACACATTACATATATATCTATATGGGCCCCACCTCCCTGAAGCCGCCTTTCCCTTTTCTTCCTGCAGTATATGTCTAACGGACAGTGACTACTATAAACCCAATCATAGTCTATTTGTCCAAGACTTAACTTTTTTTTTTCTTTTTCAGTTTAGGATTTTATAAACTGCATTTATTATTGTTTCTTGGTTGGTAATTTTTCCCTTTTTCCCTTGAAAAAATTTTCAAAGTAACATTTCCAGGAATTACAAATTCTTAGGTAGTAAACCTAACCCAAGAAAAATAGACCAGAAGAGCAGCAGAATCTCATCAGCATTTGAATCAGCAGCAGCAGCAGCAGCAGCAGTTGTTGTACCGTCAATAAATACATGGACATGGAAAAAAAAAAAAGGAAAAGATAATAAATGGGTCTTGGCGGCGACAGTGCAACACAGGTCAGACACGAAAATTTAAAACCAGACAAGGATTATCGAGTAAAAGAAAAATAAGTCTAGACTTTGGTCGTTTTATACCTGCACTGATGCCTATATAATGTACTACCTATTAACGACGGCGACGAGCATACACATGCATAAAATGTAAATGTCTGTGTATTTAAGTATCTGTATCTGTATATGTATACAGTAACGTGAAAAGAAAGAGACAGAGAGATATACAAAGTTAAACGGAACGAACATTACGTAAAGGAAGTAAGACTGGCGCCGCTCGTCGTATGTTGTCTATACATTAGTTAGAATTGACTGCAGTAAATTTAAATACCCACAAATGACGCTAATGAGTGGCTGTTAATTAATCTTTAAAAAGCATTTAACTTTAATAAGATAAATACTACTCACCAGGTTTGCAGAGCCGGCTCCAGTGATAGGGATTGCAGCAAACGTACGAGGGATCTTTCGTGGAATGACAGAGCGGCAATTTTTTAAGCTGACTCGTGAGAGATATATCAGGCCACCGCCAAATTTGGCAGGAGAGAAGGTGGGCCGCCGATGAAGTTAGCAGGAAATCAGTCCGTGAATTTTCCCCGGTTAAGCAGCGTTCGTCGTCGCCCGCGGCGGCACCAGTAAGAGCGAGGCTAGAAGACTCGTCCAGAAGCTGGGTGTCTTTGTTGTAGCCCTGGTGCAGCTCGCAGCGGCGACACCTAGATCGTATGCGAGGAAATTGCCGGTGCGAGTGACGGTGTCTTAAAGGATGATGATGATGCCGGGATTTTCGCTTGGAATTGCGACGCCGGTAAGGATCCGGCTGCTGATCCCCATTGGTGATGTCCAGCTGAGAAGAAGAGTTGTGAATGGGTCTGCGGGAGACGAGAACACACGAGCCGAGATCGGCGCCGCAACTCTCTATGGCCATGAGCAGCATCTCCAGCTGGTTTTCCTTGAGAGTCTTGAGGAGCTCTTTGCACTGGTTCAAACGCTCCCGGGCTTCCCTTTCGATCTTGTCGTTAAGACTGTCCTCTTTATTATCCTCGAGCTCGTCTTCGTTGTTGTCCTCCTCGTCGTCTTCGTCACTCTCGTCCTGGGAATCGGCTCCTCCACAGCAGACCTGGTGGATTTTGGGGCCACTGCCGCCACCCCCGGATGAAGATGTCTGTCGTTTGGCTTGTGGTTGACTTACTGGCACAGTTCCTCTGGACCCCGGTAGCGATGATACCGTTTTACCGGATCCACCCACTACCGTGTCGGAGCAAGCTGATGCCTCTGCTAATATGTTACTCACACGAGCAATGTGTTGCGACGTATTCTCTTGAGTCTCACATTCGGTTTCATACTCCCGACAGACTTGAGCCTTTAACAGACGTTTAGTCAGTATCGTCCGTTTGCTCCAGAACATGAACATGAAACACGAGAATACGTTTGTGCATTTGGGGGCCAGTACTTTACAACTAAGCGACAATAAAATGATAAACCGACACACCTGAAACGGTGTGTTTAATAACTTGTTCACAATTTTTTTACACCTAGCTAGACCAGGAAGAGATGATATTCTAATAATTATAATTATAATTACTATAATAATATTAATAACAGTTAAAATAATAGTATTAATGATTAAGTTGACTCAGGAACACACGTTAATGCCGACAGACCAGAGCGAGCACGTTGTCGGGACTACCGGCGATGAGGAAGATCGTTGTACCGTCGCTGGCCCACGGTCGTATGCTCAAAATAGTGTGTGATGATGCTCTCTGGAACCAACGAGCTATCAAACTTCTTTTTATCTTCATACACGTTAGTTTTTTCTCCAATTTTAATTCTTTTCACAGCAACACCAGCATCAGCAGCAGCAGCAGCAGCAGCAGTCTCTTGAATGGGAAAATAAAAATGAGTTTTAGTTTTACTGTGACGATAAACTTCTAGTTGTATTGCTTCTGCGCTACGGCCAGCTGTTGCTTCTCCACTACCACCGATGCTAACTGATGCACTAATAAATCGCTTCTTCTTGTTCTCCTCCTCGTTCTTGTACGCGTTCTTGTTCTCCGCGTTATCCTCCTCGTCGTCGTGGCTGTCGGTGGTTTGGCACCGCATAACACTGATTTACAACAATCACTCATTCGTTTTTGACTAACAGCGATTGACATAATTCCTCGAATCCACTTTAGTAATCATAGTTTATCGCTTCCTTTGGTAACTCTTTTTTAAATAATCTTTTAAAAACTTTACTCGTACAACTTTTTAAAAACTTTACACACGTCGCACTATGGTACACTCTCGTATCTCACCGGCTAGCTTGGCCTTGTCTTTCTCTTTCTTGCTCCTCCACTTGAAAAATAACAAAATAAATACAATTATTATATTTTATATTTACAAAAATACACATATGTTTTTAAATTAAATTAAATACAACAAACTAACATATAGATACACAGAAAAAAAAGGTTCATTTGAGCCAATTTTTCTTCCTAATTATTTTCTTGAGCCAAAAAAAATTTTTTTTTGACAAGAAATTTCATTTATTCCTATAAAACTAATTATCTTGCTCCAAAAAATTAAATATCTCGATAGTAAATTTTCATAAATATTTTTATTGAGTAACATGTCAAATGAGAAGATCAAATAATATTGAATAATTTTTTTTCATTCAATATGTATAATTCAAGAGAAAAATTTTCTCAAGGTGAGAAAATTTTTTTCTTAGCTAAAGTAGGTGGCGCTGCTTCTCTAAAGTATCTAAAAATTTTGATCAAATGTAAAAATTTATTGTATTAAGTATTTATGATAATTTGAATTAAAAAAAAATGTTTTCCACCAAGAATGTAATTTAAAGAAAAATTTTTACTTCGATTTTCCTTCAGGCACCCGATAAATTTTCTTAAGCCAAGAATTTTCTTCTCCTGTCAAGAAATTTTTTTTTTCTGTGTACATACTATGAATTTGTATCCAAATATCATCATAGATACATATCATCACATAAGTCTGTGTCTATATATTATATATTACATACTTAAATATAATTTATAAATTAATAGAATTGTATTGTCTTGTAATTTATAAGCTAGGTTGTTTTTACTAAACAAAAATGATGATCCGTCCGGTGGATCGTGCGAGTGAAAACAACTACAGCGGCTACAACGATGGTACACACACACATGATAGTAAATATATGGGATAGGTATTCCCCGCGCGCGCAACACGCGAGTCAACCAACAAGTATGTACTAGTCGACTACTTGACGACGTTTAAACCGACAAGAGAGGTCGACGCGTGTCGAGTGCACCGACGTCGCGACGCCGCCGCGTTCGCAATCGCATTCGCCACTTTATATATGGATACATATAAAAAAGCATATATTCAATTTCACATACACACACAACAATCGTTTCTCTCTGTCACTCAAACTCCAACTCACACACTCTCTTCTTTCTTCATTTTTTCTTCTACTCTCTCGCTCACTCCCTCTTTTAACCGATCAGTTGTTTGCGATTCAACACAATCGCGATAAATGTCGTCAAGAAGAAATTAAACTCTCGTCTTAACTCTCGCTACCACTCGAGAAGACTAAATGATAGCCAATATAAGTGTGCTTTTAAATATATATCAATATCTACAACAAAAACAACAACTGCAATAATAAAAAGTAATATAAATGCTAATAATACTAATAATAATAATAATAATAATAAGTAACAAGTATATGCTTACATTTAACGTTAATTATTAATTAATAAAATAAATAATAATAATAATAAACACTTTATAATATTTAAAATGAAATCACGTCTTTGGTGTCTTGATTAATAAATAATCACTCGACTAAAATTCAACGTACTGAATAATAAATAAAAATAAAAAAACAAAATAAAAATAAAAAAAAACACGTCCGAACACACACAATTCAGTGTGTAAGAACACTGGCGATAAATAAAAAGCGGCAGATACACACTGGTCAAAAGCTCGGACTTTACTAGCGGCACACACGAGGTCCAGGGCCGTCACGAGCCTTCTCTCCCCTCTCCGGGTCACAGTTAATACTATACACACTACACACTGTATAATACATATACTCTGTACTATATAGACTGTAGAGGCGCTAACTTACACATTGAAAAAGGGAGCGCGCGCGCACACTTAAAAACTTTGGTGAGCACACGCACAATGATAAACACCGTAGTAGTCCATACAGTTCCCATTAACACACGGCAGACAATTATGAGCTTGTTGTATGTATGTCCTGTATGTGCAATAAATACAATGCAGTACAACTACTATTCCAATTACATATACCAAAACATGGCCGTTCTTTTTCTCTCTTCTCTCTCTGGTCTTACTGCCGAGTAGTATAAAAGTATAAAACACACTACACTGGTTAACTTTTTACTCTCTGCGTGCTCTGCACTCTTCACTCACTCGCTAGCTCTGAGCCCTGTCATTGTGTCTCTCTCTCAGGTTATTAGTACCCTCGATCCTCACTCACGACGCTAGCTGGCTTCCGTTCTCCAGCATGGCGCTCTCTTCTCTGGTTGAAAAAAATTTTGGCGGTATTTAAATCCCCCTAAAAAAAAAAAGAAGAAAAAAAAAAAAACAATTATTCAAGCATTAAAGTATGAGTATTGTTTATTATTATTTTTTAGCTGAAGCAAGTAGCCGCTTAGAATGCACGAGGTTGAGCACGGTTGAGATGTTAAATTTAAAATAAATAAAAAGGATTAAGAATCCCGATATGACTAGAATACATTAGTAATTTATTGTTATTATTTATCGTAAATGTATTTAGTGTGTGATTTGAATGACGATAAAAATAAGTAAAGTCGTTTGGACTTTGATTTTTACGAGCGATTGAATTGCACAAATAAATAGATGGCGCCTTTACTTGGATGATTAGTTGTTAAGCTGAGCTGGGAGGGGCGAACGATTGGCGCCACAGTTACAACCGCGGATACTCAATATATATATATATAAGTATGTGTTATGTTGTATAGAAGTATATTGAAGAACTTTGGATGATGAGGAACCGAGGAGGTAAGGGGACCAAAAAAAACAAGGAAAGAGATAAGTGGGGGCGAAAAGAAAGGCATTCGTAGGTCGTCGCTCATAAATTGGCTAATTTTAGAAAACGAGTTTCCAACAGGGAGCTGCTGCTCTTGCCGTTGCTCTGCTGATGCTGCTGCTGCTGCTGCTGCTGCTTAAACGAGATTTTGTAATGGTTGCAAACGTGACGCGATCCACGATCCAATGATTAACAATATTACTTGCTGTTAATTTTATTGCTCTGTATGCATTCAGTCTTCTGAGCTTGCTGGTGTAAAAACTGGAGATACCGATGGCTTGATTTTACATTACACACCAGAAGAATGAGGTACCATTGATGATTCAATCAAAATACCTGCAAATGATGATTAATTTTAATTAGCATTTTTCTGTATCCTTATCTCCTAAATCATATTTTTTAATTTTTCATAAAACTTACTTTAGATGATTTAGTTCTGTCAACCAAATGAATTATCGCGGATCTTGAGTAATACGGAACTCGTTATATTATGAAAAATGAAATAAGAGAAAACCGTAAATGGTTGTATGGTATTGGGACAAATCGTACGAGCAGAAGAACCCGGTTTGACTGGTGCCGATGTAGCTTGGCATCCCCTATTTGTAAGGGTGGTATAGGCGCCGCATGTTGGGAAGTTGGCGCCGTTTGCCATTCTTGCCTCGCAGATACAGGCGCCTTCTCCCCCGCTTTGATGGCTCCAACAAAACTTCCCACTCTTATTTCCATCGTCCCCCTTTTCTTTTTAATATATCTATATCTATATTTATATATAAGGACATGGATACACATATATAGATACAGATATATTAAACTGACTCCTTTTCACGTCTCAATATATGTCGCCCTATATTTTTGTGTCGTCAGACGACATGCGACTCTGGCTCTGCCTGTGGGAGCCAGCCGGCCGGTCGGTGACGACTGATTCAAAAACACCGTGAGTAAGCGTGACTACGACTAGACAGATGAGACGACAATGAGGAGGACGAAGTAGATTGGCCAGATAGAGTAGAGGATAGAGAAATAGAGTGAGAATGGAGAGTGAAAAATGAAACGTCGTCGGGTGAATAGTTGTTGTTGTTTGCTGGTTTGGCTTTGTATTTTCTCGTTGGTAATATAACGAGATATGCGATGTGTACCAGTGGCTCACCCGCTACTCAACACATTACAATGTTTGCTGTGTACACATGACACGGTGGCACGGTGGCACCCCTTTAACATCACCGGTAGCAACAGGACAACAAAGTAAATTCAACCAACGTGGGACAGCAGTATGCATTTACCATATACCATACACACACTTTAACTTGCTTAACTTAAATATAATATTATATCCAAGATCGAAGCTGGTAACAAGACTCTATATCCCCAACAAAATATCCTTAAGACAAAAAATCCACGGGATAAAATATCCATGGATAAAAAATCCGTGGACAAAATATTTTTAAGTTCAATAATATTTTTAATATTAACAATGTGTTAACATAGTGTGGACATGTGTCGATGCTTGAGTAGATATGTACACAGAAAAAAAAAATTAACTTAAATCAAGAGAAAAATTTATAAAACAAAAAAATAATTTTGAAGAGTTTCATTGTTTTGAATTAAGACAAAAAATTTCTTCATTTAAGAATTTTTCTACTCAAATCAAGAACACATAAAAAAGAAATTTCTTGCGCTAAGAAAATTTTAAGGAAAACAAAAATCATTTTGGAGCAAGAAGAAATTTTCTTGGTTTAAAAAACTTTGAGTTCATTCAAGAAATTTTTAATATTTTCTTGAGCCAAGAAAATTTATTCTCCAGTCAAGAATTTTTTTTCAGTAAAGATAAAATTCTTCAAAATAATTTACTTCAAGCAAATTATTTTTTCTGTGTACCTACACACATTAATAGGCTGACTTTTACTCGTGGATAAAAGACAAGTTTAAGTTAAACAGCAGTCTGTCGATGAGAACGACAACTATCACGAGGCGATCGAGACGTAGGGATTCCAGTAGGTGGGGTGGTCTCCGATGGCTGGCCCGACTGGCGACTTGGATCTCCTTGTTTATCATCCTGCTCCCCCTGCAAAATGTATAATATATAAGAACCGTAGTATAAAAGCGCGTCAAAATACTTGGCGTCCCATGATCATCGCCAGAATCCAGAATACTAGTGGTAATAGTACTAGCACTGGTATCGCGAAGAAAACGCCAGGCGCCAATTTGTCCCTCTTAATTCCGTCAACCGTATATGGATATTATTTTATCTCCCTGCTTAATCGTAAGGAAGGACACCAGAGCCGTCGTCGCTACCGACTCGTTGTCCTTATCCTCTTAAGCCAGTCGCTGGGAATCCTGAACGCCAAAGTTGTAGTGCCAGCATCGACTAAGAAATCTGAAATGGAAACTCTATCAATTGCTATAGATATAAATGCTACTGGAAGATATTTTAGGGCATGCATTGGTTATCATATCATGTAAAGTCGTATCGTAGGATATCAGGTAAAACCTTCAGTACTCTTTGAGCATATCAGAATGATACAGGGAAAGAACCAACTTGGGATAGGAGTCGCCTGTTCGGCGCGACGGTTTAGCTGGCGTCAAAGCAAAGTCCAATCCGCGGCGCCAGTCAGACAGCCTCGTCCGTCGGTCCTCGGTGCTCGTCCCGACGGCGTTGCGACGCCGACGGGAGTCTCGACGCCAGGAGGGTGACGCCAGCAGGACACCCCTTGTCCTTTTTTTAACCCGCACCACCTTGTCTCCGTACCACTGTTTTCTTCCGTTCATTTTCTCATCCCCCGAGCAAGTGAACCCCGAGGGTACCACTGCTGGTGATGAGAAGATCATCCTGCCGATCTTCTTGGATTATTCTTCTTTACAGTTAAGTATTTGTATTATTCTACAGAGTCTCTTGATAATCTTTCTTCACCAACTGACGTCTAATCACAACTCTTCAGCTCGACAACGTTTTAAACGAACCGAGCACCGTTCGTCCTCCGCGATGACTGACTTATTGCGTAACATAATTTGCTGATAAGATAACGATGAAACATGAGCCTGAAATAGTTTTTATTAAAATTATTATCATGATGATTATTATTAGTACAACTGTGAATTATCATTTATGATGTTATGTTGTTATTATTATTATTATACTTGAATTAAAATAATATTTTTCAAGCGACCTCGTAATCACCTAGTCTTCGCCGAGAACTCGTCACGTAACCAATAGCCTAGCGACAGACTGAAGCTACATATACATAAATCCATACAAACAAATAAAACATATAATACATATATTACATCAATACATAGATCATACATTTAAACAAATTTATCATAAGTCATAAGTGATGTCAAATGCGATGCTCTTTGATAGTGAATGGAATAAAATAGGCTGGCATTGTCGGAGGGATAGGATATAATGTAGTCGTACCATTAAATTGGATTCATAACTTTACTTGATAACTAAACATAACGGACACTTTAACGAACCGCGGCGTGCTCAGCTCAGCTCGTATCGGTGCCTGCTGTTGCTTTCGACTTTGACAGTCACTACGACTAGAAGTTCAGCCCGGTTCCAGACGTTCCAGTCAGCCAGAGGAAATGGGCGATTCGGGCCCAACATACCTGGGCTTGGACCTCAGCACTCAGCAGGTTTTGTTATTTATTTTACTCACAACTATCAGCTGTCCACTATTTCAATAAATACAATAAATATTAATAATACTTACTCTGTACTATCTAAACTTAGATTAGGTTTTTTTTTTTTCTATCATTTTAGTCCCTCTACTCTGGTAATTTACGTTGTTGTTGTTAATGCTATTGTTATTGTCGATGTATATTGGCAATTATTCTTGATTGGTCATCGTGACGCATTTTTATACTTGGACACTGTCAAGCTTGCTTTTTATTAACGCGCAAGTCTCTTAACATTTATTAACGATGAAAAGAGCATTGCATATTGTCATTATTTTTTTCTTCTTTCATAAGTACCTTCTTGTTTACGGTTATTTTATTTTGGATAATAAAAAGTAACGACGCAATGGCATTGAAGTAATGTTTTTTTTTTTTTTTTTTCGTTCCTCCAACGGTTTGGTTCATAAAGCACGCACCTGTCGCGTTGTACCTGTCTGCACACGTGGCGCTAAATTTAAAAAATAAATATCGCTTAATTTTATTATTATTCCTTTCTTGTTACAGCTGAAGGCTATCGTCGTGGATGATCAGCTGAAAGTACTTGACGAAGCTTATGTTCAGTTTGACAATGATCTACCGGAGTTCAGGTAAATATATAAATATTTATTAAGTACTTCGTCAGGATTTAATTAATTAATGACACTGGAGTTGACAGGTTTTAAAAGTTTTTTTTATAATTTTGTATCAATTAAATTGTTATGAAAAAAAATTATTAAAAAAATTCATGATATTAAAAGTTAACAGTCACAATTTTTTATGAAAATTAATTTAGCAGATATTAAATAATTTTTAAAATTTTATAGCAAATAAATTATGGCAAAAAAAATTGACATTTAGAAATTTTAAAAAATAAAAACGCCGGCTAATTTTAGTATTATCAATTTTTTAATTTTATTTAACAAACAAATTTGTTCCAAAAAATTATCTTTAAAAATGTCTAAATGTCAATTTTTAAAATTTTTTTTTTACCAAAATTTATTTGTTAAAAAAAATGATTAAATATTTGCTAAATTAATTTTGATAAAAAATTCTACTTGTGAAGATTAAAAATAATTATTAGAAGAATTATTTTAAAATAGTTTTTTTTTAATTGTAATTGATTTTTTATAAAAACTAAAACAATTGACAATTGTCAGCTGATTCTAAAATCATATTTATTTTTATTGTTTTACGATTTAAGTACGACACAAATTTATGAGATTAATAATTTACAGAACATATGGAGGAGTAATAAATAAAAAAGAATCGGCAAGTGTAGCTGTAGCGCCATGTCTCATGTGGGTGAAAGCATTAGATATGCTCCTGGACAAACTCCGTGTTTGCGGTGTAGATTTCGCCAGGGTCCAAGGCATTTCCGGCTGTGCCCAGGTAAATTAACAAGAAAAAAACCAACTAGTCTACCTGAATTTTTTTCTATTCTCTTAACCTTCTCTCTTTTTGATCTTCATTTCATCTCACGAATTACGTCATCGTAAAAAGTTTTTTTTACCTGTCGAAATAGCAACATGGGACGGTATACTGGAGCAAAGGGAGCCGCGAGTTGCTGAGGAATTTAAGCCCGGATAAATTTTTACATCAACAACTTTGTAATGCCTTTGCTACTAACTATTCACCGATTTGGATGGACTCGAGTACTTCTGCTGAGTGTGAAATCCTTGAACAAACTGTCGGTGGTCCACAAGTCAGTAAAAATAATTATTAAAACAATAACTTGGTGTTTTGTATATTAATGTATGAGTTATTTTAAAGTTTTTCTTATTCTTCTTTTTATTTAGAACTTGGCACAGATAACAGGATCGAAAGCTTACGAAAGATTCTCAGGCCCTCAAATAGCTAAAATTTGGCGAACTCGTCCAGATGCTTATGCTAATACAGAAGTATAATTATTTTAATTAATATTATTATTTTTTTTTTATATGGATAAATAATTTTAAAATAAGTTATTAATATTTAACTGATTGATTTATGACAGAGAATATCATTAATAAGTAGCTTTGTGGCGAGTCTCCTCGTCGGCGACTACGCACCGATTGATTATTCCGATGGCTCCGGTATGAATCTTCTTGACATTCGTACTAAAGATTGGAATGATCAGCTCTTAGAGGTATGTATTATATATTCCTGACAAGATATAAGGAGACATTTACATGATTTAATAAATATCTTCATGACAATGTCATTAAACTGACAATTATTGCGACGAAACAGGCTAGTGGACCAGATTTACGAGGCAAACTTGGCGAGACTGTACCCTCGTATACAAATCTCGCTTCAATCTCAAGTTACTATGTCGAAAGGTTTGGCTTTTCCGATCAGTGTCGAGTGATTGCTTTTACTGGTGACAATCCTGCTTCTTTGATCGGTAATTAATACATTAACTAGCAATCTTGCAGTCATTATGCGACTTGTGAACAATAAATAAATAAAATTTTGCTTTATTTAATAATGACTATTGACGTTTTTAAAGATATAAGCTCATCCCGATGTTACACTCATCAAGAGCTTTCATTTAAGTACCCACATGCATTTTGACATATTTTTCATATATTTATATATATATATATAGTATATATAATATTTATAAATATATGAAAAATTGATGTGGGTACTTGAATGAAAGGTCTTGATGAGTGTAACATTAGGATGAGCTTATATCTTCAAGAATATCATTAGTTGACAAAATAGCAAAATCAATTCTTAATTATTGACATTTTTTAAGATATAAGCTCATTCTGATGTTATCCTCATTAAGAGCTTTCATTCGAGTACCGATATGCATTTTGATATATTTTTCATATATACATATATATATATATATATATATAATACATATAAATATATGAGAAATTGATGTGGGTATTTAAATGAAAGGTCTCGATGAGTGTAACATCAAGATGGGCTTATATCATTAAAAATGTCAATAGTTCACGAGATACAAGGTCATTTCTTAAATTAACTATTGGTGATATAATGGTCATATATTTTATCATATGACTATCCTGGATATAAAATTTTTATTATTCTCTTAATAATATAAATTATTTTTGTTGAAAAAAAAAAAAATGATTCATTATTGATATTTTTTTAGGAATGCGATTGGGCAAAGGCGATTTGGCTTGCAGCTTAGGTACAAGTGACACTTTATTTTTATGGCTAGATGATCCTAAAACATTGCCTGAAGGACATGTTTTGTGTAATCCTCTAGATAAAGATGCTTATATGACTATGCTGTGGTAAATATTTACTTAATTTAATATAAGCATTTGAGAGTCAGAGATTAATTGATAATTTTAATTGAACAGCTTTAAAAATGGATCGTTTACACGTGAAAGAATACGAGATAGTGCAGCGGGTGGCTCGTGGCAAATATTCAACGAGCTTCTAGACAGCACTCCGCGAGGTAATTTTGGAAACATCGCTCTGTACTTCGACGCTCCGGAAATAATTCCAGCGCTCGTTGGCGATCACAGGTTCAACAAAGCCGATGACAAAATATCGAGATACAGCTCCAAAGAAGTGGAAGTAAGAGCTCTTATTGAAGGGCAATTTATAGCCAAGAGAGCTTACGCTGAAGATTTTGGATTTGTTATTGGTTTGTATAAGCGACAAGACAATCAAACAAAATATTCTAAAAATATATTTCAAGAAATAATTTGAAATATGTGATCTGCACTATAGCTTCCAACAGCCGTATTATTGCTACTGGTGGTGCGTCAGCCAACAAAACTATGCTGCAGGTTCTTGCCGATGTATTTAATGCTCCAGTTTACACAACTGTATGTTAGTTATTTATTTATTATATAATAATTTGATAACTAATTTATTTTTAACTGTATTTATTATCTAGGAAGTCGCCAATTCTGCAGTACTAGGTGCAGCTTATCTAGCAAAATACGCTTTGCATAGAGATAAAAATAATTTTCAAGAAATTACTAAGTACATTCCTGAACCACAACTTTTATGCACGCCGTACAGCGACGCTGAAAGTGTAAGTTATATTAATTGATGACACTGATTATATTATCGTCACTCATTTTATTTTACAAATTATAATTATATACATGTTAATTTTTTTTTTGTAGATATATAAGCCAATGGTGGCGCGTTATCGAAGAATTGTTGCACAACTATTGAAACAAAATGCCAGTAGCTGAATTTTTTTATAGTTAGATAAAGATAATTATTTTTTTTTTTAATATTCACGTCATTCCAAGAACAAATAGCCTTAATATAATTTATTTTCTAATAATATTTTATAAGAGGTCCTTAATCGATAAGGAAAATTAAAAAAATCAATCTTACAACTAAAGTCACACTATAAAGATACATTATAAATTCGCTGATAAGCGAAAATAATTAAGTTAAAAATTACTTTACTTCTTTCTTCCTCCTCTCTCCTTCGGCAATAGATTGACAACGTTACCGCTGACCAGGTTGTAATAAGCGAGTGTATTGCTGTCCTTAAAGAACATACCCTGTAAAAACAAATAATTTATTAAAATCAATTTTTAACAAGTTTGGAAAATCCAAAAGTGCACGCCTCATAACGGTCATTCATTTTTTAAGAAAAAAAATTCGTTTTTTTGTACGTGTGTATCGTAGTGAATTTTAATAAAAACGCGCTCATGCACTTCGCGCTACGAGGCGTGCAAAATTTTTCTACAAAGAAATAAAAAATAAAAAATTACCTCAAACTGTAATTTTTGTTTGCCAGGAGGCATTCCAGTTTGTTCATGAATCCTAGCCTTAACAGTAGCAATAGTTTCATTAGGCTGCAAAGTAATAGTCACAGTTTGTCCATGGAGTTTCCACTCGGTCTTTTCGGTCATTGAAGGCACAGCGATATTCAGTTGAACAGGTCCTTTGTTGCGTGCCAAGAATTGTTGTTCGTTGATAAGCGAGTCTTCCGTACGAAGTTTTTTAGTCGGTGGCTCTTCTTCTAAGGGCATTTCACTCGGATGCTTCATAGTCATCGGAGCGGGCAGCGGTGGCTGCATAGCCGGAGGAGCTGGCATGAATGGAGAAATAGCCGGAGTCATGAGTGGTGGAGGTCTGATTGGAGGCATAGGAGCCATCATCATCATCGGCGGTTGAGGAATCATTGGTGGCTGAGGCATAGCCATCGTCGGTGGCATAGCGATCTGTGGAGGCGGTGGCGGAGGTTGAGCTTGTACCGGCATTGGTTTGGGTGCTGGTGGTTTCGGCGGAGCTTTCAGAGTAGCTTGTGGTTTAGCAGCAACTGCTGCCATGTGTGTCAATTCGTTTGCACGACTTACGACTGGCTTTGGTCCAATCTTTTCTTTCTCCTCGTCCGGAAGTAATCCCTTGACTTTGTGGATCTGGTGAATTTGTTCCTCAAGAGTAATATTGGCTCTTGCAGCTCGAGTAGCAGCTTCGACACTCGATGTATGACCATCCCAAGTAACTTTATCGTCTTTCTTTTTGTCTTCTTCGCCAATCTTCTTACCAATAGCTGTCTCTTCATCTCCAACACCGAAAATATCAGTACGACGCTCAGCAAGTTGTTTCAAACTCGCTTCAATAGCAGTACCAGGTGCAAATACAGTCTCTTGAGCAACTTTATCAATGTGCTTGTCGCGCTGCTCAACCCAGCGTGGATCCAACAGACCAATTCTTACGTGCTCTTGGACCTTGTTAGGAGGAATACGTTCACCAGTAAGCGGAGAAATGAGATACTCTTCATTAGAAGCTGGCTTAGCTGCTTTAATACTGTGTTGTTTTGGATCGTATCCTTTCCTAACGACCACGTTGCCTGGTGTGGGTGGTAACGGAGGTGGTTGCATAGAATCTCGGTTAGCTCGAGCATCTCGTGCCTTTTGTGAATCAAGCGACAACATTTCCATGGTACTAATCTCGTCGTCACTCGAGTCTTCTTCCATATCTTGGACTTGGTTATTGTCCTTGGCTGTTCTTTCTTTGTCCATGTCACTGCGGTTCGGCATTTCATCATCGCCGTCGCTCTCTATTTGCATTTCAACGTCTTCTCCTTCTTCAATACGTTCCTGCATCAGAACACGAGCACCCACTTCATCTGGAGTCGTTGGAGCCGGGAAATTACCAACTTCAAACTGCTGATAATCAACAGTTTCAACGACTACGAAATCGTGCCAATCAATTTGGGCGTAAGCGACTCGTTCACGCTCCATCTCTTCTTCCTCTTTACGGCGCTGAGCTTCTTGGTATTTTAACCACTCAGATCGGTACTTAACATCTTCCAATATTTTCTCCATATTATAGGACTCATCTCTCAATCGGGGTAACAAATCCTTTGGTGGAATCAAAACTTTTGTATACTGTTCCAATAATTTTGTAAAGTACTGGAATAAAGAGTGCTGAGGACGTAAAAAGTCAAATTGAAAATTACGCTGTTCACGATTCATCAAGTTTGTTAAGAATTGACGCCCATTTCTTGCTACGAATTGAGCTGTTAACTTAACAATGTCTCTGTAATAAAACAAAATATATGTAGATAAGTAATTATCCAATCAATAAAAAATTTGTAATTTAAAGCAGATATTTTATAATTTTTTTTTACAAATAAATTATGTCAGAGAAAATGAGAAAAAAAAATTGACATTTAAAATATTAAAAATCCAATTTTTTAGAAATAATTTTTCGGAGCAAATTTATTTATTAAAAAAAAAAAATCAAAAAATTGTCAAGCGACTGCTAACTTTAATGTCATAAAATTTATTAAACTTACAAGTCAAGTGCTGAAATAGACGGCGGATCAGCAATAAATTCAAACTCAGGTGGTGGATCCTTGGGTACAAATGGTTGTTCCACAGACTTGAGAATCTCTTGCTGCTTCTGGTGTGTACCAAGAGTAACACCCCTTGGAGCAGTACCACCAACAGGCTCCTGGGCTTTGCCTTCTTTGAACTCCTTAACTTTGAATTGATAGTATGCATGATACGGGTCACCGAAGTTTAAAAAATTGAACTTAGCATTGCCTAATTCGTTTTGACGAATTCTGGATTCAAACTCCGGGCCGTTCCTCGCTACGAAGCTCGCAGTTTTGTCGACAATATCTAATCAGCTGTATAAGAAAAATATTGCTTACCTCTTTATTATTTAAATATATATTTAATTTTTATAATAATAATAATAATAATAATAATAATAATAATAATTTTTATAAACAAAAAAGGATACTTCTAACCTCCGGTGGAGGATAGATGATGCCAACAATTGGCTGTGATGACGGTGCCGAAGGTTCTTCTGTCTCTGGTGGCGGTAATTGGACCGCCACCGCGTCTTGTCCAGGCATGATTGATGATACTTTATTTATTTATCTTTTTTTTTTTTACAAATATATCACTGTAAACTTAAAAATGATTCAATTGAAACGACCGAAAACGTAACGAAGGTTAGAATGGAGAGAACGCCTGGAAATATAATCCAATATAACGCATTTATTTTCAATTTTCACTACTCACACTGTAGAATATCTTCTGTAATTAAGTCTCCTAAAGTTGCATACGTATTAAGAAATTAATTATAGTACTGAAGTTAGCTAACAGCTGTTAATTTTCTAAATTTTTATATCAAACAATTACAATAAAAAAAAAAAATAATTCTAAAAGTTTTGATTAATTTTTAAATGTGGAATTTTTCTATTTTATTTCTTTCAAAATAATTTAATTGCTCTATAAAATTATTAATGTCAGTTAACTTCAGTGTCTTGATTAATTCGTTATTCTACCGCCAGTGGCGCCAGTCGAATGAGTACATATTTTTAGCACTAGGGAGCAGCACAGTTTTATTTGCCGCTTGTTGAAAATTATATAGTCGTTGTCATTTATTTATCTCTGTAACCGTTCACAACGTGATCCGCACGTGGATTTATATAGATATAATTACTCTCATATTAATTTAAATAAAAAAGTACTAAAAAGATGGGTCGTCGTAAGAAGGTAATTAACTTTTAAATAATTAATTAACTAAAAAAAAATGATCCACGGAATTTCTTTCTTAGAATTATTTACTTTTTAATTGCCGAATTTTTGAGGTTAATTTAAATGTTTTTTATTAACAGGGAAAATGTGTGAGAAAAAATAAACAAATGGATAGCCAAGAACCTGATGACTTGATTCGAGCTCCCCATTCCTTTGTGATACACAGAGGCATTCCTGGAGACCATATCGTTGAGCTTACCAAGGATTTCCGTAGAGTTCTGGAGCCATTCACAGCTTCGTCGCTCAAGGAGCGCAAAAAGAATTCAATAAAGGATTTTGTGTCTGTTTCCAGCGTTTTACATGTCAGTCACATGTGCATATTCAGCAGAACGGAGCTGGGAATGTATATGAAGCTTTGCAGAATACCCAGAGGTCCAACGTTGACGTTTAAGATAATAAACTTTACACTGGCGAGGGATGTCATTTCTGCGATGAAAAAGCAAATGGTCTTCGAAGAGGCTTTCAAAAATTTTCCTTTAGTTATTATGAATAATTTCAGTGGAGCTGCTGGTAAAGATGAAGATAGCAAGGATAATGTTAAAGACGATGATGATGATGATGATGACGAGGATAAAGCTCATGATGCACATATTAAATTGATGGCAACTACTTTTCAAAATATGTTTCCTAGTATTAATATAACGAAGGTATGTTCTTTTATTTACTGTAATAAATTTTGTCAGTTTTTAATTATTATTATTTAATTATTTTTAATTCGTTTATTTACTGCAGTAAATTTTGTCAGTTTTTAATAATTAAATACTTTTAATTTTTTACAGATTAATTTAAGTACAGTAAGACGTTGTGTTTGTCTTAATTACAATCCCGCAGATAAATCAATTGATTTTCGTCATTATGCTATCAAAGTTGTGCCTGTTGGTTTATCGAGAGGAGTAAAAAAATTAGTACAAGCTAAAATACCTAATTTAGCGAAATGTCAAGACTATTCTGAGTTTTTGTCGAAGGGTACTCTGTCAGAAAGTGAAGCTGAAGATAATTTGAAGCTCTTAAACCAAATAATGGAGTTGTTACTGGAGAACAGGCAAAAGGATTTTTGCTGCGGTCACAATTACCACCTTCAATACTTGGAAAAATATGGTACAATATATTTTTACTATCATCCATTTATTTTAAATAAAAATTTGTCTTAATCATAATTATAATTTATTGTTACAGGGCACTGTCCGATACCGACGGAGATGGGAAAATGGACATCAACGAGTTCAGCATTGCTTGTAAATTGATACACTTGAAGTTGCGAGGGATGGAAGTTCCTCCAAGCTTGCCTCCATCGCTTATTCAAAGCTTGAAAGTTCCACTTCCAGGTACGAGAATAATTATTCATTTAATCGGAATTAGCAATCTTGCAGTCACTATGTAACTTCCGTGACTTGTGATCTATGAATAAATAAAATTTTGTTTTAGTAAATAATGAATTTTGTTAAATTGCACTGTACTTTCTTAACTATTGGCATTTTTAAAGATATAAGCTCATCCTGATGTTACACTCATCAAGAGTTTTCATTTAAGTACCCACATGCATTTTGATAGATTTTTCATACATATACATATATATATAAATCTATGAAAAATTGATGTGGGTACTCGAATGAAAGGTTTTCATGAGTGTAATGTCGAGATGAGTTTATATCTTCAAAAATATCATTAGTTGACAAGATAAAAAAGTCAGTTATTAATTATTGACATTTTTAAAGATCTAAGCTCATATATTCATATATATAATATATATAAATATATGAAAAATTGATGTGGGTACTCAAATGAAAGGTCTTGATGAGTGTAACATCGGGATGAGCTTATATCTTTAATAATGTCAATAGTTCACAAGATACAAGGTCATTTTTTAATTATGTATCTAGAGGTAGATCATTTTTTAATGCAGCCTAAATACTTATAATAAATTGACTATCGGTGAGAATGATATGAAATCTTGAATATATATGACTATCCCGGATAGAAAATTTTTCTTATTCTCTCAGTAATATAGATTAGAATTAATATTTTTTTACTTAGGTACAGTTCCGGCTGTTATAAATGGTGGTGTACCAGTCCAGCCTCAAGTACAGACAGGCTCGCTAGTAAATCTTGGAGGCGTACCTCAGCCTTTAGCTGCAGTACCACGTCCTGTGATACCAGGAATATCTCCAGTAGCAGCAGCAACAGTACCCCTTGCAAATCCAGCCGTGAGACCTGTCGTTCCAGTTCAAATACCTGCTGGTAAATTATTTATTTTTCATTTCTAACAAATTCACTCTTGGCCCTTATGGCTCTTAGAGTAATACTAAAATTATAGGCTAGATAATTAGATAATACACAAATGAACTAACAATTAATCAATTAGTTTGCACTTGTGATGACATATATTAGATTAATATAGAAATCCTCAATGCCATCTTATTATATTTGCATGATGCAACACAGCCTCACGTCAATTTAGGGATAATATGGGTACTAGTGGTGTGGTGCTGGGTACAATTAATAAGACATCGGCAAAACCACCTGCTCGGCCTGCACCACCCTTCATGGGTATGTGATCAATCTCTACAATCATCTGTCTGTTATTTGTCTGTGTGTCTATCTGTTTGTATAACTATTTATCTACATAAAATAATTACTCTTACTGCTTCTATCACTTAAATAGTTTGACTCTAGTTAATTTATTCCTTCATAAATAATCTAAGAAAAAAAACTTTATTTATTTTATTCTATCTAAATATTTTCTAACACAAAATGCACAATTTCATAATGTAAAATGCAAATATTATTTCTTGCTACACGAAGGAAATGCAAATACTATAACAACTACCAACGTTGGAGCACCGCCTCAAAGACCTGCACCTCCTAGTAGTATTGGTATGTCCCCAATCAATGTTTGACACCTTTTCTCGTGCATGCTTTAACATCACTGTTATTTTGAATAATTATCGTGAAAAAACATCAACAGAAAATTCCTAAAAAATATTATATTTTAAAAAATAAAAATATTTATAGGTAGTGGATTCACAGCTACAACTGGTATTGCTCCGCCGCCAAAACCAGCACCGCCTTCATTTCCAAACAGTCCGGTAGGTGCATCAATAACTGCCAGTTCAATGCAAGTAGCACTTCCAGTAGCTTCCTCAATGGGTATGGTTCAAGCAGCACCGATAGTACCACTTAACACCAATCCCGCTCCAATGGCAGCTTTCGGAATGGGACAAACTGTCGCGCCACTAATTCAACCGATACCAGGAGCTGGAATTGTTTCATCGATGCCAGGAGTTATGCCTACAGCTGGTGTTGTTCCTTCAATGCCAGGACTCATTCCTACCGCTGGAATTGATCCATCTATACCTTCTGTCCCAGGAGCTATTCCATCTGTCACAAGTTCTGCAGTTCCACAAGCTCCATATTATAATACAGTAGGAGTTATGCCAACGGTACCAACAGCTGGAATGATTCCATCTGTTCCTGGTGCTGTTCCATCAATACCTGGAGTTGTTCCTCAGGTTCCTGGAACTGGAATTCCCCCAGTACAACCATTAATTCAAGCAAACGTTGGGATGAACGGTAATGGTAGTATGATTCAGACTCCAGTGTCTACAAATACACCATTGAGTACCACAGCACGGCCACCAAGTATTGATCGAGTTGGATCTATGGATTCTCAGCACAGTCAGCACAGTCAGCATAGCCAACATAGCCAACATAGTCAACATAGTCAGAATTCCATAGGTTCACCACCTGTAGATTGGGCTGTTCCACAACAGTCACGACTTAAATACACCCAGCTGTTCAATACTTGGGACAGAACGAGAACTGGTTACTTGTCAGGACCACAAGCGAGAAATATCATGGTTCAGTCGCAGTTACATCAGAAAATTCTCGCTCAAATTTGGACTCTAGCTGACATGGATTCAGACGGTCGATTGGGATGCGAAGAATTTGTTCTAGCAATGCATCTCTGTGACATGGCTAAAGCCGGAGAAACTATTCCAACCAGCCTATCGCCGGATTTAGTACCCCCAACTTTCCGTCGTCAACGTCAAAGCAGTGTTTCATCCCAGGGTCTTCCGGAAACTGTCGATCCGTCGGCAGGCATGCCGCAGTCTTCCTTCGAGGACAAGAGGAAAGAAAACTTTGAAAAAGGTCAAGCTGAATTGGAGCGTCGTCGGAAAACTTTACAAGATACACAGCGCAAAGAGCAAGAGGAACGCGAGCGCAAAGAACGTGAGGAAGCTGATAAACAAGAAAAGATTAGACTTGAACAGGAGAGACGTCGGCAAGCTGAAATAGAAAAACAGATGATGCGACAGCGTGAAATTGAACAGGAGAAAGAGGAGCAGCGTATGAGAGCGCAAGAGCAACGAGAGGCTGCGAGAAAAGAGATGGAGAGACAAAGGCAACTTGAGTGGGAAACTCAAAAGTCTCAAGAGCTTCAAGCACAACGGCAAAAAGAACAAGACATTGTACTTAAATTAAAAGCTAAAAATCAGACGCTGACTATTGAGCTTACGTCACTTAATGAACGTGTTAAGGAACTTTCGCAAAAAATTTGTGACACTCGTAATGGAGTATCAGGCGTTAAAACAACTATCGATGGTATGCGCTCGACTCGCGATAGTCAGCTTCAGGAGATGAATGATTTGAAGAAGAAATTACGAGAACAGAATCAGCGATTGCTTGCATTGAGTCAAGAGAAGGCTAAAATAGAAGCTAAAAATAAAATGAATGCTTCGCATGATTCTGCTGGACAAGAAGCTATGAAGATGCAGTTCGCTAATAAACAAATAACATTGAAGCAGCTTAAAGATAAAATAGCTGACCTACAACAGCAAATAAATGACAAGATGGCTGATATTGAAAATAATAATGGGCAGTTACAGGATGTAAGAGATCGGATGAAAACACTTATTAATGAATGTAAAACTCTTTACTCGTCATTTGACAATAAACGTTCTCAAATATTGGAATTACGTGAAAAAATTGAGAGCTCTGGAGGTATTGATTACACAAGTAGTGCTTGGGCAGAGAGCGCTTGGGGTTCAACTGATCAAAATGAGCCTGTCAATGAGGATGAATGGCCGGTTGACAATGCACCCGTTACTACTTCTGCTGTTGATGAATCTGGAGTTAGAAAATACCGCGCTCTGTATGAATTCGTAGCGAGAAATGAGGAAGAGATATCGTTCCAACCCGGTGATATTATATTAGTTCCGCCAGTTCAGAATCAAGAGCCCGGGTGGATGGCCGGTGAGATCCGTGGACATACTGGCTGGTTCCCTGAGTCGTATGTCGAGCCGGTGGACTCTGAGTATGATGACACCAAAACATTTGTCCAGCAAGACAGTGTAGAAAAAAGGCCATTGGAAGAAATCGCTGAGGTTCCTGAGAATGTTTCTGACGCCGGGTCTTTGGGAGAGACCACTGCTGCAAGAGTTGAGGCCGCTCCTGCTGCTACTACTTTAACAAACACCAGTACTGTTGATGATAATTATTATGTGGCTCTCTATCCATACTCTTCGGCGGAACCAGATGATTTGAACTTTACTGACGGTGAAATTATTGAGGTGACTAAGAGCGAAGGTGACTGGTGGACTGGAACTATTGGAAACAGAAGTGGATTCTTCCCGTCTAATTATGTTGAAAAATGCCAACCAAATATTAATCAGGTTAGTAATACTAACATTAAACTTTATTAAGTAGGCAAAAAATAAATTATTATAATTATGGTTTTAATTATTCTAGGTTCCTGTAGAAACTGTTGCTTCAACTGTGGCAGATGTTGTTGCTCCTACATCTCAAGGAACGCCTGTGAGTATTATGAGGAATTTAAAATTGTTTTATTTTATCTTTTTATTGTCTAATAACTAAACAGTATTGTCTTATACCGTGTGAGTGTATGTTTAAGTAATTAAATTAACAATCTTTCCTCACTAACATTCCTCATAAACACAAGCACCTTTGTGCTAAGCTAGATTTATATGTTTAGTCGGCGGAAAAAACCGCAGAACAGATTGAAGATGAACGACAAGCTGCTGAAGATCGGGCCGAATTACCTGATTTCTCAGCAATGGCATCTCAGCAGGTAATGACATCGTTATTAATATAAGAAACTTGTCCTTCATTATTTTAATACAATAATTAAATTTTTAATGTTACTCACGTTCTTGGTCTTATTCATGGTTCATAATACATTCAATAGGTTCTTGTTTTTAAAATATTTAATAATTGATGTTTATTTAATTTTTATACAACGTTTCGCTACTTTCGCTGCTTTCTCAGGTACTACAACAGACAGTTATAATAATTACAATTCAATTATAGATATAGACATTAACAATTATTAATAATTTAATTAATAGATCAAATTAAATTAATTTAAATACACTGATAAATTACCTCAATTACAAACATAATTGTTAAATTCATGTACAATAATCTCGGCCAACGCTCGAGAGTAAGAGAAGAACTCAACTGATCAGCTATTGTGTTACTGGAGATTAATTAGATAGTGTGAAATTATTTTGAATTACTAAAAGTTATATTCTATATTTTATTAATTTAATAATTGACAATTTTATTATAATTTAACAATTGTGAGATGAAACTAGAAACGGAGGAAATTATAAGTCGTATAAATGCCAAGAACCTATTGAATAAATTTTTAATAATCAATGGGAATAGTCAAGGTGATGGAATAAATATAACAAGTACTTATAAAATTACGTGAATTATTAATTGATGGTTGTGGGCTTTCCAATTTTATTTTCTTGGATGCTGCGTTTATTGGATTATCATCGATCACTCCTGTTTGTCCGTATTACTCACTGATGCAGTACTACAAGGTAGCACTTTATTCGTCGATAGAATTTTATTGGCTTTTATGTAATCACTATTTTTTTTTTGTATTGCTTTTTATCGACGTACATACTTGTTAATTTTCAGTTTTTTTTTGTTCTTCAATATTTTTTATAAAATAATTTTTTTTCTTTATTTATTTTAACATTTACAGCTGATTACTCTAATTTTAAAATTATTATTACTGTTATATTGAATGAAAAAAATATTTATAGACCCGAGGAAAGAAACCGGAGATTGTCCAGGTAATTGCACCCTACCAAGCAACAAGTACTGAACAACTCGATTTGCAAAGAGGACAACTAATTATGATCAGGAAGAAGACTGATTCTGGATGGTGGGAAGGCGAGCTACAGGTATTATTACTTCAGTATTATTTCATTAATTTTACCTAGTAATCATATTGATAAATATCTGTTATTACTTACTATTACTGATATTATAATTTTATTACTTGTAGGCTCGAGGTAAAAAACGTCAAATTGGATGGTTCCCTGCGTCTTACGTTAAGCCACTAACAAGTAGTAGTAATAGAAGTACTCCAGTATCTCATGGTTATCAAGATTCTCCAACGGATCCTAATGTCGGTTAGTAATTTTTTTTTTTTTTGTTTTTATCAATTACTTTATTGATTATCTTACATGCGTATTAATTTGATTAAATTTATTTTAATAGAACGTGTAATGGCATTGTATCCACATCAAGCTCAAAATGATGACGAACTGAGCTTCGAGAAAGGCGACGTAATAATTGTTTTGTCAAAGCAAGAAGAGTCTTGGTGGAAAGGTGATCTTAACGGAGTATGCGGAATATTTCCTAGCAACTACGTGACACCCATGTGTGAGTAGTCTACTAGTACGCAATTTATAAGCGTGATTCTATCAGTGATGATAAAAAAGAATCTCTTATAAGTAATTACGGATGGACGGACGAGCGTCATAACGACAACGTGATGATATGATAATAAAATAATACCAAGATATTAACATTAAAATTAAAATTAATTTGATAGAAAGAGTTGATTCTGCTGTTGCTTTTTTTATTTATTTATTTATTATTTATTGCTACAATAATAAACATTACTATTGCTATTATTATAATTAATAATTAATGAAAAGTAGGTACTGTTTTTCTAACATTAGTTTATATTACATTTGTCTATTGCCAGCTTGTCCGTCCATTCTTTACAGGGTAAATAAACATTCTCGTTTTTTAATTAAAACAAAACGAGATTGTTTAATAAACAAAAAAAAAAAAAACAAACTAAATAATCATCGCTCACTTTAACTTATGTATGATATAATTAGTGTTTATGACTAACAATTATCGTTGCCTTGTCCTTTCTCATTATCATTAATTTTTCAAAATTTCGTCTCTGCTTGACATGCAGCCTAAGGATAGCAGCAGAGAGTACTACATCACAGGTTACAAACTAAATACATTGTACTACAATAGTGCAAATTAAACATTACATAAACAATTTAAAAGCCAGCTTCTGCGTTTATCAAAAATTAATTTTTAAAAAAGTTAATGGGAAAACACTACAACGACAATTATCCAATGGCCATTACGCGCATCGTTTATGCGTGAAAAAGAAAAAGAAAGGATATAAAGAAAAATATATATATATATATATATATATATATAAATACACACATAAATATATATATATATACAAAGAATATATGCCATAAATTATTAAATTATTTATTGATCAATTAACATCTCATTATACAGTTAATAGTATTTTTTAGATCTGAAACAAAAAGTTTGGTATTATTTTCTCAATCATAGGTCTAGATCATTGTTACGTCCTATGTGTTTATTATTTTTTATTAATATGATTAATTGAAGCTCAAGGAATTAACTGTAGAATTTTTTTTAGATTTATTAATAAGCCTGACTTGTTTTTTTCTATTTTATTTATTTTTTGTACACCTTTTTTACGCCAGGCGTCATTAATTTGAGTATTAGATACAAAGATATTAATATATGTCTATATCAATAATTGAATCTTGTTAATATGATGTTACATTGTATATTATTATTTATTATTAGGTTCTATTTTTTTTTTTTTTTTGAGTGCTCAGTAGCATTATTATTATTAATTTGACGATTTGAATTAATTTCCAAATATTGTTTGATTTTTTTTGTGATCAATGAACTATCATGTCTCACCATATTCATCTAGGTCCATTAATAGAGTGCAAAAGTCAAACACACAAAATCATGGTCCGCTTTCTTATGAACAAATTATTATAACAATAATAAAAAAAAACAACAATATATCAGAACAATAATATATGTTATGCAAAGAACTTTAATATAAGCCCGTTAGTTGGTTAGAGAATAAAAAAAAAAACGTTTCGGGAAGTTGTATTAATACTTTTATGAGACGTGTCAATATGCCTATAACTTGTGCTACGTAGTAGAAATGATTAGAAAAAAAAAAAAAAAACATAAAAATAAAAAAAAAATTATATAAAATATACGCGTGTCGCGCGTTACCTCTGTTCTTCATTCCTTATAAAATGTTACTTATTGAAAGAAGCTATACGTATGTTCATTTGTTTATCCTGTATCGTTGGAATAAGAATAAAATAAAATTTTGCTCTGTTATGTGGCAAATTAATTATTTGCGTATGTAAACATATATATCATGGATACGTCGTATTGTTAAAGTGTGAACAAAAATTTGTCGATGAGACAACTGGATAGTAATTATTATTAATATATTTATTACATTAATATTATTAATTATTATTATTATTATAATAACCATAATTAATGGATAGATATTGGTATTATTTGTCTCATAATATTTGTTCACATTTACCCCAATTGTATACAAAATATCTGAGTGGTGCGGAACACACGCATATAGATCATATCATATATATCACATGCATTTAAGAAATAAAAGAAATTATTATATATGGAAACAAATATAAATGATTTAAATAAAAGTATAGCAAACTCGCACATGACGATTCGAATAAAGTGTCTATCTGTTGCAAAATTAAATCCGTCTTTTTAATTATTTTATTTTTTATTATATTGATACTTTATTTTGAGTAATTTGATAGTTGTCCTGTTGAAAATTAAATCCTTTAGATAGTACTTTAATTTAAAGAGTCAGTTATTTTTTTCTATGCACTAAAAATATTTAGAAAAATTATCAAGATGAAATTGAAAATAAAAATACAAGTTCTCTTCCTCGGTGAATAATGCAATCGCCCGGTTTTCTATTGGTAAGTGAGGAGATGATTGTTTGAACATGTAGAATTGGTAAGAATTTTTTATTTTGTTTACAGATGATGACAATAACTCAAGATTGGACAATTATTCTATTTCAATGCTGGATCCGATGGAGAGAAAGCGACAAGAGTATATTAAGGAACTTATTGCGACTGAAGAGGCTTATATCAATGACATGATTCTTGTTCATGAAGTAAATAAATTTTTTTTTTTATAATAAATTATTCTACATGTATTTAATAATAATAATAATTATTTATTTTTTTTTTTTTTAGGTATTTGAGAAGCCTTTGATTCAAAGTTGCGTTCTCACTGTCGACGAAGTAGAAAAAATTTTTGTTAATTGGCGTGATATTATTGCCTGTAATGACAATTTCTTGAGGTAAAAATGAATTATTAAATTTCTATTTAATTATAAATTAATTTCTTAATTATTTATTTTTCAGAACGTTGAGGATAAGAAGAGACAACAGTGAAGACGGTGTTGTAAGACTGATCGGGGATATTTTGTGTGAAAATGTAAGTTTTTATACTCTGCTCTAAAAATATATTTTATTTAGTAAATTAACGCCAATCTGCTTTACTTTATAAAGTGATTGAAGTAAGTAAGAATTAAGTTTATAATAATAAGTAAAAAGTTATAATAAAAATACAATGATATTTAGGATTAATTTAATTAATTTAATACATTGATTAATTTTTTTTTTATTTATAGATCCCACGTATGTCAGCATACGTAAGATTTTGTAGCTGTCAAATTTCAGCGGCTGTGTACCTCCAAAGCTTAACAGAAACGTCACCTGAATTTGTAGCAGTTGGACAGGCATGCCAGCAAGATCCTCGTACCAAAGGAATGCCTCTGAGTTCATTTCTGATAAAACCAATGCAACGAATTACCAAATACCCCCTTATTATTAATAAAGTAATTTTTTTTTTTTATTATTTTTAATGCTAAAAAAATGTGTTAGAGCTTGTAAATAATTGAAAATTGATTGTAGATATTAGAGTATACACCGACTGAACATCCAGATAGACAGTATTTACAAGAAGCATTGGCAAAAGCCGAGGAATTTTGTATACAAGTGAACGAAGGTGTCAGAGAAAAAGAGAATAGTGATAGACTGGAATGGTTACAGACTCATATAGCGTATAATGAAGATGTTTTGCAGGAAAAACTTGTATTTAATTCTCTAACAAACTCAGCTGGTCCAAGAAAGTTATTACACTACGGAATTCTTCACAAGGTATTAAACTTTTTTCGTTAAACTTATTTTCACATTTATGATGTTCGCATCAATTATTTTTATGATTTTTGCTTAGGCTAAAAGTGGCAAAGAACTCGTTGCATTTCTCACCAACGATTTTTTACTGTTTGCTCAACCACTGAAGACACTACCTTCAGGACAACAATTTTCGTTTGAAAGAAATGAAAATAACAAATTTAAATTATATAGAAAAGTAAGTTAAAAAAAAAAAATTTTATCAGTAAATAGTTAAGTAATTTTTGGTCATTATTTACAAAAAAGTTCAACATTACAATTTTCTAAAAAATTTATAAATTTTGATAATCAAATTTTTTTTTTTAATTATTCATTTTTTTTATCTATTTTTCAAAAAAAAAAAAAAAAAAAATATACATATATATCAATAAAATCAAACAGAAATTTCGTTAAAAAAAATCAAAATTAAAATGTTTGACCCCACTTGTAAATATTTACCTAATTTTTTTAAACTCTAGCCGATATTTTTAAACGAATTGTCTATGATTGGTGACTCCGAACCGAACGGCAATATAATTCCAACGTCAGACGCATCTAGGACACTTGGTTTACGAGATTCGAGCAAACGACCTATTATTTTACTGGCCCCATCTGCGAGTGAGTGTACATTGTGGGCTAGAAAAATTCGCGAGGCAAGAAAACAGTTTGCTAAAAATGAAAAAAATTTATTACAACGTCAACGCTCCCGTAAGTTTGTTACAATAATTAATTTTATTCGTTCAAACGTTTTTGAAATAATAAAATTATTAATAATATCGTTGTAATTACTTAATGTCTCGCATTGTGCGGTAATACAGGACAAGCGCAATTTAGCTCTTGTGGTCGTATCCTCGTAACAGTCCTCCAAGGAAGCAGCTTGAAGGCGTCAGCTGGTAAGCCGGATGCATGGCTTAGTTTTATTACTCCAAGAGTGCCGTATATTTTGCTTTGCTTTCTGCTTAATTAAATTTTATTTTAAATCACTATTATTAAATATTAACATTTATATATTTCATTAAATTTAACCACTTAACTGTATTTTTATTTCCTTATTTTTCTAAATTATTTTGCACACGCAGTATATTAACACACAGCATGGTACGATTGTAGTTCGCAGGAAACCTCCAGAAGGACGGCTATCTCTAGTAGTTGTAGAAGCTGAAGATTTAATCTTAACTAAGAAAGGTAATCTTGACTAAGAAAATTTCTTCAGACTAATATCACTTTTAGATTTTCGATTTTTATTTGCACCAAGCTTTGCACGCGCACTAACTGCAAGTGCATCTCTTAGACAAACACAAAATTTTAATTTAATTAATAAATTATTCATCAATTAATTAATTAATAGGTAAATGCAATGCGTTTTGTAATGTCTCAATGGGATCTCAAGAAGAAAGAACTCCAGTAGTACCTGGTACTAATTGTCCAATGTGGGATACCTCGATGCAATTTTTAGTTAAAGATCTCCATGAAGATACACTCTGCATTACTGTCTTCGACAAAGGCTATTATACTCCAGACGGTAAAAAAATTATAATTATTTAATTACTTAATTATGTTTTAAATATTTAGTTTTTTTAAATTTTAATTATTCAGATTTTCTCGGGCGAGCGGAAGTAAGAGTCTCAGACATAATGAAGGACTGCAAAGATTCATGTGGACCCATTCAAAAGAGAATAAAATTACACGAAGTTAACACGGGTGAAGTAGTATTAAAACTTGATCTCCGATTATTTGGTAGTTGATTAAATCTATTAAATTTATTCTATTTAATAATGATTAGAAGAATGAATTATACTCAAATTATATAAAAAATACTCTAGGGAAAATGTATTTATAAACTAGCAAAAGGATTTTAAATTATAATTTTTGTTAAACTTTTTTTTCAGTACAATTATCATTTATTTATTTATTTTAAATCTACAAGTTGACATAGTTTAGTATTAATTTTTTTTCCAACTATGCGACATGAAAATTACAATTATATTAATATCTAGTCGCTCTTATGTATGTATGATTTCTATTTTTTTTTATTTTTATTTATATTCATCATACATATATAAAGCAAAAAGATATATACAGTTAGGTTTAATAGAAATTTATTCCATTATTGTTATAATTAAATTATAAATTCGTACGTAAGCAAATACTACCAATGAAATTTGTATTTTTTTTTTTTTTTTATAAAGAATTTAAATTGATACTAATGCTTGCGTACAAAAATAAACATTCCACTAAAAAATAAATATAATTATATCAATATCATCATATACAAAATAATTATTTATATACCAATGTGTTAATAATTGTGCAGAGATCACAAAATTATTTATCTAAACTGTTTTTTAAATTTCAGCTTTCACATTATTATTATTATTATTATAAAATATCAGTCGATAAATGAAAAATATTTTATAAATATTAAAATTATTATATTTCTTCTTTTAAAATAAGTATCTAATTTAAAAAAGTCTTTGCTAATTTAATTGGTTCCATGATTTTTTATCCTCCAACAAAATATCCCGGATAAAATATCTTAAATAATTAAATTTTTTAATAAAACAATTACAAGCTTGTTACCGTGTTGTGCCCTTTTATCATGGATTTTATGGGATATTTCGGCTGCCCATTTTCAAAACACAGTAACTGACAATTTTAAGATTTTTAAAAATTTTTCTTATTAAAAAAAAATTTGCGCGCTAAATTGATAAAAAATTTTATGAATATAAATATTTAAAAAAAAAAAATGCTTGAAATTAAGATCTACAAGTTATAAGAAATGCAGCAATACTAAAAAAAAATCAAATATAAAAATTTTACAATTACTGTATTTTAAAATTGGGCAGCTGATTTAGTCTCGGGGATATTTTTTTTTTTTTTTATATTTTGTCGGAGGATCAAGACACCTGATACCAATTAAATCAATGATCAAATTCAGTACCTCTTGGTTTTTCCATCATCATCGCAGGATCAGCATGCGTCATACCTGCCGGCATTTCTTCCGAAGGAAATTCAAAGATCGGCTGGAACCCACTGAACAATTGCGGTTTAAAATTATCCGAGTCAAAAATATTTTTATTATTACTATCTTCAATTTCTTCATTATTCTTCTTATCATCTTCACCAATAGAACTCACAGTACTACTCATAGTATTACTATTACCATTCCGCTCATCAGTATCTTTTTTATCTTCAGCATCAGCATGAACTTCATCCTCATGATTTTTATCTTCATTTTTATCAATCCTATCATTGGACTCCTTAGGAATAAAAGGATCACCGGTTACAACACTCCATCCATTTTTCGAAGGCATTTCCGCACTGAGACTTGCTACAAAAGGCGCCATGAAATTTTGCGGCGACGGAGCAGAACTGGATGAACTCGAGGGCTGCTGTGACGGCAAGAGAATCGGGTTTCTTTCATAAGATTCATTTTGCCTCCTTATTGGTGGAGCCCGCATCGTTGGTGTGTAAACATAAGCGATAGGATTCGCAGTAGACGAAGACGTTGATGATGACGACGAGCCAGAAGAGCCCGAAAGAAGCTGAAGAGTCGTTGAAATAGCATTGGGCTTGATAACAAATGGCTGATGATCTTGCAAATAAGGTATAATATTAATACTAGTATCTCTATCTTGATTGCTGGATGATTTGTCATCAAAGGGACCATCTTCCGTCTGCTGTTCATGTTGCTCCGTAGGTACCAACAACGGAGTTTCATGGACTTGATTTATAAACAAAGAAGGATCAGGTTTCTCGAGTGCATACGGGAAATCCGAAGCCAAACGCACGGGCAAAGGTGGCAAGCTCGGGACACTTGGCACTATCTCATCGTTATCTTCATCAGTTAAATTTTCTGGAGGCAAAGGTCTCTGAGGCCCATGAGTTCCAATTACAACGCTCTCATCCATCGGCCGCTTGTCTTCAGAATTATCCGTGTCATCATTTATATCTATGGAACCTTTCACCGGATAGACAACGTAAACCGGAGCTTCATCACCGCGACGATTTGCTGTGTCATTATCATTATCATCATCATTATCATTACCATTACCATCACTATCACCCTGACCTTTATTATCTTCACCACTTTCCGAAGATTTAGCTCCTAGATGCTGAATCATCTGCAGAGTTGCCACGCTAGAGTTTCCATTTTTACGCTTAGTAAACAGCGGAGCTCTTGGGGGCATAGCTGGAGCTTCAGCAGTTAATTTTTCACTGTCTTCATCATTCAGCCGAGATTTCAGCGGCTGATTGTTTGCGAAAGCCAGGCGATTACGTTCGTCTAACTTTCCTTCGATGTTATTATTGATTCCATTACGACGGTGCGGAGAATCTTTTGATAAAGGAATACTTTCCGTGACTGGACTATGAATTTCTGGATTATTACCAATCAGCGCAGCAGGTGTAGGCAATCTTAATGCGTGGACTGGCGGAGGTGGAGGCGGGCTCAGTCTCTGAAGATATCCCGACGGTGGTGAAATATGTCCTGGAGGTAAATGGGAATGTGGTTGGGGTGGTAAATGGGATTGTGGCTGAAGATGAGGTGATGGCGGTAATGGTCTCGGTCGCTGTGGACCACGATGATGCGGTAGAGGCTGTTGCTGGGGCGGTGGACCTCTAATTGTAACTCTCGACGGATATTTTCCAGGGTTAGACACAAGCATTGTTCCAATTACCTCGCTGCCGCGTCGCTGAGACCCGGGACGGAATTGCGGCAGAATGTTCGGAAGGCCGCTGGGCTTCTGGCGAATTTTATAGCTATTTTCATTGGGAGCCAACGGGAGGCGTAGATGCGTAGCTGGAACTTCTGGTGGAGGTCTGCGGTGATAATGATGGTAAGGCGGATGATGATAGTCAGGTCGCTGGCCTAAAATCAAGGGTCTGGAAGCTTCTACCGCTGGTGGTGTAAGAATTTCAGAGAGTTCTCCGAGTCCGGGTTCTTGAGAAGGCATCACCGTCGTTGATAATCCCAAAGTTTCAACACTGGGTACTTCTGGAGAAATTTCCGGAGCTGAGGTGGGAAATACAACTCGATACCCAGCAACTACATTGATATTATCATCTTTAACTTTCTCAGTGACACTCTGTGATTTCTCCGCGTGTTCATTATTATACCACCACTTCTGCGCGTTATCATTAGTAGACCCGTACCGATCCTGAGCCATCTGATTAGGATACTGATGTCCGTCATTTACGATAGGAGCCGCTATCGCCGCCGGGCGTCCTATGGATAAATCAACAGTGTGACCTGTTTCAAGCGGCCTGACAGATCCTACATCTCCGTAAGGCGACTCAGGTATTGCACTGCCGTGAGCGTAGTAGGTACCCTGGACATTCTGCTTATTACCTAGGACAAATGATATGGTGTCTTGATCAGGCGGCACGATAACATTACTAGCACTTTCTACGACAAGTCCTGAATAACTCGGATGATTCATTCCGTGACCCGGGTAATCATTATCTCCAACTCCGTTAAGACTTATCAACTGCGGACGGTTCATTTCGAGATTAGTTTCTCCGTATCCTTCCTCGTTGACATTATTTACCGGGACAGGTCGTTTTGGTTCTACATTTTCAGAACTTGGTCTTGCAGTTGGTTTGGGTGTCGTCTGGGTTGTTGGAACTTCTGTAGTACTTGTTGTAGTTGTCATTGTAGTCGTAGAAGGAGTAGTAGTAGTAGTAGTAGTAGTAGTAGAAGTAGACGAAGTTGTTCTTGGAGTAGATTCAGCCATAAAATATTCTTCGTAGTGATCTTCATAGTCATTGTCATTGTTATCGTGGATTAACAATTCATCTCTGTTACCAGGTGCTGAATTTTGAATTTTTTCAATCGGTAATAATGCATCACCGTAATCAATGTCATACCTGTTAATCACGGGTGGTAACTTGGAAGGCTTCCAGGTAGTAACTGGTTCAGTGGTCGGTTTTTTAGTGGTTGTACTTGGAGTTGTCGTGGTGGTTGTAGTCGTTGGTCTAGGTGTTGTCGTCGTAGTAGTCGTAGTAGTAGTTGTTGTTGTTGTTCTGATGATTGGCTTGGGTTTGATAGTAGTGGAAGTTGACAGAGTTGTCCTGACAGTCGTATTTGGCCTCCGTGTGGTGATTCTCGGTACGTAAGGCTTGCGGGTCATTGAATACGACTGGGAAGTCGAGGCCTCGCCACCGGCATGATAATTTTTATGATTATTTATAATGTATGCGTTGTAAGCCGAGTTACCGCTGCCGCCTTGGACCTTTGTGTTGGCATACGAGCTGGATATAAGTGGGTATTTATCGCTGTGATATTTTTCGTGGTCAGAATACCGAACAGGTAGGTTTAAAAAGTCATGAAAACTCGGAGAGTACGGGTTTATTTCGTTTGGAATTTGTTGATCTTCATCGTCTGAGGCTGAATGTGTGTCATTGGCTTCCTCTTGGCCATTCTCGCTTTCTTCATTTTCCATTTGACTGTCATCATTATTACTGTCATTGTTGTTGGTGTTATTATCATCATCATCATCATCATCTTCTTCATTCTCGGTGTTGTTAATATCATACGAACCGGTATAATTGTATGCCGTCAACGGCGGTGCTTTATTAAAGTCGATTTGACCAGTAACGGGATCCTTCTCCAGGGAGAACGGTTGCCCGCCATTAAAAGCATAGGGACCGTTCAAAATTCTATAACGTAGCGAATTTCCGGTTTCCGCTGATAATTTTTTATTGTCCAAGTGTCCACCCATCAATGAGTCTCCAGCGACTAAAGTAATTCCCAGGAAAAATGCTGATAATTTCAACATTATTCTTAGGTGACTCGCCATCATCTAAAATAAAAATAAATATCAATAATTTTATTATTTTCTTTGTTTTGTTTTGCAAATAATTTTTAGAAAGTAAAATTACAAAATACTAATTTTAAAATTATAAAATAATAATTATTTTTTTATTTATTGTCCCGGCTTTATGTAAAATTATTCAACGAGTTACTTCGAGCAGAACGTGATTTGAAAATTAAATTCAACATGCAGGCTAGTAGTCTGGTCCTGAAGTAGGACACAGGCCAGGTCAGGTTTCAGATTCGAATGTCAAGTTTAATAAAGGATAATTTAATTTAATAAATAAATTTACCTGTTGTAAATAAATAAATAAATACTTGTAAGTATAAAATAAAAATGTTGAATCACAGGTAATTAAAAGTCCATCGACGTGTGTACGAGCGGAAGCATCCTCAGGATACTTTTATTCTCGACTCGTTGGATCGGTAGAAATAGAAGACACTCGGATAACGTTACGCGTCCTTGGTAAGCTGTCGAAGACGACTGAGCTGGGAGTAGTGCATCCGTTGCTTTCGAAGCTGATTGCCGCCGGGTGAGAGGGAGAGCAAATGCGACTAAATAGAAGGAGCTGAAGGTGGAGGTACCTGAGATAGAGGAAGTGGTTGAAGAAAAATGAGAGGTAAACCAAGTGAGAAAAGATTGAGAAAAGGACGTGTGACAGTGGAAAAAGAGGCAAGACCAAAAGCGAGACCGAGACCAAGAGCAAGACCAAGAACAAGAAGAGTTACCAGTTGAACCAGGCATAAAAGAGACGTTATAAGCGGGATATAAATAACGAGGGAGTAGCTGAGGATTGAAACGGTACGTGAAACAGTTAGACGATGACCTACATACATAGAGACCTGCCCATTGGAGGCCCCGGACATCGTGCCAGTTTCGTTCCTTTATATATTATTTATTCTTATACTTTACCTTTACCTTTATGTTTACTTCCTCCGTCTACTCCACTACTTCCATTGAATTTACATTCTTTCGGATTTTCAAACCTGGGTCTTCTTCACGAGCACTTTGATTTTTAGGTAGATTTCAATAGAAATCTAACTATTGCTATCTAACAAGTCCTCATGGTGGAATTCTCACCTGGTTTTGTTATCATATGTCATAATTAGTTAAGTAAGTTCCAAAAATACCATTGGTTAAAAAATATATTTATATATGTGTAATATTACCGACCTTGTAATCAGGATATCTGCACAAGTCTTCAACCGATCTTTATGAAACTTGGTATACGTATTCTTTGGATAATTACCTTGAACGAGTTTGAAGATGAGCAAAATCATTCAATTAGTTTAGAAATGGTGGCTATTTAAAATTTTCAAAATAGTGAAAATCACGTTTTCGGTCAATTTATTAATGTGTAACTTTTGATTGAAAAGAGATAGCTAATTTTCGAAAAATTCATGTGAAAGCTTATGAAATTTTGCCTTTGATTTGATGCACATAACATTAACTTTTTTTTTCTTTTTTCACTTCGATATTATAACTAAAATTAAATATGTTTAATTAACAATTTTTTTTACTTATCAATGAATAATAATAGTTAGCCGACATTTTTAATTTTTTTTTATTAAAAAAATTAAAACAAAAAAATATTTTTTAAAAATTGTACTTCAAATTTTTTACAAATGAAATTTTTTTTTGATTTTTTTACAATAATTTTTTCAATAAAAAAAATTCTAAAAATTCTTAGATGTCGGCTAATTTAATTTTCATTATCAATGATCAAAATATTCATATCACCTCAAATCAAGTAGACATAAAGATTGATAATTTTTGATCTTCAAACTAGTCCAAAACTTTTTCAGAATTTCTTTATAGTAAATAATTTAAAAATTTTGTTTTCAACAAATTGTAATAGTGAAAATGAAAAAAATTCTTATATCAAATGAAATAATCTACCTTTCATTTCTTGTGAGGCCGAATGGGACTTTTTATTATTCAAAAATCCTTTCTCAGAAATGTTATTCACCCAAAATTAGTCATCGGTTGATGACTAATGAGACTCTTGATTACATCCAGCATTTCATTGAAATTAATGTAATTTAATATTATTTATTTTATTTTTGAGTCTATCTTGTAACGGTTTGTTGACCGATATGTAGATGTATGGACGTCAATAAGTAATTAATATACAGTGTAACATGAAGAATGATTTATAATCCCACTAAAAAATAAAAAATAAAATTAATATGACTATTTGAAATGAACAAATCAGTGCGCTGCTAAAAAAAAAAGCAAGCTGGCATTTACTGAAACTTAAATTCACTAGATAGATAAAATTAATATAGATATATATTACTACTGCCAATGGTATCATTGTCCCAATCCAACCAAACGCTTATTCTATGATACTGATAGGTATATGTGTCTGTCTCTCTCGGATCTGAAACATGATTCTTGACTAATTCTCACGGTCATTAGTAACCGGAATTCGTAAAGTTTGTCACGTATCACGTTCTTTTAAAAACTCCTCATTTAGTAGTTTAAATTTTTCTTTCGTTGAACCGCAATGAGTTGCCAATATAAGCTGGTTGTTTTTGCAACATTTTTTTTTATTATTGTTTATTCGCAAGTAAATTTTACCAACGCGAAAAAACGATATTCACCATGGAACTCGGAAGATGATGAGCAACTTTGGCGAAAATATGAAGAGTGCAGAGATTTTCAAGATTGGAAGAAATTTAGCAAGCTGAATAATCACTACAAAAAAAATAATAATTTTGGTTTTGTTGATGATGATTCAAGAAGAGAAAATGCTGAATTTGATGCATACTCAGCCAAAGACATAAGTGATTTACCTGGTGATGATTTACCTCCAGAAGACCATCCGGCTTTAGTGGGCCGGTATGTCGTTAATCAGTCAAGTAAGTGTTCAACAGGTTTTTTTAAGCTTCTTTTTGATAACTAGAATTAAAATAATTATTTTATGATCCATAGATTGGACCTCCGTGGCTACTATCAGCAGACAACAGGGAATAGCATCATTTCCGTTTGCCAATGTCGTGGCTTTGAGCGATGGACCACGTGGTAACGGATCTGGAGTTCCTTACATGTTCCTCACTCCCTTGGACTTTACATCAAAAGACCTGAAAGTATGTTGTATTATTTAATATTTATTTTGTATTATGTAATTAAATTATTTAGGCTTAAACCAAAGTCTAGTGATAAGATCACTAAGATAACGGTAAGCATTATTAAAGTGAAAGGAGGAATTTTAATCTATTTTCAAATCGTAGGAAGATGCACGTGCGACGCTCATGGTGACCTTGGCTCAAGGTTCTTATTGTATTCACAAAGAAATGGAACCAATAGATCCGCGGTGCGCGCGTACTATTTTAAGCGGAAAAGTTCAAGCGGTTTGTATCCCTTATTTATATAAAAATGAAGTTAGCCGAAATTTTGAAATTTTTTATTGAAAAAAAAAAAAAAAAACAAAAAAAAAATTTCACATGTAAAAAACTTGAAAAACTATAAGTGCAATTTTTTATAAATATATTTTTAGTTGTAATTTAAATTAATAAAAAAAATCAAAAATTTTTAGACGTCTGCTAACTTCAGTGTCATTTATTTATTGAAGATAAAATTTTTCAAGATAGATTATAAATAATTAATTATTTTAATAATTAAAATATAGATTGATCCTAAGTCATCAGAGTATATTGTTGCGCGGGACGCAATTTACGGACGTCATCCTAGCTTGAAGTACATGCCAAGAGGTAAATTTTTTTAATTACAATGTATTTGTTACTTTGTCGATGTTTATACTTATATTTTTATTTTTATTATTTTTAGATCACGAGTTTTATTTTGCTAAATTAAAAATATTCTTCATCGCAGTGCTTGACACTTTTGGAGGTGCCAAATTTGTGTCTGTAAAAGATTACTATAACCCACCTGCATCAAAGCCTAGTGAGAATTATGAAGAATATATGAATTATCCAATGCCATATGTCAATCAATTTTAAAATACTTTTTTCTTCATTTTATTTTGAGTGATTATTTGTGATTGATTAATATTTTATCGATCAACTAGTTGTAATATAAATATAATTAATTTTAATCTTTGAATAAGTCGAAACTAAAATTAATTTTTTACTGGTGAATTTATATACTCTCAAATAAATATAATTGAACAATAAAAACAATTTTTGTTCATAGTAATTAGTATTTTTATTATTTTTCATCTCTTCTTTAAAGATATTCTTCGTTTAAACTTTTTTCTTTAAACAGCACAGAGAAGAATGTAATTTCTTCTTTCCTGAACCAAAACTGTCAGATGTGTCAAAATTAAATATTGTAATATTATGATTTTTTTTTTTGTTGTTATTTGACTGTTAATTATCATTTGTATTGTTAGTTTAACAATTAAACAGTGTAATTTTTTTGATAGCGCGCCTTGACTATAGAGTTTGCATATATTTTCATGCTTATGATATATTCAACCAATCACGTTACGAATAGTTTGATGCCACATACATTTCATCTCAATTTTATATTAGGACTAGAATTTAATTTTCGCGCGCAAGCGCGCGCCTCATATTTATTGTCATGATATATTTATGTGTCGTTTAGGTATATTATATTCACTTTCAACCAATCAGAATGAGAATATTTATTTTCGACCAATCACATCACGAATATCACATACATTTCATCTCAATTTTATTATGGGATTAATTAATAATTATACCGGGTTGCAGTCAACTAGTCAGACTGACAACATTCCGAATTAATAAGTTACTAGAATTTAGAAAGTAAATATTAAATGTAATTTAAAATAATTAATTTTACAAATTTTAAAATTCCAAAAAATATAGTCTTAAATAAAGAAAATACTAAAGCTATATTAATAGAATCTTTCAAAGTCACAAAGTCTCAATAAGTTAAAAAACATAACAACGAAAATTTGTACGTCAAAATGAATGAACAGACGAACACTCATTTAGCCGAAAAATGTATATAATTTTATATTTAGATTAGAAATTTTTTTAAATTAATTATTTTAATTAATTTTTTAAAATGAATTTTATTTTAATTTACAAGCATGCATATAAAACACTCAAATTTCATGCTAGTAAAGGTGGACCATCTAAGAAAAATTTCCAATTTCTTGGATGAGTAATTTTTGGCCAAATCATTATTCGTATAGATAAGATGAGTATTCGGATGAATATACGTCGGAACGAACCTTTTTCGAAATCAAATTAATTTTAACTCTTGAGGAATATAAAACTTATATTTACTTACTCGGTGTTTTATAATTTATAAAATTGTTTTTCGGCTGGTATTCTATTTAAGCTAATGTATTTTATAAACTTTGAATGCAGCGGAATTTTAAATTTTCTAGGAGATTATTTAATAATTCGGAATGTTGTCAATCTTGTCAATCTTGTCAATCTGACTGGTTGACCGCAACCTATTATACCAACAATGGAACAGACAAACACTGTCGGTCACATAGATTTTTACTTTACTATACAACTAATTGTATTTCGCGGTAAACATAGTAAACATATTACTTGCGCTTGTTAAACAGAAGTACAAATAGAATAATAACAATAATAATTATTCAATTTTTTTGTGCTAGTTTAGTTGTAAATAAACTAATTATTAAAACTCACTATAACAAATCTTCAAAATCATGGTAAATATTTTTAATACAAAAATACTAATAAAATTAGCTACTCTAACCTATATGTCAAATCAAAACATGAATTAATCTATTTATATTTTGTTTACAGTTGTTTTATTCATTTTTCAAATCTCTGATCGGTAAAGACGTCGTGGTGGAATTAAAAAATGATCTCAGGTAATTAATTATATTTTTATTTTAAATAAATAAATTTTTTCAGAGTTGAAATCATGCTCTGGTATAAATATAAATTCATACTCTAGGATCATTATTAATGATGGTATAATAGACACCTAAAAATTATTTTAATGACCAAAATTTATTAAAAAAAAAAACTAATCTTATAATTTAAGTATTAATAATTAAAACTTGCTTTTTTACAGTATTTGCGGCACTCTTCATTCGGTAGATCAGTATTTAAATATTAAATTAACTGATATCAGTGTCACAGATCCAGATAAATATCCACACATGGTATAAAAATAAATTTTTTAATAACTATTAATTTTTTTCTCTTGCTACTTTTTATTCATGATTTAAAATAAATTAAGGAAAATTTTTTCGGGAACTTAAACAACAAAAAACTAAGATTACATTTCCAAAAATATCTCAACGTTTCGTTGGTTTATTTCCAACTTCTTCAGGAGATCTAAAACATAATTATCAATTACATTACAATATTTAGTTATAAATCTTAGATAAAATTCAATAGAAATACATTAAATTATTTATAATAAATAATTTAATGTTAGTCTTTTGTTGTCCAAGTTCCCGAGAAAATTTTCTTTAACTTATTAATATTTTTTATAAATAAAGTAAAAAATTAATAATGCAGAATAAATTTTTGTTCCATTATTTAGCAATCAGTAAAAAATTGTTTCATCCGAGGATCTGTCGTCCGATACGTCCAATTGCCGCACGATGAAGTAGACACTCAACTGTTGCAAGACGCAGCCCGAAAAGAGACTGCGGTTCAAACTCGCTAAATAAAAACTAAATATAATTAAAATAATGTATTATTTTCTATAATTAAAAATAATAATAATAATAATAATAATAATAATAATAATAAATTTTCCATTGATTTATTATTAAAAGACACGTTGATAATGTACAGTAAAACGATGTAAAAGCTTTTTTGTCTGGGTCAGCTGATTATAAAATAAAAAAAATAACCAAGGACAAATGACAGCACTAGATTTTTTTTAATCATTTATTGAAAATATTTCTGTAAAATGTGTTCATCCGTTCGGCCATGCGAATCAACCAACCGATTATTGGATTGTAAGAAGAAAAAGCCAAATATATACGTACATAGATTTTTATAAATATACATACGCATACACTAGCGATGAGAAGTAATTAAAATAATAGCTAAAATTAAAAAAAGTTAGAAAAAATAGTAGAGACATTATTTTCTAGTATTATAGCCTAAATTAAAGGACCAATCAACGATGCATTGGCATACTTTATAATCTTATCATATATTAATTATATTGTGTATAACAAAGCGGTAACAACTTGTTAATTGTTAACTATATTAATCGTAGGAATTACATAATTACAGTAACTAATAATATACGAATCGTTTAAACTATAATTAATAACAAACAAATTTTCTTTTTTTTTTTTTCATATTTTGATCCAATATCAATCCTTGACAAAAATCATTTATTGTTTTTGCTCGTTTTTATTTTCATTTATTTATTTTATTCATTTAATTTTTATTCATCATCTTGTATTAATTATTTAACAACGTTTTCTTTGCATTATTTGCTCTTAAAATTCATTTAATCGTAATAAACATATTAATATTTATAATATTGTGCAAATAACTCATATTTTATTTTGGTTTTTGCCTTTTAAATTTATTTTATTTATTTATCTCATTGAATTTATCGTTTTCGGTTTTCTTCTTTGTTCGTTTATTTATTCATTTTTTTTTTTTTTTCATACCAATAAAATGTACTTCACTTTTTTTTTTTTTTTTACAGATTTGTCATTACAGTACAGTAGTTCGTAAATTTAACAGAACATGTTAATAATAGACAGTATCTCAATTTATATTGATCGTTTGTGGTAACCATTGTATTGTGTGATTTATTTAATATTATTATTTATTATTAAGTTTATCAATAATTTGGTAGCTAGGTTTGTTGAAAATTGGATTCTCAGCTGATTTTGCTAGCTTTACCCATATGGCAGTTGCTTTTAAATTTACTGGCCGACAGGCTCTGATTTTTTTTAGCGTTGCACATTACATTAATAGCTGTCTATCATTTTATTATTTATTATCTTATGATTGCAAGGAAAGATTTTGAAAAAATTTAAATTATAAGAAAGCTCAAAGGTGCTTCTTGATATCTCGTTTTATCGACAGTCCGGATATACAAATTATTTATTATTATAATTATATTTATAATTTAATTTATTATAATTATAATTATAATTATAATTATTATTATTATTATTATTATTATTATATTAATTTATTTATAATATTTATTTCTTCTCTTAAATCACTTAGAGTTCAAGTAATTTGTTTCGTTCAACGAGTTTACATATCTTTCAATTTTTTTCTACCCATATTCATTTAAAATTTTTATTTAATTAATTATTTACTCCACTCCGCACAATTCATCTAATTTTTAAATTTATTTATTAATTTTTTTTTTTTTTATAATCATTTGTGACAATAACTTATGAATAACGGCAGTATCGTTCACGGAGAAAGTACGTTGATTTATAATATATATATTTTTTTTTTAATATTCATATATTTATATTTTTCTCAGCGTTACACGATTTATATTTGTTATAATTTTATTTTTTATTTAAAAACAAAAAATTTAATTTTTTTTAAATATTTATAAATACAAGCCAACAGATTTATATAGATAAAACGATATTATCAAACGATACACATACTCTCCCCATTATCGCTACTACCGGTTAATTAATAAGCCAAATTATTTTTTCACATTCTTATTTATTGATAAAATTTATAAATTTATATACTTAACGTATATATATTTATAAATAATTGATAAAATCACTTATAAACAGTTTTTATCAGCCAGGAAAAATATTAAAACACTTGACAAATTTTGTTTTTTTAACACGAGCTAATTTTTCTTCATTAGGGGAAGTTACAATTTAAACTAGCTCGGGCCTAATATTCTTCCTTGTTATTCGTTTTATTTTTTTTTTCCTCATAATAATAATTATAATTATTATTATTAATTATTTAAATAATTCTTTCCTTGATATTTCAAAATATACACACTTAAAGCCTTCAGATAATCACATAGTGTTTATTTATATATTTTAATATCATACACGCGCGAAGTTTACCTAGAAATCGTTAAATGTGGAAATATCGAGGATTTTATTTATTTTAATATTAATATTATTGTTATTAATTACTATTATTATTGTTATTACCATTAGTATTAATATTATTATTTTTATAATTATTAATGTCATTATTATTAGCAAGTAAACTTGCGTAATTATTTATTAAGCTTGTATAAATGGATTAAGATGATTTGGGGAAAAATCAACTAATCATTTTTTATACAACACTCAATAAATAAATACTTTTATTATTACTATTATTATTACTTATTCATTTAATTATTTATCATAATAAATATTACTTTACTTATTGCTTCTATTGATGATTATATATATGCATGAATTTTTAAGCTAATGCGTACAAATGACGTGATAAGAATTATTTGCACATATTACAACATCTACAAATTAATACATAATTTATTTATCATTATCATTATTATTATTATTACTATTAATATTATTATTAATATTATCATTAATTTTATTATTGTTATTATTATTATTATTAATTTTGTATTTTTTCCGAGCATAATGTTGCAATCAAGGCAATCTCGTCGATAATTAGAAGGTTTCTCATTTATTCACTTACAAAATTAATAAATAGTACAAATAATTAAATTTATAAATTATTTATCATTAAAAACATTTAAATGATAGGTTGAAACCTCCGTTGTAACAAATTCGATAGAGTGGCGAAGCGGGAGTCGTTTTTATTATTAAATTTGTTCGATTGATTGATTTATTGATTGATTGATTAATAATTAAATAAATTAATTAATAAATAAAAATCTACTATTGATACAGTGATGAATTTGAGGAGAGAAGACTATAGAGTAGTAATATAGTAGAAAAAAGAGTTAATGTTTAATTTATGTCGATAATGATAAATATTCTAATTACAATAAGTATTTTGATAAGCAGATATAACGTTCAATAGTGAGAATAATTTTTGTACGATTAATTTTAAATGATTTTTTATTTATTTTATTTTTTTTGAGCTTCTATAGCTTATAGAGTAATGAACATTGGTTGCTTGTTGTAAGATAAGCATTTTATCCTACAATGTGTGTTTTTTTTTTTTTTTTTATATAAATGTTTATTTATTAATAAAATAAAAAAAAAAATTTTTTAAAGTGCGACTAAGTCTGAGACTGATAAGTAATTTGCAGTCGCGGCCAATGCCATGGCCATTGATTTTTGATCATAATAAATAAAATAATTTTTATGACACTTGTTTCACTTTTATTATTCTGAAAGTAGCAGACAGACATTTTTATTTTTTATTAAAAAAATTAAATATTTGTTCAAATTTAGATTTTCGTGAAATTAATTTTTTTTTGCTTTATTTTAATAAAATTGAGTGTCTGCTATTCATATTTTTAATTTAGTTTAATTTTTTTTTTTTTTTAGTTAATTAAGCCTAAATTGATAACGATAATGCAAGAGACTTGTGTTACTAATGGATTAAAATTATAAAAATTAACTTTAACAATTGGCTAGAGCCTGTAAGTCAGTAACAAAGAGTCTTGCGTTTCGTATAATTTATTTATTACATATTATATGATAAAATTTATTTCTCTTTATTATAATTATAATAACAAAGTAATAAAATCTCTATTATAAAATATAAACATACAAATAATATAATAGAAAAATAGTAACGTGATAAATCAGCGTGTATATTAACTAAGCGATATTACTTTTTTTAATTATTAATTAATACGATTAATTAGCATTAAATAATAATTAAAATATAAAATAATTATACATTTAATCGATAATTAAATATGTATTGTCTAAGTATAATTAAATAATAATAATAATAATAATAATAATAATAAAGGGTAATTAAGGCAACGTCAATTTATTCGGTGTAATTAATTAAAAGTCAATTGTGCTCCGTATTAAATGTTACCGTGACAATGGGAAATTTTAAAATTGCTGTCTCAAGAGTGTTGTAAAGTTGTAAAAGAATAAAATGAATAATTTAAGACGCGATAATTGAATAAAAAGAATAATTAAAAAGTAAAAAAACGTAGCCGATAGTTCGCATGCGACGAGGACTCATTATACGAGAGAGCTTTCCATCAAATACGTCTATCTTACACTTTTAATTAATTAGTTACTTAGAATACATTTATAATTATTTATTTATTTATTTTATTAATTAATTAATTAACTAATTAATCCGTAGCTATACTCGCGCAAGACTTTTCTTTTTAAATATATTTTTTGTCTTTTAAATTTTATCTCACAATTTATTCCACAGTAACTTCAACAATCTCGTAATTAATGATTAATAAATATGCAGGCAATCGTTGAGTGTAATTATTTTAATTATTATTACGCATTTTCACATTTAAGCACTCAGTTAATTATTTTTTTTTTCAAACTAAAAAACATACCCGCGAGTTTCTTCTTTTTTTTTATCATCGCAAACACCAAAAATTATTTTACAGCAAATTTACTTTTTAATTTTTCAAATATTTAACTTCTGAATTATGATTTAAACTCGCGAACGTATGATTTAATTATTATTATTTGCAATTATTACAACCATTCACTCGAATAGAAAAAGCTAGAGCTATACAATTTATTAATGGATTGCGAGATTGCGTTACATTGATGGTAAACGAGAAAATGAGATTCGTTAAATGAAAATTAATTAATTTTCCCGTTAAAATCACACATGAGACTTTCAATTTAAATTGTCTGTATATAAACTAAATTTGCACATTATTGATTCAACATCATGAAGATGATAGTACCAATAATAATAACAATAACAATAATAATAATAATAATAATAATAATAATAATAGTAACAAGAATAAAAAAAATTACAATAATAATGATAATAATAGCAATAACAATTAATAATAATGACAGTAATAAAAATAATAAATAACGAGAATAACAAAAGAATGTAAAAAACACTGGACAAAGCGGCAGAGACAATAGATTTTTTTTAAATATATATTTTTATATATATTTATTAATAATGTCTATAATTGTTGAATGTTGCAATCGGACAATCGGCCGAGATGATAGGTGATTAATGGTGCTCGTCGAGATTCTCTTGATACGTCGCTCACACACTTATTACAGATGAATTAATACGATAAATCGCGCTTCGTTAAACACATTAATTAACATAAATGTTATCACTGATAATTTTTAATTACAAGATGTTGAAGTTGTAGTAAGTTAACAGTGCCTTGGTCATCCGAATCCATATTGAGGGGAAGCGAATTCGGTGAGCAAGTAAGAAGCGCGACATATGTATATCTTAAGATGATTATAACGATGTATTCTTGCTGCCAGAAGTCATAATAATATATAATACATAATAATTATAAAATAAAAAGTGATAAATTACAATAATAGCAGATAGAACACAAGCAAGCGAAGAGTAACCGTCGGGGAAGGGCACGAAAGTCAATCGAGTAAAGTCGTGTACTCGGATTAGATTTTTTTTTTTTTTTTTTGGACAACAACACACACATCGAGGCGTGCTCGAGGAATATTATTAATATTAATTATCATTATTATTATTTATATTTTTATAAACATGGACTGACGATCCAAGTGTCTGACGATCGCTCTTTAACGGCGAGAATACGTGACAGTTTTTGCAGTGATCCGACGAAAGGCAACTCGAGGACAACGTCACGTTACTTATAAAACTATTTATTTATTTTAATTTAATTAATAATATATATGTATATATGGATGTAATATATACATATATTTATATTTATTAATTATTAATAAATGTTTAAGGCTGTTGAATTTGATAGCAGCAGCACGACAGTGAGATTTAATAATAGGAGGAGTTGACGGGTGGCTTTGGTGGTGGTGGTGGGCTGAGAGGTGGTGGTGGTGTTGGTAATGGTCAACGGTGGGGTAGTGATGATGACGGCTGCCGCAGTGACAATCAGACATCCGCTGTCCGAGATGTGACGCTAGGCGATCGGCTGTGGATGACCACCCTGTGGCCATTCTTGGTGATGAATCCGTCGCTCTCAACCAGGACCGCAGTTTGTCTGACTCTGGGGTCCATGTCTGGATCATCACTCTCCTCGCTGGGACCGCCCAGTCGTTGTTGCTTGTGTTTGCGCCAGGCGTTCTGTATTAGCCTGGCGCAGTACTCCTCTCTCTGGCGCCACAAAGTCGACGACACCGGCTCATAGCCGACCTCGTCAGGTCTGGCTTGTACTTCTCCCAGCTCTGCCGTTTCTTCAATGGGATTACCCTTTCTCGCGAAAAAGTCCTTTGTGAGTGCATCGAGGATATCCACGCAAAACATAAGGTCGCCCTTACATATGGGAATATCCATCGACACGATCTTATACTTATTCGGCTTATGAATTTGCAAAGGGGGCTCCAATACATCCAAGAAGTCAGAGAGCTGGTCATATCGTATGTACTGCGTACCGTCCGGGTCGAATTGCTGCCATATTTCATAATACATATCGTAGTCATCATCGGTCAATCCCTCCTGCACATCTTCTGTCGCTTGTGAATAATTTTCTAATATCACCGCGATGTACATGTTGATGACGATTAGGAAGCTGATGACGAGGTACGATAGCAGATATGCAATTCCTATTGTCGACGAGCCACAGTTCCCAGGATAACCTATTTCATTATTAGGCTCCTGGCAGTCCTCCTCGTTTATTATACCGTCGAGCACGCCGTCCCATCCCGCGGACGTTGACATCTACAAATTTATTTAATAATTCAGTATTCTATTCACTTTTTTTTATCAAATTTTTTATTTACATAAAGAAAAAATTTTTTTTGAAAAAAAAATTAAAAAATTAGTAATGATGTAATAAAAAATTAATTTATATTATTAAGAGAATAAGTAAAATTTTATGTCCAGGGTAGTCATATGATGATGAAATCGGTTATTTTAGTGAAATTTAGTGCAAAAGTCTTGACTTAATTAAATGTGTCCTTGTATCTTGTGAATTATTAACACTTTCAAAGAAATAAGCTCATCCCGACGTTATACTCATCGAGACCTTTCATTTGAGTACCCACATCAATTTTTTTATATATTTATATATATATATTATATACATGTATATATGAAAAATATATTAAAATGCATGTGATGGGTACTTAAATGAAAGCTTACAATGAGTCTAACATCGATATGAGTTTATATCTTGATACGTTAAAAACGTCAATATTTAAGAAAATACAGTGCATTTTAACAAAAGTCATTATTTAATAAAGCAACATTTTATTTATTTATAATTCATAAGTCTAAATTTCTAAATTTAGATAAAAATTGTCGATTTAAATTTTTTTTTCAACAAAAACTATTGTGAGAAAAATTTTTATTTCTTCTTTTAAGAAATAAAATTGTTTAAAATTTTCGACAATTAAATCTATTATTACAACATTACTTTTTTTTTTTTTTAAATTTCTTCTTTTAGTGTATTATTAATATTTTACCTGGAACAGCAGAATCATCGACTGTCCAAAAGTCTTGAAGTTGTAGACGTCATCCAGACCGCTCTTGTCTTTAACGTGCATGAAGAAAGACATTCCGAAGATCGCGAAGATAAACATCACCAAGAAGAGCAGCAGACAGATGTTGAAGAGCGCTGGCAATGACATAGCCAGGGCAAACAGCAGAGTTCTGATTCCCTTGGCACCTTTTACTAGACGCAGTACTCGTCCGACTTTGGCGACTCTCACCACTCGAAGCAACGTAGGCGAGACAAAATATTTTTCAATAATGTCACTCAGGACCAGACCTAAAAAAGGGTGTCAATATCCTATTAATTTTCATTCCTATTTAATTAAAAATATCGTGTCTATCTCACGATGCATCAAAAACTAATTCATGCAGGCCTCTAGTTATGGCTTATTGATTTTTAATAATCATTTTCTTAAAAGTCTTATTTTCTCTCAATCTAACTATTCTATAAAATTTTCTAATATGTGCATTTAAATTTACTTTCTAGTAATTGACTAACTGTTTGAATGTTTAAAAAAAAAAAATTATGTTTTGTCAGAGTATCTTTATGATAAAATAAACTAGGTATGTATAATATTACATAGTAATTACTATTGTTCATAAATATTGTCTTACCCAACGTGTATGGGTTATTTTTCAAATTTACTGTTACCGTTCTCGGCATGCTACACATACTTACTATACAGTCTATTATTATTATTATTATTACTCAATAGTCATTATTAAAACGCAAAATTGCGTATAATAATAAATGACTATGAGATTACACGAAAGTCTTCAGAGATAGAGAGAGAGGCTTATTGATGCATTGAAATGAGAATAGAATAACATTGAAGCACATATAATTGTATATACAACGTCAATGTGAGGCTACATAACGTAATGACAATGATCAGTCATTGCGACTCAATTGAAACGTTTTTTTAGGATAACCTGTTCACTTTTTTTTCGTGTTTTTCAACAGTGCGGTTCAAAAAAATACCAATAAAAATAAAAATAAATTCATGCAATAATTCAAATTATTCAAAAAAAAAAAAAATATTATTATTTCTTATTAATTTTCAAGTAAAAAAAATTTTAGTGCATGGGAAAGCAAACAGGGCCACCGTTAGGCATTAACGATTTCGTTTCAGTAGGGTCATACGACTGAAGTAATCATTACGTTACATTACCTAATATTGATAATATAACAACAACAAAATCAAAGAGATTCCATGGCTCCTTGAAGTAGTGATAACGTAGAGCAAAAATCTTCATCAGACACTCGCTACTGAATATCACAATGAATATCATGTTTAAGTAATCAAGCACATTGCTGAATGTTTCAGTCTGTTGGTAATGATCGAGTGTCATCGTTAACATGTTCAAACCGATGAACAACATGATTATCATATCGAACTTTTTGTCTGTCACTATTTCAAACACAATTGCTTGTGGCCTCCACTGAAAAAAATAAGAAGAAAAAATTATTTTTTTATTTCTTCATTAAAAATTAATTTTTTTTTTTTTTTTTTTAGAAAAAAGAAGAAAGAAGATAAAAATTCACCCTTGGTCGTGGAATGGCTTTCAGTGGTTTTTTACTTCCCATTTTTTTCATCGCGTTGTAATACTTCTTTTGATCCTCAGTCATGAACATCTCAAGCGAGCCACCGGCTTTCTTCTTCTGCTCGTTGAAGTTATCAATGATAACTCCGATAAACAGGTTGAGGGTGAAAAATGATCCAAATATAATGAAGAATACAAAGTAAAGATACATGTAAATATTTGTTTCACGGATTGGTTGTTTGTTAATCTAAAATTACAAGAATATTTTTATTTTATTTTATAAATTAATTACAACTAATTAAAAATATAAGAAGCTATATTTTACTTCTCTGGAGTCGATGGCGTCGTTCATTATTTGGATCCAACCTTTGAAAGTAGCTACTTGGAATAAACACAAGTAAGCTTTTCCGACATGGTCGAAATTCATTGGCGAATTTTCCCAGGTGTAATTTTCAGCTTTGCAGGCATTACGGTCAGGTATAATTTCATGACTGAGTGTCGTTTTGTTCATGTCAACACACTGAAAAAAAAAAAAAATAAAAAATTATCATTATTAATCAATACTTAGCTCAAATATTTAAAATAAATAAATAATTACCTTGAAGTATTTTCCAGCAAACAATTGGACACCCATGATGGCAAAAATAAGCCAGAATATCAAACAGACAAGCAATACGTTAAAGATGGACGGGATAGCTTGGACCAGCGCATTAACGACCACCTAAATAAATATAATTGTTTTAAATTCTGATTTAAAAAACTAAAATAATTCACTAATTTAATTGACGGTTCAAGTATACTCTATAAAAATTTTTTCAGTCAATTATAACTTATTATTTAATTTAAAAAATTGTATACTTGTACGATCAATTGTGCTTATTAATGTTAAGCTCGATAAAAAATTCTACATTTATTTCTATAGAGCATTGTGTTTGTGTTTATATTTTCTATCCATTTAATTTTAAAAAGCAGCTTATCGTGTCTTTAATAGCTGTGGTTTAAAAAAACTCTAGTATGTGCAAAGAAATTGCAATTCAATTGCATGATGTTAATTTACATATATATATATAGTTATGTTATTTATCTCATTAAACACACGAATGAAGAAGCATAGAGGCACATGACATTAATTGCTAAGCCGCAAAAAAATACCAAATTTATGTGGTATTAATGTATTCATGCCTTATTTTACATTTGGCTATTGTCTATGTTAATTCTGGTGTACATACATTGAGCGAAACATGCTTGCCTACATTTGATTAAAATAATAATAATAATAATTATGAATTATAACTATATAAGGCAATACCATGCAATAGAGTTGTTGATAAGTAAAAAAAGTAGTTTTGAGTGGATACAAGTGTCGGGGTATGGGCATGACTATTATGTTTTAAACCCAATGTCTCAGCGACCTTATCAGTTGTCAGTGTATTTTTATTAAAAAAGTAACTAAATCTAATTTTAAATAAATTACTAAAAAAATGCGCAGCATTATTTTTAATTTTTACTTAATTTAATAAAATATTTAAAAATAAAATCTAGTTTTTATAATTGTGTTCTAGCAAAGCATTAGCTACCCTTGCAGATGTAATTGAAGTTCTAACACATTCTAGTTTCTTCAGATTTTTATCTAGGTCATGTAAAATTTTTTCAAAGCTTTTGAAATAAAAAAAAAAAATTTTTAATTAATTAAATAAAATAAAAAATAAATTAGCAAACGATCAGAACTTCAGTTACATTATAAAAGAGTAAAGTGATATAACAAATCAAGTGTTTAAATAATTGAGTGAATTGCATAATATTGAAATATAAAATGTTGATGCAATTGACGCGATGAAGTACTAATTTAAAAATTCTAGTGTCTAATAAAAAAATTGAATGTGAATAAAAATCATGAACAATTATAAGGATAATGATAATTAATAATTATTAATAAATAGTAGTAACAACATTAATAAAATAAGATGAGGTCGACTGAGACGGTGGGCTACATACCCTCATCCCCTGCATTCTAGACATCGCCCTGAGTGGCCTTAGGGCCCTTAGGGTCCGCATTGTTTTGAAGGCTTGAATTCCGCCCGCGCCACAGAGCGACGCTACGAAGTTAATGAGCGAAACCTGCGAGCGAGAAACGAGATACGATTGTAACAGCAAGAGTTTTTAAAAGAATAGAAAAAGCTACAAAGGGACAGGTAGAACAATTTTTTTTGTTACATTTTTTTTAAAAGTAAATCGGGTCATCTGATAATTGCGGACCTGGTTAACAAGCTTTTTTATGCAGAATATTGTTTACAAAATTATAATAATAATAATAATAATAATAATAATAATAATAATAATAATAATAATAATGATGTCAATTGTAGACAAATATATGTAGCCCTCGGATCAGATGCTGACGAGAAGACGATGAAAGACATTAGTTTATACAAGTATATAAATTTAGAGTAGATGAATACAGAAGACAACAATGTAGCAGTAAACAATTAGTAGAAATAAATTAATGAGTGTTAGTATTAAATCATAATAATGATAATGATAATAATAATAATAATAATAATCGGCTCCATCCTGAAACAGATTAATTCTTTCAAACCTTTTGCTTATCACGAGACATGGTTCAAATAGTTTAAAAAAAAAATATATATCTTCTCATTCATTAAAATTCTGCTAATTATTCTGTTAATTAAAAAAAACCTTGGCTCGTAATAAAAAGAAAAAATTTTATCTCTGTTATTTCTGTGAAGGCCTGATAGAAAAACGTTAAAAAATTTGCAAACATTTTTTTTTGGATAGAGAACACAGAAGGTAGTTTATACACAGAAAAGCATACACCAAAAATTTTTTTCCACACTTCAAATTTCCAAAAAGGCGTACATTGCAATAGCTAGTACGACAAATATTTTTTTTTTTCATATACAGATAGTGTTATTTAAAAAATAAATAAATATTTACATTTAGATTTTTATTTATATAATTAAATAACACGGTAGAAAAATTTAGTAATTTTGATTAGGGGAATTTGCGCGCCAATAAGCACACCGCTATCGTTATTGTTAAACACTTTTTTAATTTAGCCCGTGAATTTTTTTTTTTTTTTTTTTTTTTATCAATATTATTATAATGATTTAACGTCGTCATTAACGTCGGCAATTTTAATAATAGCTTTTTTAATTGAATGAGTCTGTTCAATGACGACGGATAAATCAATAATAATTCATGTAAGATAAATTTAATAACGTATTTTTTCGTCGCAAGGCCCTTCACTTACTCTCATCCCCTCCCAACGGGAGACTGCTCTCAAGGGCCTCAAAGCTCTCAATGTTCTCATTGAACGGAACGCCGGGATGTCATCGGCACCAGCCCACACCGCCCCCAAATTGATCAGCGAAAGCTAGTGTAATCAACTCATAATTAGTCGGGCTAAAGGTAGATTCATTATCACGATATTATAACACTCTATATATTTTTTTTCCTTTCATATAATCACTATTTTTATAAAATCCAGTGATCACGCTGCTTTAGAAAATAATCTTCATTATTGATTATCGAAACGCTACATATTATTTTTAACTATTGCATTGAAAATTTATAAAAATTAAGTTAGCTGACATTTCAAAATTTTTAGACAAAATTTCAATTAAACAATTAAAAAAAAAAATTGCACATGTAAAAAACTTGAAAAACTATAAGTGCAATTTTTTATAAATATATATCTTTTTAGTTGTAATTTAATTAAAAAAATTTTTAGACGTCTGCTAACTCCAGTGTCATGAAGATTTTTAAATTTATTTTATAAAAATTAATTTACTAAATCTTTTTTTTTTTTTTTTTTTTTTTTTATAAGTTAAATTGCTTTAAAAATCTTCGATACCTATAAGTTAATAATAGACGTTTGAAGAATTGAATCCGGAGCTGAAAGAATTTTTATAATAGCATTATAAAGTTTAAATTGTTGAGCTGGTTTGAACGTCAATCGCCGTCTACTATATATTGATGGAAAAACAATTTTTTTTTTTTCAAATAAATTTTTTATATTAACTTATTAAGATAAAGTATATTTTTGCTTACCATGACAATGATAAAATCAAGCCAGCACCAAGCATTTGTGAAGTATTTAGCGAAGCCCAACGCCAACCACTTTATCAACATTTCAAGAAAAAAGATGACCGTGAAGATACGATCCATGTAATAAAGAATATCTTGAAGAATTGGTCGCTGTTGAAGGTGAACATCTTCAAGCGCCTTTGTAATAAAAAATATCAACTTAACTATTTTTCTTTGTTCCTTTTCTATTTTTGGCTTTAAAAAAAATAATACCTACCAATGCCATACTGCTGAGTAAAATCATAGTAATTACGGCTGTCTCGAAGTACTTGTTCTCAATGAGTTGAAAGGTCTTGAGCCGGAGATTTGCCCAGCCTTGCCAGAACGGAGCGTCGTCATCACCCGCCAAAAAGGGGAATTTTTTGTAGCAGTGGTCAGGACAACAGTCTGCTGGATAGTCGGCATCAATGATGTCTTCATCGGCGTGAATTATTTGGACTTCATCCCCTTCATCTTCACCTTTATCTTCATCTTCTTCATCATCGAGATCTACAGAAACATTATCAATAATAAATACATTTAATTAAATTGAATCCCAGAAATAAATTTTCATTCAAACCTTCTTCAAGGTCTTCCTTGCTCGCGTCTTTCTTCTCTTCGCCGTCTAACGAGTCAATACTTCCTTTATGGCTTTCATCTTTGAATGGCCGATTTTTGTGGCTTCCGTATGACTTGTTACTGGTGAAATCAATAGTTAATTATCGATAATGTCCATTAATCAGTTAGATATATATATATATATATATATATATATATATATATATATATATATATATTTGAGAAGTAAAACCCACTTACCTAATGGTATCGTCGTCATGATGATTGATGTAGTCATGATCTAAACGGCAGTCGTAGTGATTAATGGAATTACTAATGGCCTTTGTGTTGTTCATGCTCAATCTTTCCTTTCTCAGTTTATTTCTCAGATCTCCTTTGAGAAAACAAGCAAAAGCATCCAATAAAGTAAATAAATTGTTCTGAACAGTTAATTTTATTTTTAATTATTTATGGCGATAATTACCATGGATGGTAAATTCCATTCCTTCACCGATGGCGACTTCCAGCTGGTTGTTGAACTCTTTGGCGCTTTTTTTGTCCCGATAGCCGTCCAGCTCTCCATCTGCAAGATCCCGATCTCCGTCCCGGTCAATTCCATCTGCGCAGTTACACATGATCTCTAACCCATCCGGGTTACCAATTTTCATGGTCGAAAAATAATATCGGATAACTGTTTAAATATTTTCAAGTCGTAATTTTTCGATTTGAGCCGTGTTACCGTAACTGATTTTTTTTTTTTTTTATGGTCTCAATTATCCATGAAAATAAAATCTTATCGTCCTTTATTTATCAAAAATTAACTCTAAGTTAAAATTTGATTTTTATTAATTCAACTATTTTTGAAAATAATAATTTAATTATTAAATCATAATTTAATAATTATAATTATTTTATTAAAAAATAAAAAAACGATAAAATTTCTGGCTTTTTTTTTTTTTTTTTTTTTTTTTTTTTTTTATTGTAATACATGCACACTCATTTGGTATCATAATTAATCAGAATGAAAATGTATTAATGACGTTGTGTGAATAAAGACTTTATTTTTCGATCACGAATGAATTTATATATATTTAAATTTAGTATAATTAATAAATAATAAATAGAGTGCGGGATTCAATTGAGTGCAAAACAGCGTGCGTGATTGTGAATTAATACACGTAATAGTATTTTATCAAATGTTATATTCAATATAACCGAAAAAATAAAGATAAAAATAATGAAAAAAATCTAACAAGTGATTAATAAGAGTAGTAATGACAATTAATAGCAATAAAATAATCTAAAGATATATTAACTACATTCTGATTAAGTGTGTCCTCATGAGCGCGATATCCAAGTAAGGTATGTAAGTGATTAACAGAGGGGTCAAGTGCGTGTGTGTTCTTTGATGAATAGACTACATGTTTATTACATCGGTCATATCCACTTCAAATCCAAATTAGAAAAGCGATTAGCGACTATCAATGATTGGCAATCATATTATCAGGTGTCGGGAGTAAAAAATAATAAATAACAGAGTGTTAAATAATAAAATGATTGATAGGCGGGGGTTGGAGATGAAAATAATATCAAATGACCAACAACTGAATTGTAATGATGATAATAACTACACAGCGCACACAGCAAGCGATCTGATTGGATATAAACCTTCTTTCCAACTGTTGGACGGTCCCTCACCTGGCGCCTGATCGGATATCTGGTTGGTGAGTTTGGCTCTCAACATCTTAACAAGATTGCTACAGCTCCGCTTGATCCAATTAATGAATCTCGCTATCCGGTCAATTGCCTCGGCTATTTTGTTGGTGTCGTTGTCAGCCGACGGTGCTGACAGATTTGATGAACCGAAGTTTGACAAGAGCAACGCCAAGAAGAGATTGAGAACCTTTTTGGAGGGTTAATATTTTTTTATTATTGAATCAAGTTTAATTTGTCACGTAAAAATTTTTATGTAAATTTAACACTTATTCTGTTAAATTAACACAAAAAAATGTTAAATATTTAACACAAAATTTTATGAATAATTGTTTAATGATACTGATACTTACGACCAAGTTACCGATTACGACAGTAGCCAGGAAGAATGGTATACACGAGACATCACCGACCAGCATACAGTCCCACATAGACTCAATCCACTCTCCGCACAGCACACGAAATACGATCATAAATGAATGCATGAAATCAGTGAAGTTCCATCTCGGCAGAGTACCGTCGGGAAAAAGATCCACTTTGTCTGTATAATTTTTTCCAAACAGCTGCATACCCATCACGGCAAATATGAATATTATAATACACAGCACGAACGTCAAGTTACCCAAGGCTCCTACTGTTCTTCCCATAATCGATATCAACAAGTTTAAAGTCGGCCACGATTTAGCTAATTTGAACACTCGCAACTTTAAACAAAAGGAGCAGTTATTGATAATGTCGTCATAACACAATCATTATTGAGAAATTACTCCAATTTATAATCAACTTACCAATCTGAATGAACGTAATACTGAAAGACCTTGCACTCCTTCAAGACCCAACTCAAGAAGTGACAGAGCTACTATAATAAAGTCAAAGATATTCCAGCCCTCTTGAAAATAAAATTTCGGGCTCATGGCTATCAATTTAAGTCCAGCTTCAATACCAAATGTTGCCGTAAAAAACTGGAATATAATTTTTTTTTAAATTAAAGGAGGTTCATTGAATATTTATGGTGAGATTTAAGTATGTTTACTTACGTAATTGCCGGATTTTAATACCCGTTCCATGTCTTTGTCCATATCGTGGTGGTCGAGAGCCATGAATAGGGTATTTACTACGATACACAGTGTAATAAAAAGTTCGACAAATGGATCAAATACTATTAATGCAACCCACTCTTGGAATTTTAACCATGCCCAACAGCAATCCCATACACACAAAAAATCAATCCCGCGAATAACTGCTGCTAATATTTTTTCTTTCATTGTTGGACCTTCTTCGTCGTCGTCTGTTGAAAAATAGTAAATGGAAACTTTTATTTTTTCATAATTAGCACAATATTTACATAAACTATAAACTTATTTTGAAGAAATAGTTTTTTTATACTGTATTATTAATTATTATTAATTTTTTTGATTTTTATTAAAACTTAATTTTTTTTATAATTGGCATTTTTATAAAAATTAAAAAAAATTGTCAAATTTCTGCAGATTTAATATTATCTTAGTTTATTATTTCTCTAACAATGCAATGCTGTAAAAAAACCAATCAAGCAACATTGATATACCTTTTATCATCATCATCAATATGAAAATTCTATTTCCCCAAAATAAAACAATTATTAATTAAAAAATCACAACAAGCGTGACACCTCTTCGAGTTTCTGTATGTCGCTGATCAATAAAGCCCTCATTTTCAAAAACGAAAACGCGAAAAAAATTACAAGGCTTGTAAATTTATCTATAGACATAAAAAACACAAATGAAAATTAAGTTAGCCGACATCTAAAAATTTTTTGAATTTTTTTTTTACGTAAAAAATGATTACAAAAAAATAAAAAATACGTGAAATTAAAAAAAAATATTTTTTAGTTCTAATTTAATAATTTAAAAAAAAAAATCAAAAACATCGGCTAACTTTAGTATTATAAATTGCAATCATCAAGTAGCAGTGACATAAAAAAACAAGAATCGAATCCCCACGTGTAGTGACCAAGTGACGCATTGGAGGGAGAGAAAAATAATAAAAATTACCTCCTTGTTCTGATGATGTGCTTTGCCGCCCAGCAGCTTGCTCAATAATGTCATTCAGAACCATAACGTCTGCAACATAAATAAAACAAAATAACAACTTTGGTATACAAAGTTATACTGAAGACAACAATAGTGCTGGTACGTCTGCTTCTAAATATAAGTTTTAACTTCTGACCTTTCATATCAACAACAGCATTTTGCTGGGAAGGCTCGATGAATGGGTTGTCTTGTTGCTTGTTTTTACCCAGTGGATCTTCCATATCCACATCCTGAAGTAAATAACAACCATCAAAGGAAATTAATGTCTGGCAAGTATCTAAATTTAAATATCGAATAAATAAAAGTTAACTAACATGATGTAATTTTTGCAGTTGCTCTGGATGACCATTGGTGGATGGTTGTCGGGCAGATCTACTTCTCAGCCTACTCTCCTTGGTCATGGGTTTACCGGCATTGGCGATACCGCCCAGCAGATCACCATGGGACGTATAAGATAGCCGAGATGTGTGGGAGGTGTAGGATGAGTGTCGCGAGCCTAAACTCGCGTAGTAAACCGGGACGACGATGGTACCATTCTCCTCGGACATCGGAGTCACGGCATTAGAATCGTCCGCGTAAGGCAGATGTTCCTGGGCGTCAAGATACGTCGAGAGTACCAGGGGCTTTCTATCACCACCTGGTGGACCGACAAATCTTCCTCTTCCATTGCGAATTGTGAACTGATGACTTCCTCTACTTCCTCTGCGGAGATTGAATGGCGAACCGGGTAAACTAAGGCTTGCCTGAAAATTTACGCTCATTACTAAAAATAAATAACATATTTATTGTTATATTAAATAATTAGCTTCAAGACTTGAATATTTATTTTTTTTTCGACTTTTTTATTGCACATTAACGTGCAAAGGCCGACGTAGGATTATTTGTAATTAAACTTATTTATTTTGGACAATTTTTCTTGAAAAATCACTTATTTATTTGCGTTATCTCACGTTATTTAAGTAAATAGAGACAGATGTTGTAGATTTAGTTTTTTTCAACCTATTACAATTAAAGTACGTACGGTTGCGACCGTCATCCCATCACGTACACGTACCTTCCTCAGATTTTCCCGGTAAGCACAAGTAAACTGGCCATTAGGGGCGCGAGAGACCTTAAGAAAAAAAAATACAAGAAAAGGTATCTCCTACCGAATATAAAGGTTCATTTTTCAAACGCAACTAGCTTTACACCAACGTACAATAATAATAATAATAATAATAATAATAATAATAATAATAATAATAATAATAATAATAATAATAATAATAATAAAGATATATAGGCACCACTTACAGTTGCAAAAGCACAGGTAACAATTATATAATGTACGTGGAAAAAAATTTTTTTTTTATAATACGTGATATTAAGTATACTGTTGATAAGGATACAAATGTTAAATTCATAAAAGTATTTTTTTATATATTTAAATAATCTATAATAATCGTTTATGCAAATTAATGGTACCGTTTGCATGCATGTACTTGTGATTTGTGAGTTATCATAAACTTTTTTTATCCTATTCTCAATAAAAATGCTTCACAAGAAACTTTTTATATTTTTAATAATATTTTGTGATAAAGTTTTTTTTTTTCTATGTAAATTTTCGATCCGTTTAATATATTCTGTTTGTATATGTTGTGTTGTAATGAATTATTCTGTCGTGTATTTATTTATTTTCATTTTTTATTCCTAATTTAGCACATGCATCAATTTAACTGGATATATATCATGCATATATATTTATATAAATTTGCTAAATTTAATTATCATGCCGATGAAATAAAATAAAATAGTCAATTTATTTCAAAGACAATTTTTTTTTGATAGTGTGTTTTATAAATAAATTTCTTCATGATTTGTGGATTATTATGTTTAAAATTACTCATTTGTAAAATGTAATTTTGTATTAAATAAAAATAACATTATTATCAAGATAATTATTGCGAGTTCACAATATACATTCTCTGTATGCACCAAAAAGCAGCCACAAATGCTAATAATTATTTTTATACTATAAAATAATTAAAACATTTAATTTTTAAACCAGATTTTTATAATCTTTATTTTTAATTAATCACTTGGATTATTTTTTTTTTAATTACCAAGCGACAAATTAAAAACCACAAATTAGCTTAAAAAAAAATAAATAAAATAAAACAATTATTAATTTATTTTTTTTTATCCCAAAATAAACTGTAATAAATACTTACAGCGCTGACTTTTCGAACTTTATTAGCACCATTGTGATTGTTGTTGATTTGTCTGACCCTATACTCAGTAACAGATTCGACAGATCTAATGCTCATTCTTTCTTTGTTGTTGTCATCATTGCCCTTCTCTTGTCCGACAAATAATTCGTAACTGTGACAAGAAAAGTCTGAGGGTGATTTAACGATAGATTCAGCAGCCGCGGCTGCAGCAGCAGCTTCTCTAGCCGCCGCGTGAGCAGCTATTTTTTGCTCTTTCGCCAAGGCCGCTTCTTCAGCTTCCTGTGTGAAATATAAAATTTCCAGGATCATTAAATAAAATAAAAATAAGCCATAGCTAACACACAACACCTTATCACTGTAACAAGGTATTGCTTACATATGATCCGCAATAGTTCAAAGTGTAACAGTATACACGACAAAGTGAGTTAATAGTAAACATTAATTTACCCTTATCGCCTCCTCTTCAGCAGCTTCTTCTTCCTCAGCTTTCTTCTGCAACTCGTCGTACGACATCGCTACAATAGCAAGGATCAAGTTCACCAGATAGAATGATCCAAGAAATATGATGACGATGAAAAACAACATGTGCCACGGACCAGCCGACCTCAGCACTAGTTGATACAAGTTCTCCCAATAATCTTGGGTCATCAGACGAAACGCTGACAATAATGCCCACCCGAATGTATCAAAACTCGTGTATCCGTAATTTGGATTCTCACCGTAGCCTTGCAAGCACGTATAACCCGGCTCACACATTCTAAAATATTTAGAAAATTTTTTTTTTTTTAACTGCAATGTTTCTTATTTGTTATTAATTAATGTAATTAAATTTTTCTTTTTTTTTATTGAAAATAATACTTTATGTTTCTTTAAAAATTTTATTTAGCATTTCGTCAGTGTCCCAATTTTCTCAGGTACTATAAAAACATTTTACTATTTATTATTAATCAACAATATTGGATAATAAATTTGTATGAATATTATATTATATTAGAATCGTAAATTGAATGGAAATTAATTTAGCAGATATTTGATAATTTTAAGTACTTTTTTGACAAAGAAATTATGGCAAAAAAAATTGACATTTAGAAATTTAAAAAAAATTAAAAATGCAATTTTTTTAAAATAATTTTTTGGAACAAATTTGTTTGTTAAAAAAAATTAAAAAATTGTCAAGTGACTACTAACTTTCATGTCATTAAATTAAATATTAGGATAAATAGTAATTAGTATTATGATATTAAAGTTAACAGACATGTAAAATTTTTTTTCACAATAATTAAGTTGTTATAAAAATCTAAAAAATTGTCAAATTTCTTCTAAATTTAGTATCATATTAGTATAAATAATAATAATTAAATCATTAAGGATATTTATTTAGATTTTATAATTTATTTAATAGTAATTTATGTATAATTAATTAATTATGGTTTTGTATGGTTTTGCTATTATAGTACCTGAATAAATTTGGAAAACTGCCAAAAAGTTGTAAAAAAGTTTTAAATAATCATCGAGTATTATTATAAAAATTTAATTAATTTTTTTTTATTAATTAAAATTATAATTTAAAAATACAAAATATAAAAAAATATTTACCCAGCACCCGATGAATTACCACATAAAGGCATATTATCATTGTCATCTTTATACCAATTGGCTAGAAGAAAACCGCAAATAATTATTCAGCTCAATAAACATGCCAATTTAATGTGTAATTAATAAAATAAAAATAATAATTAAAATAAATTAACACCAAAATTGGACAGCAGATAAACTTACTTGAATTGCTGACAAATTTTTCCCAATTTTCATCAGTTAAATTCCCCCAAGAGCCATCATTCGGAAAGTTTTTAATACATTTTTGCGTTAGGACCCCCATGTAAATCTGAAGGCCCATTAACGCAAAGACGGAAAGGGAGAACATGGTTAAGATTATCACATCGCGCAAATTTTTTACTGACTCTATCACAGCGCCGACAATGGTTTTCAGACCTATACAAAGTACATAGAATGTAAATAAACAGCCAATTTATAAATATGTAAATCAAAGTATCTTTTACGCAGAGTTTTGGACTCTCGCATACTTTTATGATTAATATTTTTTAATTAAAAATTTTTTACAATTGTTTTATAGCAATGTAGACGCAACAAGCACTCATCGATACTAAATATCTATTCTAATGTAATAATCTCTGTTTACTACTCTGATCAATACTCTCTAAGCATACCTGGTACAATAGCGACAGTCTTCAAGGCTCGGAGGACTCGAAATGTCCTGAGAGCGGCAAGGTTGCCTAGATCTATTCCCATCGTCACATAACTGTAATACACCCGAACGTCACATACATTACAGTGATACAAAACAATAAAATAATAATAACATTAATAATATAAAAATAGAAATATAAAATAAGATTAATTAATTAATAAATCATCAATTTAGTTCAATTACAAACTATTTATCTACCTATGATCTACCGCGCTTCATTAATAAACTCACAAAATTATTATAATTATATATATTTTCCTTTCATGCATGATATATTAGATGTTAAAATATAAATATATATAATTACATAATTAAAACTTCCTAAATCAAGTTATTATAGTAATAACAATTATTCTATCAACATTTAACGCAAAGTATAATAATAATTATAATAATAAATTAGTCTACGACAATAAATTATTTTATCGCTCTCTATGAATAAACTAATTAATAAATATTATTTACGATGAATCAGTAACTAAATATTTCACTAAAAAAAAACTATTGTATTTAAAAAATTTAAGGTTTGTTATTAAAACTGCTTTCTACTTCGCAATTATATTAATTAAATATATATATATAAAAGTGTTTATGTGATGAATTTGTTGTGTAATTTATTATATATTTCTTCTTTATTTAAATAATTAATAAGCGTTATAGTTTATAAATAATTTTTTTAATTTTATCAGTGTGTTTTGATTTAATGAATTTTGTAACCTACCGATCAGCTTAATAGGACAACTACTTGTCTATCAGGTAATTAAATATAAGCTCCATTATATTCATTTTCTATGTATTATCCTTTTGGTACCTAATTATTTAAATTGATCGATGTCGCGATTAGATTGCATCGATTGATTACTAGCTAGAGGATAAAAATAATTCTTAAATACGATTTAGATAATTACTTTTTTTTTTTTAAACTTTTAACTTTTATGTTGATAAATATTCTATTGTAATAAATTTAATTATTATAAAAATAACGCATATAGTATGTCCAGCGTTTAAATCACCCGTAATTATTAAAACGAGTGATAGTGATAGTCAATAAACTATAATTAAAGAATAAATTACGACCGAGAAATATAATTAACAATAAACACATTAATTAATTATTATATAACTCATGAAGATGATTGTTGTGTTATAATAATAATTATTAGTATGATGTATTTTTTTATTTTTTACAAATAATAAATCAATAAATCAATGAATATGTTTAACTACTCACGCTAAAGCTATAACTACGAAGTCGAGCCAATTCCATGCATCTCTAAGATAGGTAAAAGGCTGCAGAATGAAACCCCTCGCCATCACCTTTACGGCGGATTCAAACGTGTAGATCCCCGTAAATATCACCCTGAAAACATAAATTATAACGCTCAAAAAATCAGACAATTATTACATAATATAAAAATAAAACAGAGCAATAATAAATAATTAATATAAAAAATTCTAATAATTCTAATATCTATCACATTATTGTAAATAAATAAATTTATCTAAACTATTAATCTAATTTTTTTTGTAAATTACAAACTTACCGATATTTTATTTTTGATTATAAAAAGACAGAGTCTAATAAATCTATAAAAAATTTTTAGCGTTTGACAAAAATTAAAACCTAAATTACTTTAGACATTTATTTAAAAACTAGTCAGCTAGCGGTTATTTTGTTTATTGTGTGTGTATTTTAAAAATTTATTTATTTTTTTTTATTTTATTTAAAAGGGGCCCAGGGGACAAGCAAGTGTAATACGTACTCGGTGGACTCGATGGTGGGCGATGTGGGCATGATCATGAGAACGCAGTTACCCAAAATAGTTAAGATGATGAAGAAGGAAAAGAGTGGGTGGACCAAAATATATATGGCCACCCGTCGTATTGGGTTAAACGGGTCGAGGATCCACAGCGCATTCGTCGCCGAGAATCTGAATATATCCTTTCCTTTGCTGATAACCACGAACGTCTGAAAATTTTATTTAATATATATTTATTAGAGTTATTATAAAGTGTCATAACAATTAAATCACTAAAAGTAAATATTTTATTTAACTGCACTTTATTTTATTTCTTCTTCTTCAAATATGTAAGTGTTATAAAAAAAACATCGAGTCTAGAGTAGATCAAGGCTGTCGGCCTGTACATCGATACAAGTTATAAGTACATAAAATTAAGTATTTATATATCGATAAAAAATTTTAAACTTTGCTAAACTAAGTATAAATTTTCTGGATTTATATATTTCTATTTATAAAATTATAAATTATATTTATCATTAAATAAACTCAATTAACTATCAAGCATGTTTACTATTTACTAATGAGACTCTTAATAATTACACCGATCGTTAGCGCTAAAAAATTAACGTGTAATTTACATATTTAAAAAAAAAAAAAGATTATTTATTAAAGAGGAAAATTCTTGATCCGAGAAAATTATTTTCAAGAGCTTTTTGTTTTTATTTAATTAAAACAATTTTTTTCTTGAATCAAGTTAATTTTTTTTTAAATAATTAGTGAGCTTAAATACCCACCCGTTGATTGTGGTAAAAGGTGTCGATATCTTCAAGAGGCGTCGAGGCCAGCTCGGGGGGAAATTCGTTGTGCAATCGGACTGGAATAGGCGCCCCTTGTTCGAACATCGGATCAGGCTGTGGACCGTCATCCTCGTCTTCGTCGTCATAACGGGTCTGTGGGATAATCATAGATTAGTAAATTTCCTCAAAACTCCCCCACATTGCTTCTCTAAAATCTATAAAAAAAAAATTTATTAATATAATCATATCATAAATATATTAACTGGAAAATTTTTATGTACATTTTTGGATTTTATTTGATTTTATTGTATACCAATGTTTGTTTTTTTTTAAAATAATTTACTGTTTTTTTTATCCAATTACTGGACAGAGTATAAAAAATAAAAGAAAATATAATTTTACAAATATAAAATAACAATTTAACATGCTTTTATTTATTCCATATTTGTATGTTTATTTATTTTCTTTATGCAATCCAGTAATTCAATATTTTTTTTCGTTTGCATTTCATCATCTGGAATGTTGATGCACATTGGTATAAATCCTAGGAAGTAAAATAGTGATTATTTGAATAAACTTGTGTACAGTAACAAGCGATGTGTACTGTAAATAAAAATATTAAATACTATATACTAATATATTTATATATACCTACACATTCTAGCCTATTAACTATTTTCTTCAGCCGATAAATAATTAATAATTTAATTCAGTTTTTAATAAAGTGTGTTCTCATAATTTTATATATAAATATATCTATATATTATAGATTTTTTATAAACTAACATATTGATTCGTGATAACAGTATTTTATTGCGCGTGCAGGCAATCTAATTATTAATTAAAATCATTAAAATAAATGTGTAATCGTAATATTAGATCAGTTGTTACAATCGTGACTCATTATAATAGGTCAATTATTTAGGCTATTTTTATAATAACCGTATGTTGATTTGTTTTTTCTAATCTATATTCATAAATAAGCCATATCTATTAATTAACATTCACTTTCAAAGCGTTTGGTTTATTTTTACACTGCCTGTAACATTCGAATCTCATAATATTTTTAAAACTTTCCGTTTACGAAAAAAAGTAAACTGTAAAATTCACTTACATTTTTTAGGTACGAAATGATAAATATTATAAAATGATTGTTAAAATCACGAGTTTACTGTTTGAAATGGCAATTTTTTCCAGTTAATCATTATACTTATTATAAATCAACTATTATTTATTACAGTTAATTTTTTTCCGTGCTAAAATTTTCGCTTTCAATTTAAAAATATCTAAAGGTTAAAAAAATATTATGAGATAAATTAGATATTGAAGCAAAAGCGTTTATTGTTCCCTAGTGTAGTTTTCAATAGATTAAAAATAGTGTGTGTTTGTGTGTGCGTGTAAAACTAGATATTCTATACAAAACAAGCTCTAGTCTTTCATTTCAGTACACATATATATATATATATATATATATATATATATCATAATAACAACAAATAATAATAATAAAAATAATATTAATAAATATGACATTGCATACATCGAGCTTTCGCACGCGACTGTTTTGTAATACTGTATGCTTTTAGACAGTGAAACAAAGAGAGAATTAAAGTACAGTACAGTATAATAGTTAAAAAATAGATTTAGAAAATTGTATACACAAGTATTGACTTTACAAATAGTTGTTGTAATTTATTTCAGAGTTTATTAAATCCCACTGACGCTACTGCTAATTTTACATTGTCAAGCACACACCTAACACTTTTGTAGCAATATTTACTAATTTAAAACGCGAGTTTGAGATTTTTTAATTAAATTTTATCGACGTAACACATAAACAGTCACATTTAGATATAAAAAGACAATTTAATGTTATAATAAACATATACTTTTTAATATTAGCCGTTATATATACACACAGTCGTGCTTTTTACTTTGCTTCATTATGATTATAAACATAAAATCATTATTTACTTTGTTCTCAACAGTTAACATTTAAAAAGCAAAATATATAATATATAAACAAGACATTGATTGATTAAACTGCAATTTACAACACCGGATATTTATACGTAAGGCAGAGTTGCAATAAAAAAAAGCACTTTCACCTGTTTAATATACAGCGAGCGCGTTAAACTTTTTAAAGCTCTCCCATAAAGTAGATTTCTCTTTTATTATCAACTTTGTTATTTTTTTATCAATATTTATTATTTGGATCTATTCTTTTATGAGTCGTTAATATTATATGGAGAATACGCCTGGTATTTTATTTATGCTTTTCTTGGAAAAATTTAAATATTATCTTTGACTTTGAATTACTAAGGTCTGACTGGGTAAGTTACTGGACTACTTAGAGTACTTAATTGTGATATAGTATTGTAATTTAATTTAATTGGGCATACCTCGCCTTGTGCTCTCTTAGCTTCGAGCTCCTTTTGCTTGGCAAGTTCTTCAGCAATGCGAGTTTCAATAGCAGCCAAAGATTCCCGCGTGAACGGACGGAACAAACTTCGTTCTTCTGATATGGAGTCAGAAAACTCGGACATTGTCTACGCTGCGCACGACAACGGCACCTTCCTGTAATTATACTTAATTATTTTAATAATTATCTTTTATTTTATTTCTTAAAGGTGTTTTTTGTCATCCAGCTGGAATTTTTTATTTTTTAACAATTAAAAATTTTTTTAAGGCTTATATTTCTTGTTATTGACAAAAAATGTACAAGAAATTAAAAATAATTTTTTTGTTAAAATATTAATAAAGAATTTTTTATTTATAAAAAGAATAAAAATAATTTTTGAGCAAAAAAATTTTTTTAAGAAATTAATAAAAGCTTTTTTGCTAAAAAAATTAATATAAAAAAAAAAAAAAATTTTATTAATAAAAAGGAGAAAAATATTTTTTAATTAAAAAAAATTAATCATAAAATTTTTTTAAAGTATTAATAAAAGCTTTTTTGCTATAAAATTAATAAAAACATTATTTTATTGAAAAAATTGATAAATAGCGAAAAGTTTCATCAATTTATTTTATAAATAAATGTAATTAATTAATTTAATCAACAAAATATTTAAACAATAAAGAAGAAATTAATAAATACAAATATTTATTAATAAAAAATATATTTTATAAATATTTGCACATGTTAACTATTAATTAAAAAATGAAATAAAATTGATATACCTTACGGTTGGTGCTAACACTTCCTTAAATGACGGCTGTGTGTCTGAGGTGAAAAACAATAAAACAGTCGATGGCGAAAATAGTGTTGTTGTAAGCGAGATATTGAAATGTTGTTAGCTCTGAGTAAGTGCTTCTTTAATTTGGAATGCGCGGTAGAAGTAGTGTACAAAGAAGTTTTGTAGGATCGGACGGATAAATGCGGCTGTTGCACCACGTAACTCCTCGTTATCTCGCTTTCTTTTTTTTCGCCGCTTGCGATAATGATACTCCGTCGTCTTGTTTGATTTGTTTCACTCCTCACGTTATGCCTGCGTCTCCCGGTATTTTTATTATTCGGTAGAGGTGAAATTGCGGCGACCAGTAGTGAGCGCGCTGCGGCAGTGCGTGGTATGTTGGGGCCAATCCAACGTGAACCAAGATTTTTCATGTCCGACCTGAGCACACAGATATCCAATTATCATTTTATTTTATTCATTACATATTATCATCCTTCATACTTTTTAACCCTTTAATACTAACTAGTTATTTGATTCTCATCATAAAATCCATGAATAAATTTACTGCCTCAATATAAGTTAATGTTACGGTTACAACTATCACAGAAAAAAATGTTTCTACGTTATTTTATTATTATTTTATGACCGGTAAAAAAAAAAGCTTTTATGTTTAAATTTATTTTACTACTTTCTGCTAATCGGCTAAATTTATTACTGAAAATTGCAATAATAAATTCCATTGACGTTTATAAAAATGATTTTTTTTTTTTTTTTTAAATGGAACTGCAAATGTTATCGTTATTGTGTAACTTAACTTTTAACCACTTGAATTTTGAGATAGTCTATTTATGAAAAAATTTTAATTTATCAATGAAAAATTAGTAAATATTTACAAGTGGGGTCAAGCATTTTAATTTTCATTTTTTTGAACAAAATTTCTATTTAATTTTATTGATATATTTTTTTAAATTGTTTTTCAATTTATTTTTTTTAAATTGTTCGTTTTTTTTTATGTACTTTTCAAAAAAAAAATATATCAAAAACATCAAAAAAAGATAAAATAGAAATTTTATCCAAAAACATAAGAGCCAAAATTTTTTTCAACTTTTGAAGGCAAAAAAAGCTATCGAAATTTTTATTTTTTTTTTTCATAAATGCGTTGTAAAAATAAACAGAATAAAAAAAAAATTAAAAAATGTTAATTTTTCACTTAGATATGGCCAAAAATAAGGTGGACCCCACTTGTAAATAATTACCAAATTTTAAATTAAAAAATTAATAAATAAATAATTTGATTAAAAAAAAAAGTCTTTACAAAATAAAAATAGTGACAATTTAACAAGTCAACATATTTTTTTATCAATCCATTAATCATATTTCAACCCTCCATTAACTAATATAACATAATACTGATTGACCCATTTATAAGTATAATATTTCTCACAAAGTTTTGTTTAATAAAACTGAAATTAAATATCAATCCATTTTATTTTCGAGTGTCACAATATATAACATTAATCATTTCTTCCGACAAATTTAACCCAACTAAATTATAAATAATTTTATTGTTTTATAACCCCGCACTAATTTACACTTTAAAATAATTTTCAACAATAAATAACACCATAAATAAATAAATACATACATATACATGAAGCGACGACGAGTGTGCTCAATCTGCTATTGGAATTATCATAGCCTGGACTTTGAAGCTACGCGTCACTGTGGAGCCCCATCAAAACAAAAAAACACCCTCATTAGCAATTCAGCCTTCAGGCTATTAAAAAATAAATAAAAAAACGGAAGCAAAGAAATGAAAAAAATGATATTAAAAAAATTTTCCACGCTCCAACCCACCGGGAATGTAAACACGCTGTACAAACATAATAAAATGATCTCTTCTCTCTACTCGGGGATCGTTTGAAGACCATCACACATATACCGACAGTGTATAAATATATTATATACACAGCGAAATTAATGCAATAGCAGTAGTAGTTTATAATAGGGGCAAGTTTGTATGCAGGTATCAGTTGTCTAATTCACGTGCATTAGAGCGATATCGGTTTTTATTAAATAAAACTTCCGCAGATTACATCTGCGATCGGCTCGAATGCGCTCAAACTTAAACCACTGGCATATTTTATTATCCAGCTGGCAGACGAGTAAAATAAGATATAAAAAATATTATTTTAAGTATAAAATATTAAATATAAAATTTATGAAAAATAGCATTCAGCGTAGCAGCGTTGGAGTAATATAAAGAGTACACGGAAAAAAGTAAACTGTAATAAATAACAGTCGATTTATAATAAGTAATGATCAACTGCGGTTGCCCAATTTCAAAACACAGTAACTAACATTTAGAAATTTTTAAAAATTTTTCTTATTAAAAAAAAAATTACCTGCCAAATTGATGGAAAATTTGATTTATGAATAGAAAACACTTGATTATAAATATTTTTAAGAAAAAATACTTGAAATTAAGGTCTAAAAGTTATAAAAAATGCAGGAATATTAAAAAAAAATTAGGTATAAAAATTTTGCAGTTACTGTCTTTTAAAATTGGGCAGCCGAACTGCTAAAAATTACTATTTCAAACAGTAAAATCGTGATTTTACTATTCACTATATAATATTTACCATTTCAACGTTACAATTTACTCTTTACATGAAAGAAAATACTATTTCAAACAGTAATATTCGCTATGTAAATATCGAAAATGTTAAAGTATAATAATTAAGAATTCAGACTTTGATATTTATCATTTCGTACCTAAAAAATTATCTTATGATATGTAAAAAGTATAAAATAAAGTTAATAAATTTCTAATACAAGCAACGTCAATATTTACAAAGTAAAATGGTAAATTTTAAGCGCAACGCTAAAAATCAAACTGTAATTACTGATTTGCTTGGACTGGTAAAATGTATATTTTAAAAGTACAATTTTTACTATTTCAAATGTTAAATTCTCCCAGAGTGAGACCCCCTTCTCTTTCATCTGAGTTCCCCTTCTCCTCATAATATGAACTATATTATGTATTATATATTGAAATGGCAATTTTTACTGTTTGAAACTGTAATTTTTTAAGATGAAAGTCGTTATTTACTATATAGTGACAGCTAATAAGGGGCCATTCATTAATTACGTAAGGACAATTTTGGTTAATTTTGACCCCCCCCCTTCCCCTTTCTTACGTTAGATTCTATCTTGATCTTCTAAATAATAAACTTTTATGTTAGAAAAGGATCAGTTTCACTAAAACTTACAGTTCAACGCGAATCCATAATTTTTATTTTTTAACAAGGAATAATTTAAATAATACTAGCAAACATAAATCATTAAAACTACAAACTCATAACATTGTTCATAAAATAATATTTGACTAGTTTTAAATTAGTCTCAAAAACATAAATTAAATAGTTAAAGCTAGATCAATTAAAATTATTAATCTTCATATCCGGACTAAACGGACTTTTAATCCATGTCATCCAATCAGAGACAATTGGTAGCTCGTCAGATGTAACGGTAGATGGAAATATTTTTTTATTTTTTAAATAATAAAAATATGATAATACACGAAAAAATGTACTATAATTTTTTCTATAGAACCAAACATAGATAACAATAAAAACATATAAAATTTTAATAAGTTATTTTTTATTTTTTTCAATAAGCAACAAAAATTATTTAAATAAAATAAAAATTCGACTGTACACTTTAAAATTAAGAAAACAATTTGGAATCCGAAACGGAAAGATTTTTAATCTTGAATTTTGATTCACAAAAAATTACGTAAGAATGAATTTTACCCCCCCCCCTCCCCCTCAATACCCTTACGTAATTAATGAATGGCCCCTAATCACTTATTTTGGATATTAAATTATAAATTGTGGCTTTTATACTTTCTACATTAAGTTCTGTGATATTTATATTTTTGCCACCCCGATGTCCGTTTTTCTGTTTGAAACTATAAAAATTAACCGAAATCCGAGTGAATATTACAGTTTACTTTTTCCCGTGCAGCGCAGCAGCGTTGGAGTAATATAAAGAGTAGCGTAAAGTATAACTGATGAGCGTATGTACGGTATGGTAACATTAGGTAGTTATTGTATATATATATAAATATATGTATGTATAACAGGAGAACATATAGTAATAGTAAAATGATTAGGTGATCGCGTGTCAATGGAAAGTAGGTGAACACGTTACAGTCAGTGCCCAAGTAGCTACAGTCCTTCACCAGTCAGACTGCCCGACGGTGGTGGCTTACGAGAGTCGGTGCAATTCCAAAGCCCGGTGTACTCTGTACTGAAGGTGTATGTGTCCGTTTGCAACAATATCGATCGTGTGCCACGCCGAGCAAGTCAGCCGATTCCACCCTTACATTTTCGATGATTTTTCTACCTTCTACATACTTTTTTTTTTACTCCATTTATTAGCCTACTTCCCTATTATTTGTAACACCCTATTATCCTCTGATCACGATCACTATCTGATAATCTGACAATCTGAGTGGCCCTTCACTCATATTATTTAATAAAGAATTCATTATCCACAGTGACTAGACTCTGTCTATTTTTGTTTCCCTATTTGGCTTATCACCCTATCAAATTATTTTAAGAAAATTGGTTGCGATAAAAGACAAATAAAGTAATAGCAAAAATGTTGACTTATCGGTCAAATAGTTGCCCGTCACTTCGATCGATATTTAATATAAAAAAAAAAAGGGACGAAAAATTGGTGGTAAATATTACAAAAAAAAGAAATGAAAAACAAAGTGCGTATTTGCGTCAGATATTTGTACTTTAATGCTTCTATTATGTATGCTTATATGTATGGAAATTTATTGTGGATAATGTATGTTGATGTATGGTAAGCAGGGGCTGTGTCTATCGGAGTTTTGTTGTTGATACAAGAAAGGAATTCGATTTGAGACGCATTGGCGGAAGCGGATAGAAGCATACCGCGCCATCTTAGCGTATTTATCGCGATGGCAGCGTCGCCAAGTACTGAGAAAGGGGGTAGCTTTCAGAGAGAGAGAGAGGATTGTGCTGCGGAAAGCTAAGCTTTGAGAGAGCAAGAGGACCTGCCTGAGGGTGGTAACACGGTGAACGGCGATACCACCACCGTGACGTCATGAATTAGGACGCGCGGACGTTGCAGAAAAATGTTGTCATGACAACATACACCTTTGTGAATGGTACTGGCACACAATAGCCACTTTCTCAGAATTTATACTGCCCGATTGAATAAATAATGGGGAAGTATTTGCGGTAGAAAATTTTAATTGATCAACAATTTTTATAACAATTTTTGGTAATTTTTTACGGCACATTTATGATAAAATATGTTAAAAAAAAAAAAATAAAGATTTCGATAGCTTTTTTGCCTTCAAAAGTTGGAAAAAATTTTGGCTTTCATGTTT